TTTTATGTGAATGTTTGAAGTAAAATATTGGTTTATTCCATATACTAGATGTATATTATTTAAAAGTATTACTTCAGATCATTTTCAATGGACATAATTGACTGAATTTGAATAGTATTGGTGGCATTTAAGAAAGTTTTTGAATATTGGCTGTGACTAGATTGTTGAAGTATTGAAAAATATTGCCTACATTGTATATTAATTTAAAAAGGATTTTAAAATATCATATATTGTCAAAGTAATGATGCCAATATTGACATGTTGATTAAGTACATATACTTAATAGTCGTTTTATTCAAGGCTACTAGAAGTTAATTCGGTTTCAAAATCAGTATTGTATTTTGAGATGTATTTACATTATTTTTAACAATGATGGAATCTATGGGTTAAAGATTAGTGGATATATTTTATAGTTATACTTAAAGGATATAAGCTATTAAAAAATGTATTGCATTGGTTTCAAGGTTCAAATTTCTATCCATTATTGGAATAATAATGTTAGAGTGATAGAAAATAGAGAAAGATTATTTTGAATTTTTCTTATAAATTCAGAATATTCATGCATCAGTATTCTTTTATCTAACCATTTTTTAGAGAAATCTATGGCTAATTGAGGAGAAAATTGAAGCTCCCTGCAGTAATAAGAAGACACTAAGATGAAGAGAAATCTTGATCATTTAATCTCCTCCTTCCACCAGATTTCAATGACAAAGCCTTCATCCATCTAAGTGCTTCAAAGAGTGAATATGTTCAAATTAAAAATCAATTGATTTGTCTTCTTCACTGAGTTCTAGTTGCAACTCTATATTTTCATTTTAAAATATTGATAGTGATATCTTTTTTACTTCCTGCAGCACAAACTTATTATAAAGTTTTATCTTAATTATTTTAAAGAGTTGAATTATGTAATTATTTTCACCCACCTAGAGTCGAGTTTGTAAGAGAATTTAGGAGTGAAATTCTAAGAGAGTTGAACCTAATAATGAATGGTTGTTGATAAATCTTGATTTAGTGGAACCCAAAGGTTGGAGTGTTCTCCATAGTGGATGTAAGTAGGGGGATAAATCACTATAAAAATTATTAATTTCATCAAGATTTAAATCTAAGATATCTAAGAAAATTTCAAATTGAAAGAAACAATCAAGATGACTAGAATGGTTGATCTAAGTCAAAATTCAAATATGACCAATTTGGCTCCTACTTTTTTATTCAAGTGAAGTCTTAAATTCAACAAATAGTATCAGAGACTAAGCTTATTATAAGAAATCAATTTCCTTGAGAAGTAAATCTTATGTCTTATCAAGTCCTAAATTGAAACTTTATGAAGATAAGTTGTATAAACTATAAAATAAATCAAAGTCTTTGAATTTCATTAAGCTGTTTTTTACATTGTGTTCATCATTCAAATATCACATGTTTATACATGTAATAGACATAAGATCTACCATCATTATGTTTTAGCTCTATACTTACTCTTTATAGCATGAAATGATTTCTTAATTTTTTTCCTGAATAATGATTTACCACAACTAAGACAAACTAGTTAATCATTAATAATGACTTGAGTTTTGATGATGACCATAATAAAAAATATTTATTATTGAATTTATCATTGGATTGATTTTTGTAGAAGTAAAACTTATTGGGCATGGAATAAAACTAATTGTGTATAATTAGAAAATTTTATTGCACCTGAAATAAAACTATTTTTGTGTGGAATTAGATAACCTTATTGGGCCTGAAATAAAAATTGTATGCAATAATAAGCCTTACTTTTAAGGGATATTGGATCTTGCTTCATCAGATTTTGGTTTTGTTTAAAGTTTGAGTAAATGAACCTATCCATTGTACCATGTTAGATCCCAAATCTAAATGAATCTTTTGATGAAGGAAAAGGAAAATAAATTGCATGATTTCTATGTCACCACTTCATAATTGAGTTAGCAAAGACAAGTAAATAACTCTATGAAGTATACCCTTTATATCTTGATATAACTTTTAATAAGAGCAAGTAGAAGGATTAATAAAGTTTTTGGATGAGAATTTGAGATATATCATTGTTTAGTGATGTACATTTTCATCCCTTCAACATCCATATGATTCAATCTTATTACAAGAGCTTACCCAAATTAGGGAAACCAAGTCCATATTGGAATCATCAATTTTGAGTAATCTTTTCTTCTTATACGTAATTGAATTACTGGAAATCCAATATTTTTTTCAATCTTTGCTTCTAAGGAGAGTGATGTGGAATTTTCACTCTTAGTCTTCGCCCACCTAAACCTGTAAATCTAGAAGAGGATTCTAGGGTGAGAGTTTACCAAAGCTACTAAATAAAATGAGTAAATTTTAGAACCTAGTATTCAGCATGTTTGAACCAATGTGATGTGCACAATTAAACTAACCATTTTCAATTCCAATGATTAAAAACTTTTATTATATACACTCTTATAGCTTAAAGTGTTTGATATGAGATCATTAAATCATTTATAAGGTTTTTCAATCAGGTTGACTAAATTATCAAGTCTTATCATCACTAAAACAAAAATACAATAGCATACTCACTCATTATCTTCTAAAGCATCAGACAATCTAAGAAATATGCAATATTTATTTTATTATGTCAAGGAATTAAAAATTTCCAATAGGGCTCAGAAATCCCCTTGTGTAGGGATGCAATCCTTTATTTAAATTTGAAATCACCAATTATGGCATGATTTTGGCAACTTTTCCGACACATCATAATTAATTAGTAATATTTTTTGCACATCATATAGTAGAAAGGGCACTACTATTATCTAACATTATTTTTGGTATTGGCTAGCTCTCTTCATGAGGATGAATTGTCCTGAATAACACCTTTGAAATTGGTTGTAATAAACTCCAAATATTGATAGGTAGTGAATTGATGAAGATGAAAATCTAGTTCAATTTGACAAGACTGAGAACAACTTATCATTTTGCCTTTTCAAAACAAAGGAAGGGAAAAAAAGTGTTTATCTAATCAGTCACAAGTCTATAAGAGGATATATTACTTTTAAAATTTTATTATTATTATTCCCCATATTATTAAGATTTGAGATGAATTTTGACCCCATCCATTCTCTCAATATTGTATTAGCACCAAATAAAATTGATAAGTTCAATAGATTATCAATTGTGTTGACCTCTTATACTCATCCATTTTATGTGCATATGAACATATATTTATACTTAGGGCACTCACTCATTATGATATGACTTTGTTTTCAGCAAACCATGCAAACTAGGGTAGAGATCTTGAGTATGCACAATGCAATAGGCTATAGGGAGAAGATGTCAATGATCAAATCCATCAATAGCAACCTCCACTCAAATCCATGGTAACCTATTATTTTTTATCATATGAGAAGGTAATATCATCTTATAAACTTAAAACTAATTGAAAATTTTCTAGGGTAATTTATGAATAAAAAATAAATGTGAAAATCTATTTGTCGTTCAATATAGTCATATTGTAAAATAATGAGATTGGCAGAAAATAACAATTTGGCAAAATTTTCTAGAGGCTATGAAACTTCAAAAATAAATATAAAAACATTGTTAACTAAAAGATATGGTTTTGAGGGTATTTATAGTCATTTTTTCACTTTCGTGATAAGCTATAATAGTATTAATTTAGTTATGTAAAATAATAATAAATATTCATACATTGAAAATATACATGAGGGAACAAGATGCTTGAGAAGATGCTTGATCTCTCTCCATGATGAAAATATACATATAGCCTCACGAGTTTTGAGTCCAAACTGAATTTCTTTCCATTTGACTTGATCTCTCTCCATGATGAATTTGAGCCTACGGTAGGGGCTTATAAGAAATATAAATGGAGATTAAATATTTATATAACTTAAGTCCAAGATCTCTCAAAGGATAGAATAAGAAAGGAGAATCCCAAAGTTAGCATATACCAATGGAACATGTAACCAAAAGAGAATTTGAGCTTTATTGAAATGAATACCATATTTTAATATAGGATGTCTTCAATGAATCTTGGAGAACGTACCCCTATCGCCATCAGCTAACTTTTGGGACCACACAACTAGATTGGCCAACTATTTTCAACCAATGTAGATCAAACATGATCCTCCATGTCATAGTGTTCAGATTTTGATTCGTGGGCCAAATCAATTATGATCTGATTGTTTCAATCAAATAATGTTAAGATTTAAAAATCATCATTGATCAATTTAGATTATGATTTAGATCAATCATGCAAGGTTAGCTGTTGAGGAACTAGATTAGCATTGTCAACCTCCCTTGTGTTGATCAGATGGTTCTGATTTCACAAACAATGATTTACCTCTTTCTCTAGAATAAAAGAAACAAAAAAGAATGCTCATAAATAAATTACCCCTAAAATGTTGAGAATTTTTTACGTTTTCTTAAAATTTACTATCATGATTATAAAAATTTCAGCATAATTTACATGCATTAAGTATTATAAATTCGTCGTCCTAAATAATAATAATACTATAAACAATGTTATTTTTATTTTAAGAGGACTATTTAAAAATATTTGGATATTACATAGTGAGTCCAATACTATAAGCAATGTTAGTCGACTTTATATCTCCATTTATTCTAACGTGGGTACTCCGTATATTATATAGATTGTATACCTTTACTCGCGACGAGAGTCTAATCCGAATAGTGACGCTGGACGGGAACGTGGGTGTCAATACGGGTGACGTGGGGATATATTGGTTGCCACGTGGAAGTCCGCTAACTAATAACTCCGGCCTTATCTGCTGGGCTTCCACAATTTCGAGGGGACCGAGCGCCCACGGTCAAAGATGGCAGGAGAGACAAAATCGGGATCATCTGGGATTCGAACACGTACCCACCACTATAAGGGTGCCCCCGAAATCTAGATGCATTGGATCATTTATTAATTGGGTTTATCTATAAATATGCAGGGTCGGCCAGCGAGTAGTGGATCGAAGGGAGGAGGAGCGGAGATGGCGGACCAGGCGGAGGCCTTCGTAGCGGCGATCGACCAGGGAACCACCAGCACGCGTTTCATCATCTACGACCGCCACCGAAGACCAGTCGGCTCCCACCAGGTGGAGTTCACCCAGATCTATCCCGAAGCCGGGTAAGCTTGACGGCCTCCGCCGCCGTTGCCGGCGGCGCCGTCGGTGGTAGCGGGTGGGTTCCATTTGTCTTCGTCTCTGCTCCGTCTGATGACGGGAAGGTGGCCGCAGATGGGTGGAGCACGACCCGATGGAGATCCTGGAAACCGTGAGGGTGTGCATGGCCAAGGCCGTCGAGAAGGCGGGGGCGGCGGGGCACGGGATCGCCGCCGGGATCAGGGGCGTCGGGCTCACCAATCAGCGGGAGACCACCGTTATCTGGAGCAAGTCCACGGGGCTGCCGCTCTACAACGCCATCGTCTGGATGGACGCCCGCACCAGCGGCATCTGCAGGTCTTCATCCCCAACCCACTCGCTTCTTCATTCCTTCCCCCTTTTCCCTCAGATCCCCAGCTCCACCTTCGTCCCCGAGTTCGTCGGCCTCTGTATCCGACTGGATCGCTGCCGATATTTCCTTTCGGGTGGATCGATCATGCTCCCGCGCTGCGCTTCGATTTACGGTTCTTCCTGATTTCGCCGCATTTATTCGTCGATTCCGGTGAAATTATGGATCTCGGCGGTTGGTGATTCCTGCGGATACGGGGGCGATCTTCGTCCATTTGGTTATTTTTTCCCTCATCAGGAGGGACGCTTAGAGTTTGGAGGATTCCTGATTTTCTTTTGGGTGGGGTGGCTTGATCCGGCAGGAGGTTGGAGAAGGAGCTCGCCGGCGGAAGAACCCACTTTGTGGAGACCTGCGGGCTGCCCATCAGCACCTACTTCAGCGCCGTCAAGGTGCTGTGGATGCTCGAGAACGTTGAGGCTGTGAGGGCCGCCGTGGAATCCGGCGACGCCCTCTTCGGCACGGTGGATACCTGGCTGATCTGGAACCTCACCGGCGGCGCCAGCGCCGCCGGAGGGATTCACGTCACGGACTGCTCCAACGCCTCCAGGACGATGCTGATGAACCTCAAGACCCTGGACTGGGATCTGCCCACGTTGGAGACGCTGGGGATCCCCCTCTCCATCCTCCCCAAGATCGTGAGCAACTCGGAGCTCATCGGCGAGATCGCCGGCGGGTGGCCGCTGACGGGGGTCCCCATCGCCGGCTGCTTGGGGGACCAGCACGCCGCCATGCTCGGGCAGCTCTGCCGCAAGGGCGAGGCCAAGAGCACCTACGGTACGGGGGCATTCATCCTCCTCAACACCGGCGACGAGGTGGTGCGGTCCTCCCACGGCCTCCTCTCGACGGTGGCGTACAAGCTGGGCCCGGCGGCGCCGACCAACTACGCCCTGGAGGGCTCCATCGCCATCGCCGGCGCCGCCGTGCAGTGGCTCCGCGACGGCCTGGGGCTCATCCGTACGGCCGCGGAAATCGAGGGCCTGGCGGCGGAGGTGGAGAACTCTGGCGGGGTCTACTTCGTGCCGGCGTTCAACGGGCTGTTCGCTCCCTGGTGGCGCGAGGACGCGCGCGGCGTCTGCATCGGCATCACCCGCTACACAAACCGGGGGCACATCGCCAGGGCGGTGCTGGAGAGCATGACCTTCCAGGTGAAGGAGGTGCTCAACTCCATGCACAAGGACGCCGGCGAGAAGAGGGAGGCGAAGACCCGCGACAGCGAGTTCCTCCTCCGGGTCGACGGCGGCGCCACCGTCAACAACCTCCTCATGCAAATCCAGGTTTCCGTTGTCTTTCAGTCTGCTTTCTTTCTGGTTCGTGGCGAGGATTTATGATGATCGTCGGAGCTGGGGGATGTGCAGGCGGACCTGCTGGGGAGCCCCGTGGTAAGGCCGGCGGACATCGAGACGACCTGCCTCGGCGCGGCGTACGCGGCGGGGCTGGCCGCCGGCGTGTGGACGGAGGCGGAGATCTTCGCGGGTGCGGAGAAGGCGGCAGCGGCGACCACCTTCCGCCCCCGGATGGGGGAGGAGCAGCGGCGCAGCAAGTTCGAGTCCTGGTGCAAGGCCGTCTCCCGGACCTTCGACCTCGCCGACCTCTCCCTCTGAGAGAGCCCTCCCCCCATCCACTTCTTCTTCTCCGGCCGCCCTCCTCCTCCTCCAATAAATGGTGGCGATGGAGGGTTTTCTTTCTCTCTGCATGGTTGGAGAGCGCCGGCTGTCGGCGGGAAGGACTACAGACAGATGAAGAGGATGATGGAATGGGGATTCATTTTGGGTTTTGGTCATGTGAAGGCTAGCCCAATAATTGGCTCGAGTTGAATGACACAATAACCGGGTTTTCCGTTGGGGCCCAATAATTCTCTCCAGTGTGGAACGGGCCGGCCCAGTAGTAAGGCTTCATTGGATGGCCCAATAACTTGTTTTCAGTTGAGGCCCAACAGTTCTAGCTCTGAGGGAGCAGGGGACTTGCTACGTTTCTAGGCTGGCCCAGTCCACTGATATCCCATTGTCTGAAGCCCATAAGTTCGATCGTTAATTTGTGTTTCGTGGGTCTGATAAATACGGCCAGAGGAGATATATATATTTACACACGGAGGCCTGTAAGTTGGGCCGTTGATGTACGCATCACGGGCTTTGATTAAGATGGGGGGGGGGAGGGAGGGAGAGAGACACAGAGAGAGACACAGAGAGAGACAGAGAGACAGAGAGAGACAGAGACAGAGAGAGATAGAAACAGGAATTTTAACTGGGTCAAGTCCAATTGTACATTAATTCGAACGTTGATGAATGCAGAGTGGGGTGGGTCTGATTACGGCTCGAGCGAGGGAGCAAGAGAGAGAGAGAGAGGGAGGGAGGGAGGGAAGGAGAGTTATGGTCTGATTGTATAGGGTACGCAACATCTAGTTTAAACAAAATAAACACAAGAATCGATGAGACCCCCGCATTCTGGTACATGGTTTGACGTCGCGGATGGCGATCTCCCTCTGCCACGTGGCTGAACAGAGACCGTGGACTTTTCTGTACCCCCGCCCCCCCGGGTCTTGGAGGTCTTGACTACAACGTGCGTATAAAGCCAATAGGCGTGTGGTTATAACAGAAAACGGCAATTGCAATTCGTGGAGGGGTTCTCCGATGACGTCAGGACCTTTCACCAGACAATGACCCCTGATAGGGTCACCCCGCCGCCATCTTCTTCCCGACGCAAGAGCAGGAGCGGCCCCCACGGCCCCCACCTCTCCCAGCAGAAGGCGGAGCCTCAACGGAGAAGAAGAGGGAGGTGGAACCCAATGCGGGCATGGGACTCTGAGATCCCTAAGCGGTGAAGAGGGAGGAACCAGCAAAATCTCTGAGATCCCCCCCTCCTCTCCCAGCCCTACCTGTGCGCCGGCGGCGAAGCTTCTCGCCGGACGAGGATGTGGTGGTCGTCGACGGAGGAGGAGGTGAGGGAGAAGGGAAGGCGGGCGACAGGACTTCGCCGGCGGGCGAGGTCGTCGATATCCCTGACGATGTCGAAGACGGCGTCGGGCTGTGCCAGCCGACGGGCGTTCGCCGACATCCTCCTCATCTCCTCCGCTCCGGGCCCGAACCACCGCGCCACTAGCGCCGCCGTCTCCTTGGGGCTCTTGGAGAATACTCCGGCGCCGTTGTCGACCACGTAGGGCACGTTGCCGACCTCCTGCGCGTGCACCAGAAGACGCCATGTTATCGGAGGTGATTGGCAGCGGCGCTTCTCTGCGCAGCGGCGGGCCGTCGGAGGGCCACCAACCTGCCCGGGGATGAAGTCGTTGAGGATGATGGGGAGCGCCTTGATCAACGCTTCGGCTATGGTGCCCGGCCCAGCCTTGGTTATGATGCAGTCGCAGGCCCCCATCCACTTCTCCATCTGGGTCTCGAATCCTCGGATCTGCAGATGAATCGCCGTCAAAGATTCTGATAACCCGCCGCTTGATTCGGAACCATGACGAGAGCAATTAGGGCAGACGAGCTCACCTTCACTGGCACCTTCCAGTCGCGAGATTGCAGAGTGGAGACAAGAGCCTGGTTGCGACCGCAGATGACGACGATCTGGCCGACGGGTCGGCGGAGCTCCTCGTCGAAGAGCGCATCCCCGAGAGCTTTGGCCGTCTTCTTCACCGGACCCATCCCCTCACCGCCGCCCATCAGCAGCACGGCCGGCAGCTCAGGGTCCATCTCCAGCTCCTCTCTCAGCTCCTCCTGTGCCCCACCCAGCAAACAGCTCCGTCAAACACCCCTCCTTCCACATCGAGAGAGAGAGAGAGAGAGAGAGAGAGAGGCAACCTTGGGAGGCAATGCTCTGCAAAAGGACGGCCGGATGGGCAGGCCGAAGACGCGGACTTGGGAGAGCTCCAGGCCCTCCGACGAGGCCCTCTTGGAGACCTCCTCTGAGGGGCAGTAGCATCTGGTGACGCTTCTGTGGAACCTGCAAACAGCAGTCGCTCTCCATTAGTGCACAGCGAGAGAGAGAGAGAGAGAGAGAGAGGAAGGGAGGGAGGTGGGAGAGGAAACCAGGTGGGGTGGCAGGTGTTGAGGTCGGTGATGACGGTCACAAAGTCAACCTTCTTGTGGAGGCGCTGCCATTTGAGGACCCAGAGGGGGATGTGCTGCATCAGTGGATGGACGCTGATGATGATGTCCGGCCGGTACTTCATAAGCCCCTCCTCCACCTCCCTGGAACCGCCGAAAGAGAGAGTTAGCCTTTGATAGATCTACCGGCGAACAGAGGAAGCGACTCTAAGGGGAGACGAGGAGGAGGGAGGCTTACTTGGCGTAGACGGCGGCCATGGCGGCGAGGTAGAAGCAGTGGACCCAGCGGGGGGAGGTGCCATGGAAGGCGACCTTCCAGAGCTGGACGTGCTTCACCATGAACTTGTAGGACCTCTCCATGTCGTTCAGCGGCCACCCCGCGTGCTCCTTCCACACGTCCTTCACGAACACCTGCGGTAGGCACGGACGAATCAGCGAAATTCCGGGAGGATGGCTTCATCTCTGTGAATCTAAATTAGAAACTCAAATTGGAGTCCGATTTCACGGCGAAACGGCTTCGGAGAACCTTTCGATCTCGCGATCGACCGCCTGAATCTACCAATTTCGACGGAGAAAGGGGGAGGAAGAAGAGCAGAAGAGAGGGAAAAGGTGGTAGCTCTTCCGGCTCACCCTGTACTCGTCGCCGAACTCCGTACTGAAGGCGTCGCGGATGGCCTCGGCAGAGGCGCGGTGACCGCCGCCGGTGTCGCTCATGAGGATGAGCACGTTCTTCGTCCTCTCCGCCCCGAGCTGGACCATCTCCTCCATCATCCCGTCGCCTCCGACCTCCAGCACCTCCGCCTCATCCACCTCCATCCCCGTCCTCTCGCCATGGAAGTATTTCCGGCGGCGCCGCTCGCCGGACTTGGAGCCCCGTGCCGCCGCGTGGTGGTGCGACAGTACACTCTGCAGCAGCGCCTCCCGAATCGTCCTCCCTCCCCTCGGCGAGTCCAGCGACACGACCATGGCTGCCCTCTCCCCCTCTGGGCGAGGTATTGAGCAGAGAGAAAGATAGACAGAGAGCAGAGAGAGAAGAAGAACAAAGTAGAGTTGGCGGTCGGAGGAGAGGAACGGCGTGGTTATATCAAGCGCTGGACAATTGGGGCTCTGAGCTGGCACCTATGCTGGGCCCCACAATCTCGGGAGCATTTGCTGTATCAGATTCCGGTATAATACCCATTGCCCGCGGTCACCCCTCTCTCTCTCTCTCTCTCTGGATTGTCTCTCGAAGACTCTGTTTATGTATTAAACTATCAGATTTACTAAATGACCCTCCTAAAACGTTATAATTTGTTCCTGCCTCTGAGAGAAATATTGATGAAAGTGCCTTCCTAATCATCCAGAACGCGTATCAGATGACGACGTTTATGTAAGTAAAGACATTATGAGGAATAGAATGTAAAATAAAACATCTGGTCTAAAGCGGGGCCCACGCAAAGGATCTTCCCCTGCATGCGAGGGGAGCGAACGGAGGAAGATTCGCATCTCCCTCTCTCTCTCTCATGTGACGTGTCGGACTGTGATATTACTTTACGTTACGCGCGGACTCATCATAAACGTCTGAGAGGAGATTTGTGGGCCCTAAACAAGTGACGTGTCGCAACCAAACCCCGTTTAACTAGCGTGGCAAGATCTCCATAAAACGACAAAAACACTTGATCACGGCCAATGGCAACAATCTGCCAGTCTCTGTATCTGACTTGTGCACTGCGTTATATGCATATCGCTACTTACCAGATGATTTGACCGCTCTCGGCGGGCGCGACACGTGCGAGGAAAGAGAACGAATATCTCAGAGCAGACGCGCACAAGAAATTGGGTCCAGATCACCCTACTCCCATACGCTGACCAGGTCAACGTGGACCGGTCGTTGGATTCGGATCGGCACCGTACACGGGCTAGCCGACTTTAGTGTTATGCTGTAACCATTCGTCGTCCTACTAGCTTGACTGCCCCCCACATTATCACATTATTATTTTACTTTCATATTATTAAAGTTGATGATCAATTATATCATTTTTGAAAGAGACGTAAGTGGTTTTTCTATTTCGTAAAATAAATAAATCCGTATGTTGTAATTACTTTGAACCAGAATTTTTTCTTTATTGCAGGTCATTTCCCAATAAAAGTTTGTCAACGGCAAGTAGACCACCATTGATTCCACATCTTTCATTCAGATGCTTTTTGAGACATGAGATTTTTCTTACTTTCAATGATAGAGCGTGCCCTCTGATTTCAGGTCTTGGATCTCTACGAGCTATTTGGCCACGACATATTCTCGAGAAAATAATCCATCGCCAATGCCTATAGGTTAAACTGTATTTAATTTAATTTAACTTGATTTTACTTATCTAGGCTTCTTGAAGACAATTTAGATGGAAGAATGAGAACCTACCCAGCATATAATAACCGTAGAAAGAATGGCCACCAACTTAGTGTAAATGATATATGCCACAACCGAGAAGGGATGATACTAAAGCCAAAAGCGAAAATGTTATTCCCTAGAGAAAATGAGCCGGGCTCAGCATTTCAGGCCCGAAGCCACACTCCTTCAAAGCGCCTTCTGCACGTGGAGCGAGAGAGCGAGAGAGCGAGAGAGTATATGTACATAAAAGCTAAAGAGAAGAAAGAGTGACATGGGAAAATCAACTCCAAATAAATAAAGTAAAAGATTACACGCATCGTGGGACCCAAATTACGAAAAAGACCATAAAACCGTCGAAACTAATATCGTCCCCTTGAATTAGGAATAAAACCTACATAATGCTTGAAAATAAATGAGTTCTCACATCACAGACAAAATGAAAATATTTCTTCCAGACTATTTTGTCCCTAAATTATCCATACAGAATTCCATCGATTGCCGAAAACAGATCTAAACCAGCTCAAAAAATCTCCACACATTAATTTACAAAGCAAAAACCCAAGAAAAGGAGGACGTTTCCTTGCCAGATTTCTTTTCGTTGGAAAGAGCACAGCAGATACTATCCATGGAATCAATCTGCTTGCCTTCATCCACTGTTGACGATAAAGCCAAAGCACAGAAGCGAATTATTTTAGTTCCAATTCATATGACAACCGATCTCTTAGCCAGGTTAAGCAACCTGGGTAAGAAATGAGATTGGACAGAGAAAGATTTCAATCGCTGGATACCAAGGAGAAGAAAGAATAACACATCTTTAAAATGCAGCAGCCAAGTATAGAGTTTATTAAAAATTGGCAATATATAATACAAGAAACCTTAAGGAAGATCAAGATGAGAACCAAGTGACTAGTACCTGAGCAGGCTTAATTTGCTCACTTGGGCTTTTCGCCGTGGAAACCCGTTAGATCATACTTGAGGATGAGTCTCAAATCTCTCAAATTTCTGATGACGAGAACTAAGTAAGGGGATCCAGATGTGTGGTGGCGCCAATAGATTGCGGCGAGGAGAGAATCGGAGATCTTAAACAAAACCATCTAATTTTTTCTTTTTATGCCGCTGTTATAACATAGGATGTCGACAGCTTGGGGGAAGATCAAGATGTGTAGGAAATTAGTACCCGGGCATGACTAATTTGCTGATATCGGCATATTGCCATGGAAATGGAGCTCGATCCGAAAAACCGTCTGGGTCAGACTTCAAGTGGAATGTCCAATTTCTCTGGAGAGTAAACATATTCCAGTGCCGGGAGAGATGCTTAGAACACAAATTGAACGACGATCAAGAAGATTTTCCATGGATATGATCACAATGAGTGGGTACAGATTCATCCATTCAGCTGCTCACAGAGTCCATTCACACAAGAACACAGACGCTAGGAATGAGGGATCTGTGCGACAGCCGATTCAGAAATGTGTGGGATGTCAGCGTACCTGCCTGCAAGCGCACAGCCCACGCAGCGCAGCACACAGAAGAAGAAGGCGAAGGAGACGGCACTCCAGATGTACAGTCCGAGCTTGAGTCCAAGTATGGACAGCGGCGTCCACCGGCTCACGGTCCATATGAGCTGGAGGGAGTTCTCAAGAAGCAAGCCCGCCATGATGTGGACGCGGAGGAAATGGGGCAGCTCCTTCCTCCTTACCAGCCAGAAGTAGGAGACGAAGAAGTAGATAATGGAGAACAAGGGTGGTACCCGAAGGACGGGGTTGGTGAGGAATTCGAAGCGTTGTAGATGAGGCCGCAGGAAGACTGCGGTCTCTCCGTAGTTCCATGTCTCATGGAGGGGCAAGAAATACGGCAGGCAGGCTGCGGTCCTCCACCACCATTGCGGCTTCTCTTCTTTCTCCACGCGAGTGCTGTTATCCCTTGATGATGCCATCGAGATGACCAAAGACCTGTTCGAGCCAAGAACAGGCGAAATGGAGGACGAACGGCTTCCATTTTCCTTCTCAGGTGAGGATTTCTCTAAACGTGGGAAGAAGCTCTCATGATCTCCTCTTTTCAAGGTAGCCGAGATCGGCGAAAGCCATGGGGCGCCCCCCCCTGCAAGAAGAAAAGAACCACAGATGGACACCGCGAAGAGCAGATCTAGAACCGTGAATTCCAACAATATAGATCATCGTTCCAGCCTTGATAGCTAATATCCATGGCAAGCATATTGATATTGACCTAGAACCAACCGAGGCCATGGATGACTATCGGAAAAATCAAAGTTAACTCAAGATCAAGGTATGAATCTCAGAAAGAGTTGATGATAGGTAAGCAATAGCTAGCTTTAACTGGGTTCAGAAACATAGAGGTCATTACCTCTCGTTCTCAGACGCAGCAAGCCTGCTGTCCTTGTGAGAGAAGCCCTTGAGAGTTCCAAGGAGGGCGTGGGCGTACGATCACAGAATGGACTCGATAATGAAGTCCTGACAGGCCAGTTTTGGCGAGGATTTACAGAAAAATTACTCCCCGCAGATGTTGTTCCACCAGCGCAGTGAGTCATATTGATGCAACGCTCCCCAGGACAAGACCTCGGGGTTTAATGGTAGGCTCTGAAGGTAGAAACAAGAAGCGCCTCTCTCTTCCTCGCGTTAGAAGAAGAAAGCTCTATACGGCTGACCGATGAGGCCACTCAGATTTCACCAACTTTTTCATCAGCACGGCGGAGACCAGGATCGCTACCTGTTGGGGTTAGAATGATGTGATTAATCCTTCCGAGGAACCAACAGGTCGAACTATCTAAAACTCTCCTGGGAAATCAAACTTTAAGCGTGCGGAAGGAAAAATGAAGCATAGTAAAGCAATGACAAGATCGCCAAGGGGAGGAAGGCTCTCGGGATATCAGATCGTCACAAACGACTCCGAGACAAAATCTCCACGTCTCCATCACCATCAGATCCATCTCTCTCTCTCTCTCTCTCTGTCAATATCTTTCTATCTAACTCCCCAATACAGAAGAATGCAAACATTCACGTCATGAAAATCGATCGAAAAGCCAACAAAATCGAGGGATACTTTCGGAAGGGATCAGAGGGAAGGAAGGCAGAAGGCGAGAAAATCGATGGAAAAGCAGAAAAAATGGAGGAAAACCTAGGGAATGGATCAGAAGAGAGAGAGAAACAAGGAGAAGGCGGCGCAGCTGGCGGAGAGAAGGCTTGCCTCTGCTGGAAGAGTGCAGCGGCGGGCGGCGGAGCTTTCCCTTCCCTCCACCGCCGAGGAAAAAGCACGCAGGCCAGAGGCTGGCGGTAAACGGTCTGCTAACTCGCGGTCAAGCTGATTCTTTCCTTACCTCTCCAACTACTGCCGGATCGAGCACCTTCTCTTGGATGATTATTCTGAACCCTCGTCGTAGCGTGCCAGTCCAGATAGAATTGTTGGCAAAGCTCTGCATAAATTTGGACCGACGTGGCGCTATGTTTAGCATCTGGGACCCGTTTGGAGTGGAAACACCGCCCTCAGCTTAAGTTATCTTTCACTCAATGAAAAAAGGGGAGGAGCATCCCCGAATAAGGCGAAGCAAACATAGTGAGCGGAAGCAGCGAAGGTTCGTACCTTTTGCGTCTTCGTTTTGTTTTTTGAGGATAATAGGGAGCGTGGGCGATGGGAGCCAGTCCTCATCGGAGTCTCTTCCCGGCGTCGTTGTCTCTTCAAGCTTCCTCAAGGTCTGTTCGCTGTTTGGTTTCCATATGAGTTGGGCTCCTCGGGGGGGTGGGGGACGGGATGTAATTTACTGATCCCTCGCTTATCGGAAGAGGCATGGGCTGAGGATGGCGCCGGAGAGGATGGGGGGATAGGGCGGGATGTGATGATCGTGCATGTTTTTTTCTTCCCTGACGAAGGATTTGTGGTGCCGGGTCTAGTTGCATCTTGGTTTGGACTTTCTTCCGTTTCTTGTTTTGCAGTTTCTAGAATTGTTAATAACCAATTGTGCGGCAATCCTGTGCCATTCGGTCGAAGAATTTTAAACAAAAAATCGTTCTGATTTCGATCCATAAACCAATTTCTCGGAATAATTTCATGAAGAAGCAGTGCAAATGACGATTTTTTTGTCTTCTTGAAAAGAAGAGAGATCTTATATTCGATTTTTATGCACTATAATTTCTAGCATTGGTCCATAGGCATGGGCAATCCAAGCTTTGGCTTGTGATATGTGTATATATTCCTGAATTACAACAGTGGGTACCTGGATGCCATACGTGTTCCGGATTAAATTTGTCCAAAATGAATTACAAGAGGCGGAGGGGAATATGAAACGCATCTATTATAGTGTTATCCTCCTGAAGAACATTTTATAGCATTTTGTAGCTAATTTAAACTCAATTTTCAACTTGTTATTTTCCTTACTTTTTGTAGTTAAGGGGTTTCTGAGCGCTGAGATACTTTTTAGTTGAGTTACTCTTCCTCTCTCTCTCTCTCTCTCTCTCTCTCTCTCTCTCCATATATATAAAGTTTTCTTTATTGAGATCACTTAGGAACATATATGGTACATTCTTCTACCTGAGATGATGTGATTATTATAGATTGTATCTGTCGTTCATTCATCTATCGTTTGTTTTCTATGGTATTACTTACTTCTTTAAGCTGTGATTGTTTTGTATATTTCTCTGTTCTCTCTCTTGGATGAATGCATTACAGGTTCCAAGTAATGTGGCTTATTAATGCTTCTTTGATTATCTCAGGTGGATGAGACCAGAAAAATGTTGAAATTGACTAATGGTCATGGGTCAATGTTTCCTCTCCTGTTATCATGCCTATGTTTTCTCAACTCGTTTGGCTTTGTAGTTTGTGGTTTCACAAGCTCATTCATCCGAACACAGTGGCCAGCAAAAGATATACCTCTAGACAATGAAGTGTTTGCTGTTCCAAAGGGTTATAATGCACCTCAGCAAGTAATAGAGCCATTCCCTGGCCACGATTTATAGCATTTTTGAAGAATGTTTTTATGTAAATTTCTTAAAATTTTATTGCTCCTTTTCTTGCCAAATATGTTGCTATTATACTGAGCTTTTTGCCAAGTACTTTTCTGCCTCACACTGATTAAATGGAAACGTTTCTGGTGATAGCTATCAATGGCACGAGCTTTCCTTATCTTTTGGTTGAAACATTTGGATTCTCATTTAGAATGTAAAAACTTAGTTTGAGCATTTGTGGACAATCTTATCCTGCTTTACAACCATTGTCTTCGGTTTGGTGGGTATTTAGTTGTGTTACAAGGTAGGTAGTATCTGTTTGTGCTGATCTTGGGGTGTCTGGCCATCTTCCATACAGCATTTAAAGAACCTAGAATCCATTTAGGGTCAAGATCAGGACTGTCAACGACTGGTGTAGCCATTCAATGATGACCATTTCCAAAAACTTACTTTTCCATCTCTCCAAATGGACACAATTCCTTGGCTTCATGCTCAGGGGAGGTTCATTTCTTTCATTGGGATAATGCAGAATCATTTCATTTTTGGGAACGTTAGGATGCTCTAAAAAAAGATAGCAAAAAAGTTTATTTAGGCATCCATCTGCTTGTGCTATATTACCAACTCGCAACCATTTCTGATCCCTTTGACATCCGTTAAAAAAATTAGCATGGTGAAACAATGCTGTATGTTGACGAAATTCTTTTCGTTTTGCATGCTGTAATTTCATTTCTTAGGAGTTTCCCTAGTTTTGGTAAGACTCATGTAAAGGATTTCTTATACCTATTTTTCTTTAGCACATACTTTACGCTATTCCAGATTACTTCTTACATTTCTGCGCTAACCTTTTGGTTTATATTTGGTCTAGGTACATATAACCCAGGGTGATTATGATGGAAAGGCTGTTATAATCTCATGGATAACATTTGAAGAACCAGGCTCTAATAAAGTGCTATACAGTTCTGTAGAACATCAATATGGCCATACAGCAGAAGCGAAAGTTCTGAACTATACATATTTCAACTATAAATCTGGCTATATTCATCATTGCCTTGTTGATGGTTTGGAGGTTTGTCAGCTATAATTGCAATATGCAAATTTCTCAAGAGATTCGAATTTTTTTTATCGAGGGTAGATTTCTCGTTATCTTATTCTTATTGATTAGTACGTTCATCCAACTCTTATTATTACTTGAAGCCTATAGAAAATCATATTGAGACAAGTAACCACCTCAAAAGATGAATAGCGGTTTTCTTCTTTCATTGGCAACAAATTTAGTTATGCATTTGTCAGAATGGTTTGGCGTGTGTATATGAATGGTTGGAAAGGAGAATATCTGTTGGACCTGGGGGGATGGAATGGTTGCAGTGGTTACAAATCAATTGGGATATTCTGGATATAGAGAAAATCTAGAATAAGGAAAGATTATGATATACCATTTTTCTTGTAAGCCAGGGAGACAGAATATGACAGCTAAGGAAGAATGATAGAGGCGCATTATAATGTATTTCTTCAAATCCTCTGTAGCCCTATGACACCACATCTGTGTGGGATTATTCACTTATTCAGACATAAAGATAAATTTGTATGTTAATATTTATTTTTAAGCTATCAAGACAATTCAATTATTTTTGACTAAATATGTAACTTTAGCACATCAGATGTTTTCTAGTAAATTTACACGAGTGACGGTAACCGAATCGTTGAGTGGCAACAGCTGTGTTCTATGGGGTTTCTTTTAAACCTGTCGTAGAACCACAAGAGTTTTGTTCGCAAGATGGCTGCTGTTACCTTATCAATAATGTTCTTGTTTATAACCTTGACTGCGTCAAGAGTAGACTCTTGAGATCTTCTCTTGTTTAACTTTTACTGTCCAAATCACTTGCATGCTTCCTCAAGTTCTGAGACAATTAATTGGAGAAAGATCGAGCTTGATAATGTTTCCTTCATTTTAAATTTAAATAAGGTCTCATGATCATTGCTGGCCCTTTTGTTTCTGTCTTTTTGGTAACCTTATCTTATTAGCTTCAAATTGTTAGCCTATTAACTTTCATAAAAAAACTTTTCAAGTGTTTCTGTATGATAACTTGATCTGCAACGACCAACTTTTTGAATCTAGTTTTCAGCTAACAGAAAATGGATCGAGATGAAATTTCAGATTTTTCTTGTCACCCAACATGCGGTGATAGCCAGAAAATTTGTAATTTTTTGTCTCCATTGAACTAAAACGTATTTAGTTGGTGTATATTTTTTATTTGGTCCCAAGCTTGACAGGAAGACTAACTTTGAAACCTTATTTTGGATACCTTAATCAGCTGACTGGAAAGGTGTGTAAAATGTTACCCAGACGTGTTATTTTGATATAAGGAAACCCTGGAGAAAGATGGAGATTTCTGTTTGTTGAATGAGGGATTAGAGAAGTAGAACCTCGAATAGAAATATTTGAGTCAAGGAAGGCCTTAAATATACGGGCAATTACAATGTGAGAAAGAAATGAGAAAGAGACAGTTACAAGAAAGAAAGAGTAGTGCAGGATGGGCTGATGGCATATAGTCCAATACTGTTTAATTAAGAGCTTGAAGTCATGAGTTCATTTAATTATTGAGGATTACTAACAACAAACCATTGGATGAATTCATTAGATTTATTTAAGTTTTTTGACAGACTAAATCCATTATCCGAAATATAATTGGATTCTTGATTAGATGTCTTTTCTATGGTAATGGGTGGTAAATATTATTTTAGAATACAGAACTAAATAGGCATAAAGATTGCACATGTATATTCATATTCCACAAATCTTACTTTACTTCGAGAGGAGAATCCCTTGTTTATCCTTACCCCTTGTTTATCCTATATAAGAAGAAATAGATTCTGCTTTATTACACACATCAACCCTCAGTAAACATTCTGCCCCATATTGTGTGCGCTACATTAGTGGATGAGATGTTAATAAATGGATAGCGAAATGTCTACTTTATATTAGTGTAATGGAGGGGGAAAAGGTTTTTTCGTTTGTACTTCATCAAATAATTGCCTACATGAGATTAAGAGACTGTGAGATAGAGCTCCAAAGGACCTTGGTTGACAGCCAAAACTGTTAAAAGGTGGTGAGCCTGAGTTTGAAGAACTTCAGAGAAAGGGATCCACTTTTCTTTTTGCTTGAGGTTGACTCTACCTTCTTTTTCTTGTGTTTTTACAGTATAACGCAAAGTACTACTACAAGATAGGGTTGGGTGATATAACTCGAGAATTTTGGTTTCAAACTCCTCCAAAAGTCGATCCTGATTCTTCATACAAATTTGGTATAATAGGTAATTATTATCCCTCATCTGTGGCTTAGGTTTCGGACTTCATGTGCCACTATCTGCATGGAAATTGGTCAAATCAGCCATCCTTGACTTAAGCATCTATATAATGGCAGTTAAGCATGATGACAATTCATAAAATCTTGGTGCTAGGAATCTGGATGTCTTGGCCCTAAAATGGGCCACAACGCCATTTTCCTTTCTCTTGAATGCAGATTCATAGTTTCGGAGCATGTTCCTATGTCGGTGCACTCAAACTCCATATGGTGTTTATTAAATATTTAGATCAGCATTATTCTTCTTCTGATCGTTGATGTATCCAATACCCATATAATTCTTTATTTTTCTTCACACATCATTTCTCAGTTTTTTCAGTTTATACTGGAAAATCTCGTGTTCTTTAATAATTTTGAATCGTCAATAGAGTAGCAGAAACCACAGAAAGGTTTCTTTGTAGAAATACGTCATGCCGGTAGAATATTTCATTGCTGCTTTGATGCTCAAAAGCTTAGAAATCTCATTCTAAGCTAATCCAAACCTACAGGTGATTTGGGCCAGACGTTTAATTCCCTTTCCACTCTGGATCATCACATGAAGAGTGGAGGACAGGCTGTCCTATATGTTGGAGACCTCTCATATGCTGATAGATACCAGAATAATGATGGCACTCGCTGGGATTCCTGGGGTCGCTTTGTTGAGCGTAGTGTTGCGTTCCAAGCCTGGATATGGAGTGCCGGTAACCACGAAATAGAATACCGCCCTGATCTGGTAATTCTCTCTCTATAAGCGTGTTGAAAATGTGTCTTACTTCACATATTTAATTCAGATGGTTTTTTCTGAACAGTTGATGTTTTTACAATGCTGCTGACAACTGGAGTTTTGATTGTTATGTCTTTTTTGGAACACATTAGATTGCTAACCCAAGCGTAGGGCTACAGTATATTTCAAATATTATGCAGAAAATCTGACCCAACTAGTCATCTTGTCATTCGGTGTACCCATTTAGGAAGACCTCAACCCTCTGTGAATGGGTTCTTGGTTTTTAACTCTTTTGACCAATTTGATGCTGGTAATAACTTTAAAACTGTTGAATATATGCAATACTCCATTTTGTGAATGGATATATTCTTCTATATTCCTCTTTGCCCCAACCTGTGGTCATGGACTAGACTGTTGAAATATAGTATGTTCTGTAGAGCTATGTCATTCTCCATGGAAGCTTCTAATTTCAAAATTGATTTCTGTCACACTTAATGTTCTCAAATCAGTCAATCCTTTTTTCCAGACTTTGGACGCGGATCCATTATCTCCTGATTTCTATATCTTACAGGAATATTGAAAATTCACCTCACTTGACTAATTTAAGGCTAGATTAAGGATCAGCGAGAAATTGGTTGGTCCAACTGATCTCACTTAGCTTTCTGCAGTATTTGCTGCAATAACAATATTTCTGGGAAACGTTGAGTCTGAGTGAGATAAGATCATACTTTTCGTAATGTTGTAGCTATGTCGTCAACAATGGACTACTGCTACAAGTCTGACCCGACCTCACTCGGATTCACCTGTTCCCAGTATAACTGCTGCTATCAAAGAACCTGGACTAGCTGCATCTACAGCTAGCCTGTAGAGGGTATAGGAAGAAGAGCAGAGAGTGAACGGTGGAAAAAGGAAAGGTAGAAGGAGCATGGAAAAGAAAATAGATTTGGCCCATGAGGACCATTAGTGGCTCACTGTTCTCAGCTCCTCTCCCAGAGGTCCACTCTGAACGAGCTGCCCCATTTAGGCAAGAAAGGGCACTGAGGTCAGGGAAGGGCATTGACTAAGTATTGAATTACATTGAAAAGCCCTTATTTAAAAATTAACCACTCTTATAGCCTCTTTTGCTAAAACCATTTGCGCATTACTTATAACTTGTACATGTTGTGTTGTTTGTCTTTTTCACTTGATGATTATTCCCCAGACTGGCTAATCTGACATGCCTGATTCTGATCCGGATTACATCAGCACTGGCTGGCCAGTTTGGGGATACGATCCAATTCCGTGTATCCTGGTCGCAGTATGATTTGGAAGGTTACTGACCCTCTCTGGAACTTGTTGAGAATCTTATGTCTGGCCGGAGCTGGTCTCCATTGGCCAACTGTGGCTGCTGGATCAGATTTGGTCTGCCTCTTTTCAAGACTAGATCTGAACTGGCTATGTGACTATGGAGATAGATTATCTGCATTCCTTTATTTTCTGACTTGAACTTTTATGAAAGGGTGCAAGTAGAAGTTTGGTTTGTAACATTTTTCTCTCTAATTAAGATTTATATAATGAATATTTTCACTTTTCTGCACTAGTGTGATCAAAATCCTCTCATCCTCCCAAGGAAAAAGACATTTTTTTAGCATGATGGCTACCTTACAGCTATATATCTTCTCTTCCTTGTTACACCGGTCTGGCTAATTCATGACTGTCTCTGGTTGATTGTTTCTTTTGTGACTCAGTTGAGGGCCTGCACTCAGTATATAAATTAGTCATTATACACATGAGAATCGTATTTGGCTGTGCATTGTGTGTTTCTGGACATGTTACTGCAGCAGATACTTTTATCTAAAATGTAACCCAAAGTGGTCCTGGAAATGCACTAAAATTTACTTTTCCCATAGATTGTTCAATTGGATTGATCTAGAGGCTCAATCCAATTCGAAACCCAGAACCAGGGATCTCAACTGATTTTGCATGCTTGGATGACATTCTTGCCATTATCTTCTAAAGACAAGAACCTCGGGATGCCGTTCTTCACTGTATCCCCTCTATCTACAGAAGTGGCCTGATAGGTGGCAGGGATGGGTTGAACACAGCATCTTCCACTTCTTTCTTGTTGCACGAAACATTTCACGTTCTTTGCATCTTCCTTCTCATCCTCAGATGATCTTCTATCCTTTTTATGCGAGGCTGACTTATTCAACTGGACTGCTTCAAATGTTTAAAGTTAACTATCTTGTAACGGTATGTTCGATGTGGACAGACATGCCTAGTGGTTCATCAAGATGTAAATACAATAAGGAATACCAGGTTTCAAGATATCAATTCTCTGGCCAGAGCATGTGTACACATTTGTGGCATTCTTTTTTGAGTCCCTTGATAAAACCTCTCCTTCCATATCCCATTCTCTGTGACATCATTTTTGTTACTTCTTGTGGTGATAAAGATAATCTCTTGGATAGCTTGTATAGTTTTTTCTTTCGAATATTCGAGGTGATTCTCGGTGATTATCGAACTAATTTATTCTAATGCATATTGCTCTAGTTATTTCATTCGCTTGCTATACCCTACAGTTATCTGGCAACATATTTATATTATAATGCCTTTCTGGCTTTTCGAAATACTAGGGAGAGCCAACTCCTTTCAAAGCTTATTTGCATAGATATGCGACACCTTACATGGCTTCAAAGAGCAGCTCTCCTATGTGGTACGCAATCAGACGTGCAAGTGCTCACATCATTGTCCTCTCCAGCTATTCGCCCTTTGGTAATACTTCTTTCCGTTGTAAATGGTGAATATTTGGCTGCATTTAATACGATGAAGCCTTGCTCTTTGGTGCTTCAGTATGTGGTCTACATGGATTCTGGTCATTTGATCCCCCCTCATATGAGTAATTTTCATATGCATGTGGTACATGCATTATATATTTGGCTTTAATTCTAAGTGTATCAGATATTTTAGTTTGAGAAATGGTACCATTTTTTTTAGTTGCCTTTTTTTTAAAGAGGATCACCCCACCCCGATTGCTACAAAGTTTCTTCAACCTTTTACACAACTTTTAATGCAAAAATGAAAAACATGGCGTCATGCCATTTAAAAAGTTACACCTACGTGATTTTCTTTATTTGCGTGAAGAAGAGCATAAAATTCCAATTGTGGCCTAGCCTTTAAGATTCTTAGATGGTCCACTTGGGAGTCCACTGTTTGACCCCATAATTACTTATTTGCTAGAACAAGTTTGAAGGGTCTATTCAGACATACATCCTGAGCCCTTCCCATGTGAGGCCTACATTAAAAATCCGTTTGATCTATTGTTAAGTCTTCGACTACTGACCTTTCTTATTTGAGACATTCATCATCTTCAACAGTGAAGTACACCCCCCAGTGGTTATGGCTACGTAGCGAACTCAAGCGAGTGGATAGAGAAGAGACACCTTGGCTGATTGTCATCATGCATTCTCCGATGTACAACAGCAATGAAGCTCACTACATGGAAGGTGAAAGCATGCGAGCTGTCTTTGAAAAGTGGTTTGTGCGGCACAGAGTCGACCTTGTCTTTGCTGGGCATGTGCACGCCTATGAAAGATCGGTATTCTTCATATCCATTACCTCAATCCTTTTGTTGATATGTGGCCCCTTCGCATTTTGATCTACATGGTATTAAACTTACTTTCGAGTGGAATATTTGATTTCCCTATCATGAAGGAAAAAGCAATATGAATAGAGAACTAGCAAGCTTCATGAGCAAGTCTAGGTCAGTTTGGCCCCTGAAATGTGGTTACAATGTGAAGACTTCACAGGATTTCTGCATTTAAAGGATTTTCCAGTCCTGTCTCTTGAATCCTAGGATCCAGAACATTCCGCACATTATACCATTTATTAGTATTTATAATATTGCAATAAATTAATGGCATCCTTGCCCATCAATCTCGACTGAATGACCTTGGTCTTAGTCATTATCCAACAGAAGCCTCTCGTTCTACTGGATGTTGCCAGAAGTTTGTATTTAGCCTGTGTAGTCCATTTAAAGATTAGCTACAGCAGCCCATAAATAGAAAAAGAGGATTACTATCCATTCATTTATATTCCATACTTTGTGGGCAGGCCAAGAACAGTTACTAGAAATGTTTGTCATCATGCCATCATGCTCTCTTACTCTACAGATCGACTCCTTTGCCAAGAAGTGCAGAATCTGGCTCTAGAGTGGAATTAAATCCACCAAAACGAGTAGAATATCTTGTAGATTATCTTCCTGGAGTAGGGTACTTCATCATGAACCCAGACTTTATTTGGGCTGCCTGTCGTCACGTATCCTCATTGGTGAGAATTTCAGACTCAGATGTTGTGTCCAATTTCAGACTTGGACTGGAATTTCTTCTTCACAACGTGGTGCTTGACACAACTGGAATTCGTACTGGATTCTTTCATTTCTTTTTATATTTCAGAGCATATGACAATATTTTTTTGCACATGAATGTGAGCACACAGGAATAAAATCCTAAACCGTGCCCTAGATTTCCCGCGATGAGCTTTTTATATAATTAATTCTATTTCATCGCAGTTATCATATTTTCAACGGCACCATTTTCTTGCTTTCTTTTTGGAGTTTACCCGTTGATTTGGGGCTTTGCTTGCAGTATCTCGTCTCTAATGTTAACTATAATATCACGAATGGGGATAGTTTTCCAGTGCCCAACAACCTAGAGAATTCTTTCATTTCTCCACATATTTCATAGTACACTAGCTTTTCTTGGACACGAATCTGAGCAATCACGAACACAATCAAAACCGTGACATAAATTTCCTCTTTGGAACTTCTCATGCAATTATTTATTTTGCAGAATACATTTTTCCCTAGTGAATTTTCATCGGTGCTGTTTGTTTTCGTTTCATGGGATTTACTTCTTATACTTTGCATTTTTCTTGCAGTATCGCATCTCTAATGTTAATTATAATGTCACGAATGGAGATCGTTTTCCGGTGCCCGACAAATCAGCCCCGGTGTACATCACCGTTGGGGATGGCGGGAACCAGGAAGGTCTTGCTGGAAGGTAAATAGACGCGATTCAGAAGCGGATCACGGTGGTCTTCTCGATTTGACCCACATGATTTGAGCTGATGCTCTTCATTAACCAACTGTATATCTCGATGCTACAGGTTTCTCAGCACGCAGCCAGAGTATTCTGCATTCAGGGAGGCCAGCTATGGCCATTCAACCCTGGAACTGAAGAACAGGACCCATGCATTTTATCAGTGGAACCGAAACGATGATGGAGTCCTTGTGCCAACAGACTCTGTTGTGTTTCTGAACCAGTATTGGTGAGGAATTTTATTTTTTTTCCCTCTTTTCTTGTTCTGGAGCTCTTTATTTATCTAGTTTTCTTTTATTTGCAGCTTTAAAATAAATTATCATCATAGACCTCATGGTCACCACCACCATCATCAGCATCCATGAGCCATTGTGCATCCAAGATTTATTAAAATATATCCGCTGTTTTCATATAGACCTTGGTTCACTATCTCTTGCCAACCACCCTCCAACAATTATCCCTGTTTAAGATGTTCCTCTTACGTTTTGTAGTCCTCTTGCGATAATTGACCATGAATCTTTGGTGGAGAGAGAGAGTAGAGATTATCTTTCAACAATCCCTGCCGCCCATAATGTTTGAAGGATTATTTTTTTAAAAATGCCTTTCAAATATTTCACAATTTTGCTCTATCTTTGAATTCTCGCCTTAAGTGGCATCAAGCTCCATGCTACCTTGCATCAATAATATAATCTTCTGTGTTGCCACCACCCTCTTTGTCCCCATATAATTCTTTATCTCAGTTATGTGTGTGTTTGTGTATATATATATATATATATATATATATATATGCATATTACATAATAATTGCTCCAAATATTTTATCTTTAAATCCAGAGAGTTCTCGTCTGAAGTGGCATCAAGTTTCATGTTACTTTGAGTGAAGAAGGATGTCACCTTCAATATCATCGATTCAAACCGTTGCAAGTAACTTGATTCAAATTGTGCAGGGCAAGCTATTCACAGAGGAGGAGGCTGAAGAAAACCCATCGCCGATCTTTTCAGAATGCTGCTGCCAGGCTGATAGCTGCAAGCTGAAGGAGCCAATCTTGCGTCGACATGGAGCTCGTGGGAGACGGAGGTGGCTGAGGAGATGACGCATGGCTGGTGGTGTATTATTTCTTCAAAAACCATCTACGAACACTGTTGTAAGTTTGTTCAGTGCATGCATGAGCCTTTGTTTCTCTCATCCCGTCCTTTTTCCCTCTGCAGTTTTGATGTCCATGTCCTCCGGTGATTCCTTCATGGGACCTATTTATTTATTTACTTATTTATTTACTTTACTGGTAGAGAGAGAGAGAGAGAGAGAGAGAGAGAGAGAGAGAGAAACTACTCGACAAGCCAATTGAGCGGCTTACATACCTAGATATATAGAGGGAGAAGAGAGGGGAGGGGGCATCGAAAGCACCATCTCCTCTAGAATGTGGACGTTCATCTCACAGTTGATCTGGATTGGATTACGGTCGGAGCTAAGGTGGTGTTGGGGGGGGGGGAGGGGAGGAGGGAAGGATGTCTTGGTCAACTCATAGTTTAGATCATCCAAAATTCTTCAGGACTCACGAATAATATATTTAATGATTAATGATAATAAGATGAAGCAGTCGACTGAAGAGGCTTAAAGATAAAAAGGCATGTTGACAATTAAAATATAATTCAGATGTTTGGCGTAGCAAAAAATGTTGGATATCCGTTTGAATTTGTAGTGCAATAGGTAGGTATGAATTAGGCATAAAATCTATAATATATAACGAGGAAAATATTAAAAATATAATATAATAGAAATAAAAAATGACTTCTTGACGAGACTTACTCTACTATTATTATAACTAACACAACCCGGTCCACTTTAGGTGTGGCGTACGCATTTATTTTTTATTCCTTTAAACTGGCTAACCTTAAGTAGATGCTCCTGCTTAATTTTATGCCTTTTATTTTTTAGGTGAACCAGATTATCTTTATAAAATTTCTCAGACCACATGTTTGACCCGCGGGATGCGACTCTCTCTCTCTCTCTGTCTCTCTCTATCTATCAACAGGACCAGGGCCAGCGGTGGAGCGAAGTTTACGGGTCTTCAATCCGACGTGAGACTTTCTAAATTCTCAGAAGGGTGGAACAGTTTTGATGCTCTCTCATCGTCTTTTCGGAATTATTTATCAAGATGATGACGGCGGCGGAAAGCAAGCTTTTTTCTGTCGCTGTCTCCGACGACGACCCACTAGGGTCTTCGGCGCCACTAGGCTCCGCGGTGGCGGCAGCTAGGAGCGAGGGTCATGCATATGAATCTGGGGAAGAGGCGTTCGAACGCTGGGGTGCTTGCTTCCTCTTCGTCAGCGACTGGTGCCTTGCCTTATCTGTTTCTTTTTTTTTCCCTTTCTCATCCCCTTTCCTTCTCCCTTCTCCGGTGTAGTCTGAAACTGGCCGCTCGGGCTTTGTTCTCGGCATATTCCACTTCAGGCGGCGTCGATGGACCCAGTATAAAACAAAGAGGGAGAGAGAGAGAGAGAGAGATGATCGCCGTGGAGACTTGGGATTTCTATCTGCGAAGACCGGTCGTTCTCTACGGAGAAGAATAATCCCACGCTGGAAGTCAGAACCTCGGAAGGTGTTAGGTTCTTTCTTCCCTATTCCCCCACAGTTGCATCCATTTCCCGTCGTCAAGAGATGTAGGGAATGATGAAAACTCCGTGGATGGTCTCTTTGGTTAACGTCAGGGAGGAAGAAACAATAAGAGCACCCAGCTTTTGTATTTCCTTTCACTATACAGATCCTGGAAATATTCTTGCTCGAGCCTCCATCCCTCTCTCTCTCTCTCTCTCTCTCTCTCTCTCTCTTTCTCTCACTCTCCCCACCCCTGTTCGCTCTTTCAATTCTTACGCCTCTAAAACCTCCATCCTCTTCCCTCCCATTAGAAACATCGAGGTGTCTCAATAATCTGCCATGGGCTCTCCTTGGCTCCTCCTCTCGTCCCTCATCTTCCTGTCTGTCCCCTTCACTTCCGCCACCACATCGGAGCACGCCACCGTCCTCGTCCGCGTGGGTGCGGTGGCCGCCGAAACCTACGACAACTTCATCTGCGCGACGCTCGACTGGTGGCCTCCTGAGAAATGCGACTTCGACCAGTGCCCCTGGGGTCTGGCCTCCGCCCTTAATCTGGTACCTTTCTCCTCCCCACGCACCATCAACAGATCACTCTATCCATGAACAGAGAGCTCTCATTCTTCTCCTCCTTTTGCTCTCTCAGGACCTGAACCATCCTCATCTCGTCAAGGCCATCCAAGGTACGTAGATTAAGGGATAGAATTCTTTGCTCAAACTGGTAAGAAAGTGGATGAAGATGCGACGTATCTCAGCATCAGGAACTCCGCTGAAACCCAGGTGCTTCCGTGACCGAGTTTCAGCTCATTCTATGCAGCCTTCAACCCGCTGAGGATCAGAATCGGCGGCTCACTGCAGGACCAGCTGGTGTTCGAGGCGCCCGATCGTGTGTGCCTACCGTTCAAGAAGACCGAAGGAGGTTTGTTCGGGTTCTCAGAGGGATGCCTCCCCAGGGCGAGGTGGGACGAGCTCAATCTCCTCTTCCAAAAGACCGGGTAAACTCCACAGCTCGATCTAAACTTCAGTAATCAGAAGAATTATGGGGAATCGGCGTAAAACTCCACACCTTGATGGAAGGTGAGTATCAGATGTTAGACGATCCACGAGAAGCGCCTGGTCAACGAGTAATTATTTTCGGATATGGTTATCGAAAGGAAAATTGATTTAACCGTCCCTCAGGTTTAGGATTGAATTAGGATGCATCAGTCAAAATAGAACTCAGGATGCTCTTGACTCAGACTCGCAGCAACCAGAAGACGCGCCACTTGGCAAATGACTCCAAAACGGTTTTGTCTTTTCCGACCAAGTTATCTGGGGAGTCGTCTGCGCAATATACCTCTCTGTCCCCCTTCCTCTTTCCCCCTCTTTCCCTCTCTCTCCCTCCCTCTCTCCCTCTTTCTCCTCTCTTTCTCTCCCCCTCTCTCCCTCTCTCTCTCTCCCTCCCTTCCTCTCTCTCTCTCTCTCACCCTCCCTCCCTCTTTCTCCTTCTCTCTTTCTCTCCCCCTCTCTCCCTTCTTTCTCCTTCTCCCTTTCTCTTCCCTTCTCTCCCTCTCTCTCTCTCCCTCCCCCCATCCCCAGCCCCCCCCCCTACGCGGGTGGTCAATTAGGCGTCTGTGGGTATCAGCTACTGAGTCACCAGCTATATGTTTCTCTCTGTTTCAGAGCCGTCGTGACGTTTGGCCTTAATGCTCTGAGTGGGAGGCGTCTTATAAGCGGCATCAGGTGGGGAGGCCCCTGGAACTCCACCAATGCTCGGGAGCTCATCAAGTACACGGTTTCAAAAGCATACTCAGTTGATTCCTGGGAATTCGGTGATCCCTTCTTTCATCCAGCTGCGCTGGCTCCCATTCTACCTCCATTCAATCTGCTCTCAGCTCATGAGCCTTTTCCTAAACCAGGAAACGAGCTGAGCGGCCGCGGCATCGCCGCGAGAGTCGACGCCGAGCAATACGCTAAGGACGTGGTGGAGCTGAGAGCCATGGTTGACCAGCTCTACCAGCCGCCCCTCCGGCGGCCCCTCCTACTGGCACCGGGCGGGTTCTACGAGCAAGAGTGGTACGCCAGGTTTCTCCAGATCACGGGGCCGAACGTTGTCGACGTCTTGACCCACCATCTCTATAATCTCGGTGCAGGTGAGCCACACCCTGCGATCTCTCTCTCTCTCTCTCTCTCTCTCTCTCTCTCTCTCTCTCTCTCTCTCTCGACATATGCATATATTGCCCTATATATGGAGTTAACAAGAAACAAGAACATGAGCCCTCAAATGGACCAGCGATGTCCGACGGCATCATTCTTTGGAGCTTGTAATTAACTATCGATATCAGAAGATATCTGAATCCTTCATGGGTCGGAGAATTTCTCTCGATGACTGCATCCTATTCGCTTCCAGGAAACGATCCCAACCTTGTGGACAGGATCTTGGACTACCGGCATCTAGATTACGCGGGCAACACGTTCAGAGACCTCGAACAGACGTTAAACAAGCACGGGCCGTGGGCCTCTGCGTGGATCAGCGAGGCCGGCGGGTCCTACACCAGCGGTGGCCGTCTCATCTCCGACACCTTCGTCAACAGCTTATGGTCAGCGTCGTTCATCCTATCCATAAAGTCAACGGTCATCGCAGGGTATTACCTAATCACGCACGCTGCAGGTACCTGGATCAACTGGGGCTGGCTGCCAAGTACAACACCAAGGTCTACTGCAGACAGTCCTTGATAGGCGGCAACTATGGTCTCCTAGACGTGAAGAATTTCAAGCCGAACCCCGATTACTACAGGTCACTAATTTTGATACGTTTTAAGTAAGGGAGATGATAATCCTCGCGTTTTAAATATTACTTATTGCGGCCTCTCTGGTTCAGCGCCATTCTGTGGCATCGACTGATGGAGAGGAGAGTTCTGGATATTGGCATCAGCGGGTCCTCGTTCCTGCGAGCCCATGCCCACTGCGCCAAGCACCAAGTAAACCTCATTCGTTCAAATATTTTCTGAAATGGTTTTCATGTTTTGATCTCCGTCGTCGAAGAGAAATGATTTTCCCTATTCGGAAAGCTCCACTAATGAGTGTTAGAAGTTTTGCCGGAGTTTCCCGGAGGTCTGATCCTGTAGCCTCCGTCTGATACGCCCCCGTCTCTTCTCTGGTTGGTGTTGCGCAGGCGGGGGTCTCGCTGCTCCTCATCAACCTGAGCAAGACGACCAGATTTGTCGTCACTGTGAGGAACGACCTGAAGGTTCTTGTGGCCGAGGGAAACGGCATCCAGAGGGACGATGCAGTCATCCGGCATCTCAAGAGAGCCGTGTCCTGGGTCGGCAGGAGAATTTCCGAGGCCAGTCCCCGGAGGGAAGAGTATCATCTGACCGCCGCTGGGGGCAACTACCAGAGCAAAACCATGCTTCTCAATGGGCACCCGCTTGAGCTCACGGAGACTGGGGACCTCCCAGCCATGGATCCCATCCTGACCCCTCTGAGTTTTCCAGTCACCGTCTCGCCCTTATCCGTCGTCTTCGTCATCTTTCCGAATTTGGAGGCCAAAGCTTGCGAGTGACCTGCCGGGACGAGGCCAAGAGGCGGTCTGAGCGTTCTTCAAATGAATGAAGACGCTCAAGAAAATTCAAACGTAGAAATATAGATGTATATTCAGAACATTATTGCGAGTGGTCTCCGTGAGGAAGCACAAGGTGCTCAAGAATCAACCATTCCCCCACATCTAGCGAGAGCTGTGAAAGAAAACTCTGATAGTTTCAGCAAGGTGTTCTTTCCCACGAGATGGTCTTCGAGATTCTATTGTAGCTTACCAAGTCTCACAAAGCTGGAGCAGGTCTTTTTCCTGGGTTCTGGAAGTGTCTCCTCCCTCGACTTGAAAGAGATTGTCAATCTTGAAACCTTATTGGGGTAGATTAGGAGCCTATGAACTTGGCGAAGTAGAATAGGAGTCGGCAGAGCTCTTCGATTGAAACATTTCAAGCGATGAAGTCGGAAGAAGATTTGGTCCAACTTAAGTATTCTATGAACTTGATGCAGAGGAAAAATGGAAGTCTGGAATATTGGCCTGGATCAAATTATAAACCAAATTTGGGAAGTTGGGTTGGATCAATGTAATCTCTATATTTCCATTTATATTAAGAATTATGGTGCATATGGACAAAATTCATCAAGCCTCATATTTTACATTGCAAACAAACGAAGTATATTAAGCCACATTTTACTTGATGAGTAATTACATTAGAGCAGACATAAAATATTAAGCCCCACAATTCAATACATAAAAATGCATTATACAATAATGAGGTGCATCAAGCAACACATTTGAGCACATAGAAAATACATTGCATAAATAATAGAACAATAAAGTTTTATATATCAATATATGAGAAACTACTTTGCAGACTAAATATCAAAACCTCATATTTTAGGATACAAAAAAGATTCCAAAATAAAGTAGATCAAATGTCATATTCTAACACTTAGAATTATATTATTGAATCATAATCCCCATCAAGCTTGATTTCTCAATACATGTGTCATTGCATTGTCAACTAAATTATGTAGAGCCCTATTTTAAGAAAAGACAGGCTCATAATTGGTGACCTAGCTGGCTTAAAAATGTAAAAGCATGAATCACAAAGGTTGCAAGGTCAGAAACTCATTCAAAACCTATATTAAACTGAATATATTGAAACTATTAGATATATGTGAAGAATAATAGGCAGAGTCTTGAACAAATAGTGGACCAAAATTTATTACAAGCATTATTATCATTTATATCTACACAGTTACTGCAGCCTCTTGTAATGCATGTGAGATGATTCTCTCTCCAAAACAACAAGTTTGTGTGACCATTGATGTAGCAAAATTCTTTGAGTCACATGACATCTGATATCTCTTTCTGTTCTTTCCTCTATCACTCAATGTTTTGCATTTGTGTTGCTATCCAAGGAGGGGACTTGTCTCTTAACACTATTAGGAACCTAATTTGATGGACATCCACCACTTTCCTTTGAGGAGTCCAAACTTAATTACTACATCCTTGAGTCCCAAAAAATAGTGTCAACTAGTTGTTGCTCAAAACTCCATGAGACTCTATACCAAACTTTCTCCAACAAAAAAATTTACAAGATTGAAGCCACTAAGAAATTAACAACCTACATAAAATAAATAGTAACACATAATTCATGTGTTTTAAGAATGCATTAGTACTCAAGGTCCATCTAGAGTATGAATCAAAAAGACATTATGTATTGATAACCTTCTTTGACCCCCTAGATATGTGATTAGAAGAGGAGTGGGTCTCCTCTATTTAGTTTCTTCGAGCTTTGAATATGAAGGAGGAGACTTGAGGGGGATCATAATAAGTCTTCATTATCATGAGTTAATAATTAGTAAATAATATAGTTTTAGCCTTAACTCATGATAAATAGACTTATATTTGTGTTAAAGTGTGAAAAGTGGTTTTCAGTTGATTAAAGTAATTTTTTAGGTAAATATGTGATTTTATATGAATTTATATGATTTTTATAGTCTTACTTTTGAGATAAATCAAGAAAAAGAAATAAAAATAAAAATAAAACAAAATGGGGGGGGGGGGGGGAGACTTGCCAGCCAACTAGGACCACAAGCGGGTCGGAAGCGTAGTCGGGGAGTAGCCGCGAGCAGGGGCTCGAGCGGCTTGGACCGATAGGGGCACGTGTGCGCCACTCCCCTTCCACGTCACTAGTGGCCAGCTGACTGTGGGGCAATGAGTGGTCGTACATGCACGAGAAAATAACTTAATCGGAAATGTAATATTATTATATATTCGTTAGAAACTTCAGCGCACAAGCGATGTGAGACTAAACCCATGTCACACTTTCCCTAAAAAAAGTGGAACAATTAGCATGGGTTCAAATCCTCCTAGAGTTAAAACTCATATTTTTTTATTTGATTATCGCAACTTTCCTACAGATCGTTGGTGAAGGATTAAGCAACCAGAATCACTAGATCATCGGCGAAAATCTCGTCAACGCGATTCGCAGAGCATTGTTATTAAAATTGTCAAATGATTCACGATAAAAGGATCGCGAATCCATCGAGTAAAGCATCTTCGATTGATCGACAAACAAGCCGTTGTCGGAAAGAGGACGATCTGCCGGGAGACGAGTCACCACCTCCTGAGAGTGTACCAGATGTGATAAAGAGCCTCCTCTTACTGCGCGGACTTGAAGATGAAACTCTTTGACACGCACCCCACCTCCATTCAATTCCTCTCCGTCGAGTGACAGCCGTTGAAGAGTCGCAAAGTCGTCGTTTTTCCACTCTGCCAAGTGACAGCTGCCGGAGATGATTCGACAACCCATTTCATTGATCTCTAAACTTCGCAAGGAGATCTAAAGATTGCCCATGCCATCCTTGTCCAAGGAGAACCTTTGAAGCCATGGACACTACATGACGATCCTCTCGAATGCTCAGGATTCCAGTACATCGCCGACGCATTGCCACTGCGATGTCGGAACTCTATTTTCCTACTTTCAACTTAATTTCCGCTTCATTTAGTGATAATTTGTTGATTTTAAATTTACCAAGATATACTTCGTTTTATTACGATTTTTTCGGTTTTTACAGATCTTAATTTACTCAATTAAATTATTTGTAATCGCTTATGTAAGAATCATCAAGTGGAATTATATTTCCACCCGATTCGCATTTGCCGGGTGCTAACATCATCTTGACGACCGCACTCTTATTTTCTTTTTTTATGAATTTTAAATATATTTCTTTTTTTATTTCTTAGTATAAAATTTATAGAAAATAGTATTCTTTGAGGAAAATTCTGAATAATTACCAGGTATTATATTATATCCTTATGATTGATCTGAAAAATTATCACTATTTTTGAAAGTTTTATTGAATTATACTTGATATATTTGTTCAAAAATACTTATAAATATCTAAAAATTCGTATTTTCTAGTTTTATAAATTTTAAATTTGCGTGATTTACTATACAACGACTAAGTCACGTCAGATCATAAATTAGCTAAACCTATTATAACCAATATATATTTTATCAAGGATTTAGTGAAAATCAAGAAAGTAGTGATCCATATGGTAGTTAGAACATAGAGTAGGCCTAGTGAGCAAACCATTATAAAGATAGAGTGTGAAACACTCATCTTGATGTTTAAATCTTAAGAATTAAGAAGGGAAAATAAATTAGTTGAAGAATAAAAGAATTAGGATATTATTTATTCAACCCTCCAATGAAGTTGGAGGTGTTAAAGGTCAATGAATTTGGTGGTGGCTTTTGTCATTTGTCTATAAAAGTCTGAAATATATTTGGAGTTACGATTCAAAACTTTAGAATATGTAATTTAAAATTTTTAAAAGTTTTCTCTCGATCTATCAAATATATGGATGTCTTAGAGTTTTTAGATGAGAGGGTCATAAAAAAACCAATATTGTCCTCCTATGGCTGAATGTTATAATCTATCAAATTGATATAAAATAACTTCAAATTTTGTGAAATTAAAACCCCAACCTTCAATTTTTAAATTAATTATGACTCTTTGAAATCATGTCTATCTAATTAGTATGATATTCCATATCATTGAGAATTTCACTCCATTTGATTCTTCCATACATGTATGTTTTGTCACCATAAAAAAGGGGGGAGATTGAAAGCATTTGGGACCTGAATTATTTTGATTGTGAAAACATGTATGGAGAGGTAATTGTGTAAATTCACATTAGTATAATTATGTATACATATGGTCTTGATTGTTTTGTTATCGAGGAATGTTTAAATTTTTAAGCAAAATTTCCTCAAGTGTAGAATGGTTAATTTTTATGATTGATAATGTTGAGAAAAAAATTCAAAGGTAAAATTGTTAATATTTATACTTAAAATTGCATGAAATAATTTTCTATGAAAATTGGTACCCCATGCATGTAAGTCCCATTAGAGATAAAACAAAAAGAGGAACACAATGCATGAAATTAACATCAAAATGTGAAAGTTTCAACTTTTTATGAATTTTAACATATTTATGATTATTTCTGGGGTTTAAATTTTAGACTCTAGATGCACATATTTATGCATTAAAAACAGCAATAGGAAGCCTAATAATTTGGATGTCAAAGACAAAATATGCAATATAAGGAGACACTTAAATCCACTAGAACTAAAGTATGAAAGTAAAAATTTAAGAAAAAATTTTAAAGAAAAAGCTTCAAGATAAAACGTCTTCCTTTTGAGTAGTCCAAGCTTGATTGATAAATCTTTGACCATTGAAAAGAAAATGTTAACCAGCTACCATTTAAGCTCTACATGACTCTTCCATGTCAACACTTCTCAAACAAAAAATTTAGAAAATTGAGTGTTAAGAGTTGAACAGTTAAACACTAACACATTCTTCATTTGTTTGTAGGTGAATTGGCACTCAAGGCCCATTTAACACCTAAATCTATAAGAAATTAGTAGTTGTTAATGTTCTTTGATCCCTTAGAGTCATGAATCTACAAGAGAGGAGTATATTTTATCTATTTACCCTAATAGAGTTGTAAAATTGTAAGTAGGGAGTGGATTCTTCTCTGGTTTTACATCCTAAAACTGTTATTTAGAAAAATATTTCTAAGTGATATCCTAAATTTGGTGTTGTTAAATCTAATAGAAAATTACTTAAAACTTGTAATTCGAAATGTATTTCAAAAAAAAAATAGTAAAACCTAAGTAAATGACAACATGTGTGGTACATGAAAAGTGGAGGTCTAGTGATTAAACCACTATACAGATAATGAGCAGAGAATAAAAAAATTAAATGCTACCAATTGACCCCCACCCCTTTTGGTGTATTGACATATAAAGCTAACACTACACTCTTCTACAACATAATAGAAAGACAAACTTAGTATACAATTTTTTTCTTTAATGTACTATGATCCGTAAAATTCAGCGATATGATAAATGAAATATTTTGGTTACTTTGTCATGGCCTTTAGTAATGCTAACTTCATTTTTTTATTGAAATATTGTCTCCAATGCACTTTGCTTTTTTGCTTTATATGCTTTTTGAAATGCCTTTTTGTGATTGAATACTTTATAAGTTTCAAATCCCATTTGAAGCCCTATAACTTAGCACAATGGTCAAGGGATTTGAAAAGGTTAATGTTCATTTACTTTTAGTGAAGTTGGCTTAACTTTTTTCCCCAACTAACCATGAAACTTACCTTATGTGAGAAATTGTAGAACATATAAAAGTGAGAATTGAATAATGGAAATAATTTTAATAGAATAAGAGCTAGATCATTCAATCAACAAAAAAATAAAATCAAGTCAAGAAATGTAATATGTTGCTAAAGTAGAGGAAAAAGTAATTCTAGAGAAAATATATTGCCTGAAGAATATTTATAGAAATAGATTTAAATGACAGTGAATAATGACCACGGATTGAATAAATATGGCCCACAATCAACTTACTCATCAAATCTTATCTCTAACCATTTAACTATTGAAAAGAAAAGAGATAATTAAATAAATAATACACAATTGAGAAAGGACTTGACAACTGAAGAAACCGAATGTTTGACGACGCGGATCTCTGACTTTTGACTTCGACGACGCGGAAATGCACAGGAACGAAGGCCGAATGGTACTCTCGGGCCACATGGGCCAATAAAACACTGACGTAATATGTAAGAAACTATGTGCACCGCGGTGCACAAGGTCCGCGAACTCAAGGGAGATAGGCCTTGGAATGGCGTTGTGCACCGCGAACTAGAAAGCATTTTTATTCTTCTAAAGAGATTGGAAGACCGAAGGTACCTTCCTTCTGCCATCTCTCTCTCTCTCTCTCTCTCTCTCTCGGACCCTCTCCTTCCCCCCCCCAATCGGGTTGGTCGAAGGAGATCTGTAAAAGCCCACATCTGACCCTTTGGCGGCGCCCCTCAGGTCGTCTCTCTTTCTCCCCCATCGCCGCCGGATCCCCCTGAAAGAGAGGAAGGGTTTGCAGGCGCCTGCATCGCCCCCGGAAGCTGATGTCCACTACCCACATCCGGTCCTGATTTCGTCGCCCACCTCCGGTCGATCGCTCTGCTCCGGCGATGGACAACGGCTACACCGCCGTCGAGCTCCAGCCGCAACGCGCCGGCGACGGCGTGATCCCCAAATTCCGCCGTGTATACGAAGAGGAAAACGACAAGGATGATCTTCCCCTCATCGTTAACGGCAGCTCCGGCAGATCCGATGGCAACGAAGGGGGGAAGAGGGCGGCGGCGGAAAGGCCAGGGGGCTCTGGAGTCCCCGGTGCAGTCTTCAACCTGGCTACCTCCGTCATCGGTGCCGGCATCATGGCCCTTCCGGCGGCCATGAAGGTTCTTGGCCTCGCCCTGGGCTTCGTCTCCATCGTCCTGATGGGGCTCCTCTCCGAGATCAGCATCGAGTTCCTCGTCCGCTTCTCCGTCCTCTCCGGTGCCGCCTCCTACGGCGACGTTGTCCGCACCGCCCTCGGTCGCCCCGCCCGCGCCATCGCCGAGGCCTGCGTCGTCGTCAACAACGCCGGCATCCTCATCGTCTACCTCATCATCATCGGCGACGTCATGTCGGGCTCTGCGAACCACAGCGGCGTGTTCTACCAGTGGTTCGGCAGGGGCATCTGGGAGGACCGGAGGCTCGTCATCTTGATCGTCCTCGTCCTCTTCCTCTTGCCGCTCTGCGCGCTGGAGGGGATCGACTCCCTGAGCCTCTCGTCGGCGGCCTCCATTGCCCTCGCTGTCCTCTTCGTGGTCGTCTCCTGCGCGATCGCCGTCATCAGATTCCTCCGGGGAACCACCGAGACCCCGCGAATGGGGCCGGATTTCAGCTCCAGTGCCGCCATTCTTGACCTGCTCGTAGTCGTTCCCATCATGACCAACGCCTACGTCTGCCACTTCAACGTGCAGCCCATCTACAACGAGCTCCGAGGGCCGTCGTCGGAGAAGATGAACCGGGTGAGCAGAATCACCACCTCGCTCTGCGTGGCGGTCTACGCCTGCACCGCCATCTCCGGCTACCTCCTCTTCGGGGACGAAACCCAGCCCGACGTGCTGATCAACTTCGACCAGGACCTGGACTTCCGCTTCAGCTCCGTCCTCAACGACCTCGTCAGGGTGGGCTACGTCCTCCACCTAGTTCTCGTCTTTCCCGTGATCCACTTCTCCCTGCGGCAGACGGTGGGGAACCTCGTCTTCCGGGGGAAATCGCCGCCGGGGAGGGCGAAGACGCTGGTCCTGACGGCGGTGCTGCTGTCGGCGATCTACCTGGGCTCCACCAGGATCCCCAACATCTGGGTTGCCTTCAAGTTCACCGGCGCCACCACGGGGCTTTCCCTGGGATTCATCTTCCCCTCCCTCATCGCCCTTAAGCTCAGTGACCCGGCGAAGAAGACAGTACGAAGATCAGAGAAGATCATGGCCTGGCTGATGCTCGTGCTGGCGGTGGCGGCCGGCATAGTTGGAATCGTGGGAAACGTCTTCAGCATCAGTGACTGAAGTGGGTGATCCAGACCCACCGCCACTGTGACTTCCTCACCATTTGAGCGTGGGACCGACTAACGACGCGCCTGGTCTTGAAGAGCCGCCCCCCCCCCCCCCTCCTCCATTAATGGCGACGGTGGAGATCTCCATCCTGGATCTCCCGCAGACAGCTGGAATGAGGTACTCCTCTTGGTCAGATCTCCTAAAATTGGATTCTTTGGGCGTAATACCCACCATCCTTATCTTGTTAAAAATATTCCTCTCACATATTGAACGCATACCCAATTCCCCAAACTTGGGTCTAATTATGAACACGTTGTTCTTCCTATGAAGGGAGGGGATGTATATCATTTGTGGCACATGGATAGAACTTGTTTGGGCTATCGGCAATATTTCCCTGCCGGATTATTTATGTAAACTTATGAACGTCTGGGCAAGATGAACTCCAATCCTTTTTCCTGTTTTTTTTTTTCCTACTTCAACGCAGAAAGGAATGGAAGGATTTCTGGAAAAGTAGGCTGGGTTCCTTCAGTTGGGTTTGATCTTGAAAAGCTGAACCTGTTAAATAATTTATAGGAGTTCACGCCAACTGTTCCAGAGAAGAGGCATAATATGGAGTCGTGGTGTATATATGGGCTTGCCCCTCACCTCTCTCTCTCTCTCTCCTGCCATGGATCTTGTTTTAAGGTCCAAAATGATAGGTCACATGCATCCTTCCCCAGAGGACAACGAGTTCATTCCCCTGCGCCTGTGGCCTTCCGTGAACGCCTTGGACTTAGAGACCGAGAGAGAGAGAGAGAGAGAGAGAGTGAGAATGTGAAGTAATCACTAGCTGTTTGTTGAAATGCCTGCCTGACCGGCAGAGTGCTCACTGGCAAAGAGACCAATGTGCCCTACCGTCTCTAAAGAAACTCCATGCTCTTGCAGCTCTGGTTAGGCCAGAGATCGCCGCCGGCCAGATCCGTCGACCTGTGAAGGATGGAGAGGATTCTGTCCCCTGAAAACCAGCCCCAAATTTGGAAGGAATTACACACACAGCGGGAGGGGGGGGTTGGAGTTTCTGCCTTCTACTCTGTACTAGGCGAGTGAAGTTGTGGGAGACAGTTCATCAGGACTCCCCCCGGTCGGCGCCGCTGTTCAGCGCTTCGGGCTCCGGCGAACCTGGAAGGACCCGCCGGAGTAGAGCATCCGGTACACGGGCCTTATCCTCACGGTGAGGATCACGCTCAGCAGGCTGCCCAGGCCGCAGACAGCGGCCAGGAAGAGGAACGTGAGCCTGAAACAGCCCGGTCCCACGCAGGAGCTGCCGGGCGGCGCGTCGTGGAAGCCGCGGCGCTGCCGCTCCGCCTCCCGGTCGTAGACGTAGCCAGCAAGGAGGCCGGAGAAGAGGAAGGCGCCAATGGGGTTCCCGAGGGAGAGGAAGTTGTAGATGATCCCAAAGTCCTTCAGGCCGAAGAGCTCCGACGCCGTCGGCACCATGATGCAGATCTGCACGCCATAGCAGACGCCGAGGAGCGCCACTGAGGCGTAGAGCGTGGCGGTGGGGGCGGAGGCGGAGAGGAGGAAGACGAGGACCATGGCCAGCTGCGTGAGCCCCATCCAGATGGACCTGGGGAGGGCCCTGGAGCGGACGAAGTGCTCGGAGACGACGCCGCCGCCGAGGCGGCCGAGGAAGTTGCAGAAGCTGAAGAGCGAGAGGAGGATGGTGGTGTCCTCCACGCCGGAGGCGATCCCGATCTGGGCGAGGTTGTTCAGGACGGTCACGCCGGACCCGACGCCGAGGAAGTAAACCAGGAAAAGGAGCCAGAAGTCGGCCTTGACGAGGGCCTCGAGGAAGTCGAAGTCCTCCCCCCGTCTGGGCTTCCTCTTCTTCTTCACCGCGCCCTCCCCCACCGCCAGGAGGATGTCCACGTCGGAGACCTCGTCGCCGCTCTCCTGCAGCTTCGCCGACGACGAGGATACCGACCGGAGCAGCGGCTCCTCCGGCGACGACTCCTCCTCCTTCTCCGGCGGCGGAGGAAGGGATGGGATAGCCGGGAAGATGGTCATCTTCAGTGGGATGGCCAGGGGAGAGAGCAGCAGCGCCACCATGCCGGCGACGAAGGCATAGGAGACGGCCCTGCCGACCGTCAGGACGTCATCCAGCAGGGTCGTGGTGAGCAGATAGATGCCCAGCAGCACGCTGGCGAGCTGGATGAACAGGAAGTGGCCGCGGTCGGTGGCGGCGTCACCGGGGACCGGCGCGCAGGCCCGGATGAAGTACATTGACAGGACGGAGACGGCGGGGATCCCCAGGGTGAGCAGCAGCAGCAGGCCGGTGGACGAGTTGCGAAGCACGCCGGCGTAGATCTCGGTGTACACGGCGGCGCTCAGCCCGGCGTAGCCCTTGAGCAGCCCTGCCACCGTCCCCCGGCTGAGCGGGAAGTTCCGCATGTTGGTCACCACCACCCCCGTCCCCAGCCAGGCACTGCTGTTGGTGGCGACCACCAGCGCGATCCACAGCTGCCGATCACCACCAGAACAGAAGCAGAACCAGGAAAACCTCGTCATCTTCATCCTGGGGGACGACCACCCTAGAGAGATAGGAAGAGAGAGAGAGAGAGGGCGTACGAGCCAGTAGGGTATGGTGGTGACGGTGCGGCTGACGGCGAGCCAGAGGACGCCGAAACCGAGGAAGCTGCAGGCGGCGCCGACGAGGAGGATGGCCCAGGGGGGGAGGCGGTTGCAGACGACGCCGGGGAGGACGCCGACGTTTTCGCCGACGTCATTCGCCACGCCGAGGATGGTGAGCTGCTGCTGCGTTAGCCCCAGCACCGACTTCAGCGAGTGGGAATAGAGAGGGAAAGTGTAGCCGCTCCCCGCCGCCATCTGCACCCACACCGCCGCCCCCAGCCCCACCCACGGCGGCCGAGCCCCCGACTTCACCTCCAACCCCCCACCGCCCCCTTCCTCCTCCGGCTCCGGCGTCGCCATTTCCGCCCCGCCACCACTACCACCGCCGCCGCCGGAGCTCCGTCTCGCAGCCGCAGCAAAAACAACAGCAGAAGAGAGAGAGAGAGAGAGAGAGAGTGGGGAGGGAGGGAGTGAGGATTTGAAGGAGCGGAGGGCCTGGCTCGGCCTTTAAACGAGTTCCCCGTGGGGAAGGACTAGTACGTTGCAGGGCCTGCTCCCCGGAAGCAGCCCGCAGGCTCTCAGGAACCTCCCGTGGGGCCAACCCACGCACCTCTTCTTCTCCTTCACTCCCTCGTACCCCGACGCCTGCCACACTACACTCACATCCTTTTATTTCATATAACAATTGAAGCCATCGTACCAACTTTAGAGAGAGAGAGAGAGAGGGAAGGGGAAACTTTTAAGAATACGAGACAGATGGGTCGTTTTCCACGTCCCAGCCAAGTGCGTCAATATTCTTCAGTGGGCTCGAATAATTGAGCCCTAGTAGAACAAAAGAGACTCATTTGATGACTACAAGACCCCAAATTGATAAATAATTCGTCAATTTCAAATATAGACATGCTATTTATTGATAAAATAAAATTTCCCTCAGAAACTATTTTAGTAGTGAAGGTGAGATCAAATTCTAATATGTTAGTTTAGTTTCCTGTTTAGGGACTTTTATCAATTGTCACTAAAATTATGCTTGTCATATTTTTTTATGTACGCTTAAGAAGAAGAAAATGCGCATGGCCCATCTTCCTAATATTTCCAACTTTAGTTTTACATGCTATAAATGTTGAATAATTATAAGAATTTCGGAAGTATTGCTAAAGAAGCCCGTGACTTGGAGCTCCAACGTGATCCCAAAAAGGATATATTTTTATCATAATTTAATATTTTTCTTTGCATTAAATGAATTTGGATGAGAGAGGTGAGAGAGGGAGGGGGATAAAGGGAGTGAGTGAGAGAGAGATAGCTCTTGCGTGCGGATCTCATCCAATTAATAATATAATTAAAATCCATAAAATCAATTTTTATCTCGTTTTAGGAAGATAAATAGTGTACACCTATTTTAATTTTAATTTTATTTATTTATCTAGATAATAGACTAATTCATGAAAAAGGGATAAATGGATCATCTTAGTTGGCTTAGTTTAAAACCTATAACAAAAAGTTAATTTTTTGTTTGAATCTTATTCTGATACATTTGTATTTATTTGAATAAAATTAAATAATAATGGGTTGTTAATGCTCACTTAAATTTTATGATAACCCATTAAATGCCAACTTTTAAATCACAAGTAGCTTTATATATACATATATACATATATACATATATACATACATATATGACAAGAGTATGTTGCCCACATACAACTAGTTGCCAGGTGCATCGATCGGACTATCTCCACCCAAAAGTCAAAGCCCCAATTTTATTATTCTGAAAAGGTAGAATTAACATTTTAAGTTTTTGCCATTTTCCAATTTGTAGTCAATTAGTTGGAAGTCCCCACTACGGGTAAATGAGATCTTGACACGTGTAATCTGGCTTGAAGCAACCACGGAAACGTGTGAGGATGGATCTATGGAGCGCCCACCGCTTTTCTCTGCCGTCGGATTATCTGGGCTCGAGTCCGAAACCGGAAGCCTCCTGCCCTCGGCTGCCGAGTTAGCTTAACCCATCCCGGACGTTTGGTTAACTCGGATTTCTTGTTGACCGACCGGTCCGGTGGTTGCCCCGCCGTGAAGGCCCCTTAATTACAAAAGTACCACGGCGGGACTCCTCTATATACATCGTCACTGGCCAGGTAGGTTTGCCGCCCGGTGACCGACCCAACCGCCTCCAAAATCAACGTCTCTCTCTCTCTCTCTCTGTGGGCGTGTTGCTGCATCTCCTACTCCTTCAACCTCTCTCTCTCTCTCTCTCTCTCTCTAGAGAACCGAAGGACGGACGCCCCTTCCAGCGGCGGCGACCGACGCCGATGATGGCTGTGGCATCCTCGTCAAGGGCGAGATCCAGCGGGCATGGCTTCTCTCACGGCTCACGCATGTGCTCCTCGCCGGCAGCTCTCTCGTCCCCCTCCTCGGCCTTCGCCTCGTCCTCTTCGAGCTTTTCCGCCGCAGCGAGGTCCTCGCCGGCGTTCGACTTCCGCGGCCACCAGCGGCCGGCGTCCTCCACGCGCGTCCACCTCGCCGGAGTCTCTTCTCCCTCGTCCGCGTCGACTTCATTCCGGTTCTCCATCGTCGATCGCCTGACCTCACCGACGCAGCCTCTTTCCGTGTCGTCCCGCAACCACCAGATCGGGAAGAAACCGGCCGACGCGCCGCCGACCTCGCAGCGTAGGACGTGCATGTGCTCCCCGACGACCCACCAGGGATCGTTCCGCTGCTCCCTGCACAAGAACCTCAGGCACCATCCCAGCGAGAGTTCTAGCGTCTCGTCACCTTCTAGCCGGCTCAACGCGCGGCGATCGGTGATGACGAATTCGCTCGTTCGGATCGGATCTGTCGAGGGTTCAGATGTCATCAAGCGCGCTCTCGCTGCGCTGATCCGTCCCTCATCCCAACAGCAGCGGCGGAGAGCCTCCTTCCAGCCCCGGCCGAGCCGGCTGTCTGTCATGTCCAAGGCAGAGGACCTTTGCTGACGCCGATTCTCAATCGGGGAGCAGAACCCCGGGGCATGGGGGGAGGTTGGGGGGAAAAACTGACGGAGAAACAGGGGAAGGAAGAGGGGCATCATCCGGCTGAAATCCCTTCTAATATCCTCTTCCCGTCTCATGTACATAGCCTGTCTTTCCCTCCCCCCCAGGCATTCTCTGGATTGGCCTAAGAAGTTTTCCCATCTCCAAGTAGGTCCGATCTGTTTTCCCGCGTTTCCATCACCGTCGAACATGCGAGTGGCGCTCCTCTGTCAGTTTTCCCTGGTCTTCTCTGTCAGGTAGACTTGGCGAGATCGGAGGCCAAGGCGTCGCCTGCTCGCCAGAATGTGTATACGGCCGGCGGACGGCCGAATTGAAGAAGTGCAGAGCGTGGGCAACGCCTGCCGGGAACAGGCGAACCATCGATCCCAGGCGCCCTCTCTTGTGCTCTAGGGGGAGGGGGGACCTCGCTGCTCACCGGCATGAATTCACCATTAAACTATTTGTTTCAAACTGCTCAGGTCAAGGTGTCACATCTGATGGAAGAGTAGCAACCTCGCTAAGCTGCCGGTTTTCCTCTCTCCGAGTCTTCTTCAGCGGCGGTGTGGTCGTCTACCCCAGAGGCAAGCCCCTTCCGACGATGGAGGTAACCTCAATGTCAGATCATACATCCGTCGTCCTCCGTGCTCGTGCTGGTGTTCTTGGTTCTGATGTAGCAGGTTACTCGGTGTGGAAGATGAAGAATCTCGGATCAGCTGAAACAGGAACTGGAAATGGAATCTGAGATGGATTCTCACAGCGGGACTGGAAGATCAAATTATAAGAGAGGAAACACTGATATTCCAAAACCAGAGGACTTCGCGGGGAAGGAATATCAAATTATAAGATGGAAAGAATCGAGGGTCTTATCCGCAGTCTGATCCCTCACCTGACATCGACGAATTGCAGGCGAGTTTCGTCGTGGATCGGAATGGCAAAGGACAACGACAGGGTGCTCATTTTTTAATGGCGTCGATCGGATCCCTATTTTAATGAGGGAAGGGAAGAGAGAGAGAAAGAGAGAGCAACGAACATGGCATGTTGATGTGTTGTCGCTGTTGTAGCCATAGTAAAAGAATGGGGGGCGGTGGGTAGGAGGCGAGCGGTTTCGGCCGCCGGAAAGGGAAGAAGAGTGCGGCGGCAGCGGCGGTGGCGAATGCTCTGGCAGGAAGCTGGCCCACAGAGATCACAACCTCTCTCTCTCTCTCTCTAGAATAGGGGGAGGGGGGAGGTGAGCTGGTTCATTTGTGGTGGAGCGTGGTTCTGAGGGTCTCCATGGCGGACTGGATGCGGTCGGAGATGTGCATGTAAAGCCAGCGCTGGGCAGCCTCATCCAGGTCGTCGTGCTGACTTCGGGGCCATCCGAGGCTTCGGAAGGTCAACCCCCGGGACACGCTCCGCGCCGTCTCCCGCAGGCCCGGCAGGTCAAACTCCATCGGCTCCCCGACCACGACCCGCACGTGCTTCCTCCACAGCGGTACCGGCGGCCTGCCCCCCATCAACCCCCCCTCCTCCGGCATCACCTGCCCACACCTCCTCAGTAAGAAGAAGAACAAGCCATCCATGGAAGAAGGAGAAGCAGCCAAGGAAGAGGAAGGAGAAGAGGAAGAAGAAGATCACCTGCTCGAAGCCGGCGTGGACGATGGGGAGGACGAGGGGGGTGACGTGGGAACGGTGGATGAGGCTCGCCGTCCCCCACTTGAGCCGACCGATGGGTCCGCCGGCTTGGGAGATCCTGCCCTCGGGAAACGTATGCAGCTGCTCGCCAAAGGGTCAGAGGAGAGGGAGAGAGGGAGGGGAAGGAAGAGAGAGAGAGAGAGAGAGAGAGAGAGAGAGTACCCAGCCGCCACGGCCCAGAACGTCGAGGGCCTCATTCATGTTCTCCTGGTAGATCCCCCCACCTCTCGATATGGGGATGCATTTCCCTGCCATGGCCGGAAAGATGTCCTAATAAAGACCAGAGAGAGAGAGAGAGACCGCAGAGCAAATCGTAGAAGGATGCTCCCTCACCGATTCTACATGAAGATGGGAACGCATTTGATGGGGAATTTATCGAAGGGAGAATGTCGAGCTCTGACGATGCTTTTAAGGTTTCAGGGTTTTAGGCCCCTTAAGGTTGAAGATTTCTGGGTATTAGGGTTCAGGGCTATAGGGCGTCAGTGTTTCAGCATTGAAGATCACAACGGGTTAGGGTTTAGTCGGACAACGGGAGGATAGTATACGAGAAAGAAGAGCACAAGCGCGAGGGAAAGGCCGTGGGATAAGCTCGTTGGAGAATGAATGAAGGTGACGGGTACTTAATTACCCATCATAGAATTTTCCCCCGTTCTTTGGTAAGAAAATGATTTGAGATTGCCCGCAGAATATGAACTCGTAGAAAATTCGATTTGGAAGAAAAGTGGAGAGCGAGATCTGGATCTTACCGAGACGGAAGAAGTAGGAGAGGAATCTGTTCTTGAAGCAGATATCCTCGGCTGCCAGAACCCACCGCGCGAGCCCCGCGTCCATAGTCGGGAAGCCCACGAATCCCCACATGAGTGGGTCATCCAGCCTGGTTCATGCTCAGAGCTTGAGATCGAGATCTCCCCTCTCACTCTCTCTGACGAAAATAAAAATAAAATAAAAATTGTGGGCAGCGGCGATGCTCCAACGATTTCGATGAACAAACAGAGGTTACGGGACCGGCGGAGAACGAACTCAGAGTGATGAAGAACAAGAAAAAAGCGAATCGAATCTGTTGAATCAAGCGAGCGTCAACGTCGATCCTGGCGAGTGGCTCAGTAGATCTGCAGAGAAATAGTTGGTCTGCGAGGATTTTAATGGACTGAGGAGCCGAATCGGGTTTCGCGGAAGATTAGATCGGAAGGAGGAAGAGAGAGAGAGCAGGAAGGAGGTGGACTCACGTGGACATGTGGTTGCTGACGGTGAGGAGGGGCCGGCCAGAGGGCCGGGAGTGGACGAGGCGGAGGAGGTTGTCGGCGTTGTGGACGGTGGTGGTGTTGAGGAGGGAGGCGACGGCCTTGGCGAAGGCGCCCACGGCGGCGATGACCAGCCGGCGGGGAACTCCGCCGTGGTGGCGGCGCTCCGCCCACGCCAGCGCCGCCTCTCCTCCCGCGCCCATCGCCTTCGATTCACGGCCCACAAGGGTTAAAAGATCCCCCTCCAACTTGATGTCTCGCCTTCGCAAACCAGGCTCTCTCTCTCTCTTCCCCGGGTCAGCACGCGGCGGCATAAAAGACCCTCCAATGTTGGTGTCTCGCCTTTGAACGGGGGTGTGTGTAAGTTTGTGTGCTCTCTCTCTCTCTCTCTCTCTGTCTCTACGCCAAGAAACCTTCCTCGAGCATGGTTTCGACGCTGGGCTGCCCTGATTCCACCAGTCAACTGATATGGTGAACCCTCTAAATAATGCCATGGACCAGATCGACAGTCATCATCAGAAAATTAATTAATCAATGAATCAATCTATATAATTTAATAAATGGCATACGTAAAATCGTCAGGAAATTAATCAATGAATTAATCTATCAAAATTTAATCAGCGCCATAAATACAATCGCGCCCCCCGACACAAAAACTGACTCCAGATTCGCCGAGAACATCGCCGCCGCTCTTCGTACTCGCGGCAATCCTCCCTATTCTTCTTCAGGAGCCTCGATCACTCCCCCGAGCTGAGCATGAGCTGGAACCACTGAGAACGCAATTCACCCGAAAGAAAGCAATCAGGACCCATCATTCTGCGCACCAAATTAATAGAAAAACAGGCCGCAAGATCGCTCCTTTTTGCCTCTGCTTCTCCCGTTTTCTTGGAGAAACAGCCTTTTTGAAGCAGAGCAAGAACGGCATGAGAAGGAAGCCATGGATAAGCTAACCAACCTGACGCAGCAAGTCGGAGACGGTTCTGGGGAGAGCTTCGATGTGCCTGAGGACGACGTAATACGGGAAGGGGAAGGAGTCCATGTACTTGGTGCAAGAGAACTTCCCACCGACAAAGGAGTACTCCTGAATAAAACCCACATCCATTCCCCATCAGAGAGAGAGAAGCAAATAGTCAACGGCATTCAGGGAGCAGGCATGACATGACGATGATCGAACGTACCGGGATATCCATGATGGATTCTTCGGGGTTGTCCAGGAGTACGAACGCGATCATCCTCCTCTTGTTCAGGATATCCCTGACGCGACGCCTCAGATTCTCCTGCCAACAGACGCAGCAAGAAACACCATGAGGCCTCAGATTTTTTTTTGTTTTTTTTCACTTGGGCAGGGAGTTCGTGGGGACATGATGATGATGGTGATGATGCATGCGTTAGATTCAGGGCATTCGTAGTAGTTTTTTTTTTTCCGGTGAAGGAGAGGTGGACATACCTTGTCCTGGAAACGGCCGTCGGCTATGATCAGGATAAGTTGGTTGAGGGGGTTGGCTCCGGAGGGCAGTCTTGCCCTCGCGACGGCAGTGTCAAGCACGCCGTCTAGATACTTGAGGAGGTCAACGACCGGCTCGTCCCTCACCGTGTTGTCTTGCTTGAACGACAGGCTAGAGATTATCTGTTTCATCAAAATGAGTCGAGCGAAAAAGTAATCAGCTTCCAGGAAAAGAACACCGGCGAGAGCCAGCTTCAGGGAAAAATTGAAGGATCATTCTCCAGAATGGAACATCAGTCTTGTGAGTAATTGCTTAAACTGATTTGATATCAAATGGAGACTCGAACAAGACCATCCAAGAGAGAGAGAGAGAGAGAGAGAGAGAGAGAGAGAGAAGAGACGGGCACCTTGGCTCCGGTTTCCACTGTGAAAGGCTGGTCAAAGTCGTGAAGCAGCCGGGTATTCCCCTTCTCACCGAAAGATGCGACGGCGAATTGGCCGACCTCAAGCTGTGACATGGCGCGGCAGATGGTGACCAGTGCCTCGATCGCGACGCCCCCACAGTGGCTCTCGGACATGCTTCGCGAGTCGTCGACTGCAACGACCACCTGATAATCCCTCTTATTTGGCTTTGTCCGTCTGAGCCATATCTTGTCCTTACGGAAATGGCTGGCTATGTACGGAATAACCTGGAGATTTCAAGAAAATAATGAGAAACAAAACAGAGGGAAAACAGGGACATTCAGCCCAATGTATTCAGAAGAGTGGCAACAATGGATCATTAGAGAGAGCATGCCAAACAAAAGATAATCTTTTTTCTTATTTTCCTAGCCTTCCGATCGGTTCTAGTGAAAGCAAGCCGCTGGATAAGATTCTCAGGCAGGTGGTGTATCCGGTCGAGCAAATCTCACCTTTTTCATATTTATTCGCTTTCCAGTCTTGTAATCCCCCTGAAGTTTGCTCGCAAGGGTTGGCTCCATTACCAGGCGCAGCTGCTCGCAGAGTTCCTGAGAGAGCCTCATCGTCTTGCGCTCATATCTTTTCCAGTCCAAGAGAGGATCCAGACCCAACCCCTCCGGTGTGCCGCCAATTTCCGCCATTCTCACCGGCCGATCAGCCGCAGGGTCCTCAGATTGAGGCGGCAGCTCGGCCATGGAGTAGGTCTCAAAGGAGACCAAATCTCCCAACTCTTCCCTCGAGCTCTCTCTCTCTATCCCTGCTTCGAGCACATTATTTCCCCCGGCTCTGTTGGGCATCTTCTTCCCCGATTCCTCACTCGATTCTTGCTCTCTTGAGGCAGAGGCTTCCAGCCTTTTCATATACCGATGCTCAGAAAAATCCTCTTCAACGACCTCCATCGGATCGGTGCCATCGCCCTCATTGACATGATCTTTGATCAGACTGTCCTTTTTCTCAATATTCTGATCGATCTGATCATAAGTTGCAGGACCCAGCGTTTGAGAACTGCCCTTCTCCATCTCGGGAACAAATTGGTATTCATCCCCGACGCCATCTCCCTGCTGATTGGGGACGTCGGGCTCAGGGTCCTGTGGATCGTCTGAGAATTTGACCCTCTCCTTCCACTCCTCCATGGCGTCCCCAAGGCTCCTGTAGGGATTGGGAGCGGTTCTCTGCAGAGAGGGCGGGTTGTCTTCAACAGGCCTGCGCTCTGGTTCATCAACAGAGAGGACTTCACCATGGCCGGAGTCTGGCAAGCATAACTCCTTCCTGGGAGCGTCAAAAGGCATGCTACTAGAGGGCGCGTAGCTCGCCTGAAGGTCAGCGCTGTTGGACCACTGTGCCTGTGCCATTACACTTTGGCTGGCTGCAAAAGAATCATGTGCGGGCTCCGCAGAGTCCTTCTCCGACCAAGGATCATTCTTGGGTTCGGTCTTCCCCCCGTCGTCAACTGATTCACTGGTGGGGGCCGTCGTGTCAATGTCAGCATCCCTGTCGTTCTTCTCTGCGTCCCCTCCATCACTCTCTTCTTCCTTTCTTGCCTCGTCGGTATCATTCAGATCCATGTAATCTTCCCCAGAGTTCTGGTCTCCTCCATCTTCCACATCCTCCTCCGCTTGTTCGTCCAAGGTGTCAGAACCTGCCGCCTCATCCATGTCCGCCTCGCCAGAATCTTCCTGTCTCCCCTTCTCATCAAGCTCTATCCCCGTCGGCTCTTCAAAGGCAGCATTCACATCCATTTCTGTCTTAGCTGACGATAATTCATCATCCGAACCGCCAGGGTTCTCCTCCTCCCCGCTTAACCTCTCGGGCATATCATCGGTCAAGTCCCCGGACTCGTCAATGTCAGTGGCAGCAGCATCCTTACCTCTGAGCTCCATAGAGCTCGGTTCCTTCTCGTCGACACCTGGGCCCGACTCGTATTTCTCAGCAGCTTTATCGCCGTCGCCGTCTTCTTCGTTATCCCAAAGTTTCTCATCGACCACCTGACTGCTATCATCGCCCTGTCCCATGACAGATTCAACATTTACGTCGTCCTCCTCCCCGTTCTCGTCCTCGCCTGAATCTTCACTGACGTTGAATGTATCGGCGGCAAAATCCTCCTCCATTTCAATCCCTTTATCAGTTTTGCTCGGCGCTTTGTCGGCATTCTCGGCACCGTCATTCTGCTGCAGCGAGATCAACAGACGAAGGTAAGATAGGAGCGGCGAATCCTTTTCTCCGATTGAAATGTAGCACAGCACGTTACCTTATCGGATGTCCCGAGGAGCTGATCTTCGTCGTCTATCTGACTGCTGACGTCATTGGCACCCTCACCCTCTCCCATGCCAGTTCCAGTGGCTTCTTGACACGCGCCAGAAGCGTCATCTGCTGGGTCATCTAGCCCTCCAAACCCTTCTGAAAACAAGAAGGCAAATATCTGCGCAATCGTCTGTGACACTTGAGCGATCTGCACCAACAGAGGAGACGACCCGGTTTCTCAGAGCCTGAAGCACGCGAGAATGAACACCGGCGGTGGGACAGGGCTTCAAGGAAGTGAATAACTCACCGCGCTGTGGACTGCTAGAAAATCCAAAAGAACCGCGTCTGCAAAACTCAAGAAAAGATCCAGCAGTTGATAAAGATGCTTCAACTGGGCCTCTGCTCTAGCGCAAATCCCAGCGTTCTTATTTCCAGCGCGGTACAACAATTCGACCTGAGATCACAGAGCAACAACAGAAAACAATCACGCGGAGATTATAAGGCAAACGCGATGGGTCAACAGGGGTTTGGTTTTAGGGAGAGAAAAGTCTACAAGAAGCATACCGCTTTCACTAGTGTTTCGCTCAGTGATTCGTATACGAGGTCCAACTGCAACTCTGAGACGTACTTTCTAAATATAATATCCCACGAAGTGATCTTCTCAGCTGGGACATCGCCAAAAGGACTGTCCTCTTTACTGAACATGCTGAGTTTCTCGATTAAATCCTTGATTATCCCGGTAGATTTCACATAACATTCAGTGAATGCAGCATCGAGTTCAAGAAAATTCTGTCCATCGACGTTGTTGTGCTCTTGACACGAACTTGTTGGCTGGTTTTCACCTACCTCACGGAAGAGTTCTTCTTCCATGAGCTTCCCCTGCACAGCATACAACCTCGATTGATTCACTTGTTTCCTTTGAAATCTCTTCATGCTTGTTTTATGTTTTACGCACAAGGCTAAGGGAGAAATAACCATCTTCGATGCAAGTTACTATGGAATCATCATCTTGCGCTAAATTCAATCCATAAAAAATGAAAATAAAATACAAATGATCATAAAAAATGAACATGAATTGATGCAAATAAGAGCACCATTACTATGGTCAACAGTACAAATCTCTCTCTCTCTCTCTCTCTCTCTATCTCTCTCTCTCTCTCCATATATGTCATATCATACTATATCTATTAGCGTCCCCAAAGACCTTCAGACAATAGCTGCAAAGGATTAGGGTAAAAGGAGACGAAAAAGAATGCAACAAATTTCGTGTAGCAGCTGCTTGCGTGTGACGCAGGCAAAATATGCTAATTCTCCTGGAAATTTAAGATATCAAATGCACCATATGAAGAACAGGAAGCACCATGCTGCACACCGATCATCCCAGGATCTAACGGTTTTATGGAAATCTACATCCGTGTAACAAAAATGAACAAGAATATTATTATGCTGATAATTATTAGCCTATGGTAAAAAAAATTCATCCTCATACACGGAATGCAGAAGACAGCATACTCAGCCATTAAAATCCTCCCCTCCTACGATTGCCATCATGAAAATAGCCACAAGTTGCAGTCTGACTTGAATTTTACATGCGTGCAGACAATCATGGCATCTCAAGTAATACTCCCGAAATGAATGGAATAGTGAACTGTTGTGTACCTTGGTGATGAGCTCTTTAAATCGATCAAGCACAATGCTGCTGATGGATCTCTGGAAAACCTTAGAAGTGCTGAAATTGTTGATATCATCTTCCAAAGAATGAATGATTCGGAAATTTTGCATTACAAGAATCTCCATTTGTTTTGAAACTATGAACGGAGTTTTGCATTTCACGGATGTTGTCACTCCATCTCTACCAAGAAGGTATTTATCCAATAACTCCTGTTAAGGCATCAACGATTATGAAATATTTCATGGATTTTGACAGCAAAAAAAAGAGGGAAAAAAACCAAACCTTTGATTTGACAAAATATTTATTATGCCTATCAAGGAAAGTGGAAATCATCACAGCTTCATCCTTGACAATCTGGCAACCAATCAGGTGACTGTTCCCAATGCATTGCATAAGCAAAGACATGTCTTTTGACATCACCACCAACATGTCGAACAATTTCTGAAAAAATTGAGGAGGTTATAAGAAAAATACAGATCTAGCTTATAAACCTTCCTATTAGTAAAGAGTAAACTATTTTCCACGGTATTCCACTTCAGATATTTACCTTTTGCTTCCACATGCATTCAAATAGCGCCGATTGATTATAGGATAAAAGTAGATCCCCATGTCCTGAAAATGACGACTGCGTCAGCAAGAAGCTGGGACATGAAAAATGACAACCACTTTAGCTACAAACATTCATACCAATATCCCCTAATGAAGAAAAATGACTTCTCATTTTCTTCATCTGCCCAAAAAAAGCATATAAAGTGAAGCGCTGATCCTGCTGAATCATAATGAGATGGTCGATGAAGGACAATGCTCGGTTGACCTTAGCAAGTACACAAGCAAACAAGTAAATATAGAATGCCCACAATCTTCGCATGTTAGTTTTTCAGGAAAAGAAGTTCGAGAACAGACCTGTTCCAGAGATAAATCCTTATGGAAATTCAGGCGAGCCTGCCGTATTTCCTGTAGCAAAGCAATGTTCTTGAAGTAGCACCGATTAGATTTTTTCCATTCTAAATTAAAATTGTTGTTTCTAAGCATTTGACCATCATCGGTGAGACTGATGGAGGAGTTTGTCTCTTGGAACAATAAATGCTGGACGTCGTATGACGACTGAAGAAGTAGAGTACTCGACTGGTTGGACATCTTCACCTGCAGAGACACGGCGAAAATACCAAAAAATTAACGCACCAAACCCATCAAATTTTAAATCACGAGTCCTTATCTGCAGAGATTTATCAAAAGGGTAAATACATATGTACAAAAGAAAATGATTGATAAATCTTGTTCAAAAGATAATATACAGGAATTTACAGAATCAAGTTAGGAACAAATATATATACATACATACACACACACACACACACACATATACATTTCCCTGGAGCTTACAACTCATTTATGTGACTAATCATTAAAAGAAACCCGACAGTAATGTTTCATATATTCGATATTTTCTTGAAGCCATTGAACACAATCCCCTGAAATATAGTCTACATGATGCGCAAATACCTCAGACTGTAGAGCTCTGTGCCTCGATAACCCAGTTGCTTCCAAGGTTTTAAAGAGGTCAGCTAGAGACCTGCGTTTTTTCAGATTCTTGGTAGCATTTTTCCAAACATGAGAAAAGGCAATCGCATGTCCGTATATCTGTTCAAGTGAGGCCCAACCGCTGCTTGTGGATGAAAGAACTGCCTGACACTCAGTAAACGATGACAATCTGATGGGATTTGAGATATCTGGATCAAATCGTGTTGCACTATGTTAGCAGTAAGTAATATATGACCAATCAAACAAATAGAAAATAAGAAACCGTTGGCATTTTCTTGAACATAGATTTATAGAAAGAGAACAAATAACCATGCACAATTCACATAGACAGAACCCCCAACCTCTGTATTGTAAATCAATGTATTCGGAAGCCCTCCTGACATGGGCAGCTTCGAGTGCTAATTTTACTTTTTCACTCCATCCATGATTATTCATCAACCTAAAAAAAATTAAGAAAAATCAAACAAATACTCTAAAATATATACAGCTCAATTGGAAAGGCATAAAGAAAGACCAGACCTTTCTATTGCACCAATGTAAGTTGGTTCTGATGGAAAGGGAACCGGTTCACCATCTGTTTCACCATTGGGCTTTTGTTTAAACCATGCCGTGACTAGACGGTTTTTCACATTTGTTTCTTGATTGAGAAAAATCATCATAGGTTGCTGTAGAAAATCCTGTAAAACACAAGGAAATATGCAATCAAGTTCAATCCATCACTGCAAGAAAGCAAATCTCTCTTCCTAGAATCGGGAGGATAATGTAAATAGGTACGCCAGAGATAAGACATATCATCAATTTCAAAGTCAAATTTAACGTATAGCAATTACATTGAACTTCTTAACAGTCTTGCATAGTTTATGCCGAGCCGCTCTGAATCTCTCCATGGATAAACGGGAGTTTGGCTGCTCCCACTTTAAAAGCTTTATCTGATTCTTTATTTCCTCCATTTTGCCATTTTTTTCAGCTTCAATGTGTCTGATGACTCTGCGGAGACAATAAAATGTCATGAATCAAATATTGAATGGACATAACAAGGCGTAGAAAACACAAACTCAAATGAAGCTGTCATAGGGCACTTACAAAGGGAAAAACTGTATATAGTATCCAAAAGCGTTGTACAGGATATTCAAGATTTCTTTCTGATGAGAGCTACATGATTAAAAAAAAAACTCCTTCAGGAAATGAAATTCTTGTTAACGTCTGGCCATCAAATGAAGGCCCCAGTGACTTCATATCAGAAGCTGAACGGGAAGAATGGAGAATAACAAGTGAGAATCCAAAATATTACCTTTCGCAAACATTCAAGCAGACAGCAGTATTAAACTGCCCATGGAAGGCAAGCAGAAGTTTTAGACGTTTACTAAACTCACCAAGGCTGCTTGTTTGCACAAATTCTTCTACACTGCAGTTTCAAGCTTCTGTTAGATAATAACTTTCAACATTAAACTGCAAGAAATTTCACAGAAAAAATAGAGTGGTACATGCCTCTGGACAGTAAAGGCATTATCACGATCAGCATCTCCAGAAACTTTACGATGAAGAACCGAATGCAAAGGAAACCATAGCTGCGGATTTTGAAAATGAAAGTTAGAAAGAGCAAACAGAACTTTCAAAGTACCAACATCCACAAAAGTTACATACCTTCCCAGCGTTCAGTTCATACTGCTCCTCAATTCCATCAAGCAATTTAGGCCAACAATCTAGTTCAATCTTCTGCCAAGCGTAGACCAGAGAATAAATTGGTTCCACGAGGTCTGTAGAGGTTACTAATCAGATACAGGGAGATATCTCAACGACACAATGATTTCATAATAGACGCCCTTAGTCCTTACCTCCAATAGAGAATTTTGGCAATATTTCTTGTAATGAATGAATTCTCACAAGTAAGGATTCTAACCCACACAATGCCTGCAAAATAATGTGTAATGTGTAATGGAAAAGCACACTGCTAAATGAAAGCACAGAATTAAGGTGTCCATTGGACTATCTGAAGCTATCATACCTTATAAAGGGGAACCTCTAATGGAACAGACAAGAGCATTTCTGTCACATCAAAAAGCTTTTGGAGAGCTGGATGATCCGACCACTCACTAAGAAGGCACTTTACCCGTTGTTGAATATTAAGTAGAGGTTCAACCATTTTAGACATAGCTGAAGCATTTGGATCCTGACAGAACATTATCAACTGGGATATTAAATAAAGGATCTAAATCATTTAGACAACTCTCAAAAGCAATCTTGTGTCACCTTGTAGATATTGAATGTACGAATTCGTAGCTGAAGCGAGCTCATGTTCTCTTCAAACTCCAAAGATACACGAAGCACCTGTTCTATCACAAGTTTCTCATCCAGAGTAGCAGATATCGATGTGGGTAAGCCTGAAAAAACATACAGATATTCAAGATATTACAATAAGGGAATACATGAGTATTTAATCATCAAACCAATCATCCACGGTTACCTTTCAATAAACAAGTCCCCACGTCAAATGAATCCAAAAATAGCTGTAATTTCTCCTCGTTGGTAGTATTACTAATAGGAGCCTGAAATAGAGAGCAGAAAATACTTTATTATGAATCCTAATTGGTTAAGACAGCAGATTATCTCAGAAAATTAAAGAAACTCGGGCATTAAATGATACACAATAAAAAATTAAACTAACATATTTTCGACGGAAACCCAGGGATCCAGATCCTAAGATAAAAAAACGAAAGACTTCATGAATTCACATGAAAGACCCCATCTAATCTACTTTGTCAACTTTTTTACAGCCATTTTGTCGTTGCTGACAGGAAAATAATAGAATAGCAAACTTCTTTGTTTCAATGTACATGAATATTTACTATTTGCTACAGGAGTGTAAAGGTAGAGTAAAAACTCACATATTCATAGAGGGAACCTGAACCGAATAGTTGATTGTGGACATTGAGCATGCTCTTCAAAAGAGGCTCTGGAATTTGGTTCCACTCCTCCTCTAGATTCTCTTTCTCTATACAAGGACCCACCTGATGCATCAAACACATTAGGAACTATATTTAAGAAAGATCAAGAAAATAGATAGATAAAATATTATATTGGGCCTCCACCTGAGCGACTTCAGTATCAACAAACATATCTTCCAATCCAGCGGCAAAGTTTCCATCAGAATCAACTTCACTCATTGATAGCATGTCAATTTTTAAAATCTCATCTATCCTGATTGCACGAGGCTTGAATTTGAAGTACTGGTCCTCCAAATCTTTGTTCATTTTTACTTGAAATTTCATTCCAAACCACAGTTTTGCAAAGCGATCAAATACCTTATTCAAAAGCTGAGGGCAGAAAAAATAGTGGAGGTCATCCTTGCAGCCAATGGAGTTGGAATTAGTTGAAGTATAGGAGAAACTTACAGAAAAAGAACTATCATCCATGATTTGTGAAGTCCAGACATGATGTGCTACATTGGTAAGATTAAGATGATGAACAACAGCTTCTAGCTGCTGTAAAGATATCTGTGGTAGCAGCAACTAATTTAGCAATTTTGTCACGACATAAACAAAGAACGAATGGACATAAGCTCTATAGTCAAATATTAAAATAAATAGCAAAGACATCAATTCCAAGAATACATATATACAAGTAGTGAGACAAAAAGCGCCATTACCCTGCGAGTAGTTGAGTTATCACTCAATTTCTTCAGAATATGACAAAAGGCATTAACATTGAAACATGCAGTCTTCTTGTGTTGCAGATCAGATAGAGTAAATTCATCCAGAAAAGATCTAGGAAACTGCATCATAGAATAAATGGTCTCCTGCAAAGAGATTCCAAGTGACACAACAAAAAGCTTAATTGCCACTTGACAAAGGAGCCAACAAAAAAAAAATCGCAAATGTTTCAATAACACCAAATAAAGATCAAGTATAGACACACTTATCATGAAAACTTTCAAACTATAAAATGGAAAAAAAAAGACATGATAAACTCGTTAAAATAACTACAAAAATAAACTTCATCAAACTAACACTAACGGAAGAAAGGCTTCTAGAGGAAAATTTGATTAACAAAGCATAACTCTCACCAAGACTTTGTCCCTGCTTTGGTCCAACTTCGTCAGATATTCATTCTCCAACGCACTTGACATAAACAATGACATACCCAATTTAATTTCATATATAGCAACTTGGACCGGTTGAATTATGTCAATATACGCGCCAAATTTTTCAGATAACTGGTGAATAAATTGCGCTGATTTGACCTGCGATAAAGAATATTGAAAACGTGCAAGGAAATCGATAAAATATTCAAGATATAGCCTTCACAAAGATGATTATAGCAAGGGCATACCTGCCAATTTTGAACTTCATCCATGTTCCTCAAATTGCAGGGAAATTTAAAGTCTGATCCAAGGAATCCAGCACAAAAAGTTTTCAAGTTCTCAAAATCTTCTATATTAGGGCGAAAAACAACCTGCAAAAAGTCCATTCGTATGATTTAATTTATAAAGGGTAATGACTATAGCATTGCCATTTGCTACCAAATGCCAAATTGGCAATGAAGAAATAGTCGCTACAAATGGCATTAGAGCATGTAAACACTATTCAAGAACTCTGCAGTTGAAAGGTTCTTGTTATCCTTGTACCAGTTCCCCAATTGCTAGGTGCTTGCTTCATATCTAGGAGACCCTAGAATGATTTATGGTCCTTTGTCTCAGATTTTTCCCCATATCATAATAATAAGAGAACCCACCTATCTTATGGAATATCATAACAACAAAAAAGAACTAACTTATTGAAAAATTACCCTCATATTTTTTACTATTTCTCTAGTTAAAGCAACAATATAACCACGTGAAAAAAGCTAGACGGGTATTCATTTAGTATTAAATCCAAAACTCAAAAAAGTGACAAGTATATTCAATGAAAGAAACAATCATTTCTATAAACTTATAATTACTCCAAAGTATATAATACGAAAATAGGATAAGACAAAAGAATTAGAAAAGAAAAACAAACCACCTTTGCCTGGAGCTTTTTCTTTTCCTCCTCAAGTTTCTTCAGCAAGCACACTCTGTCATCTTGTTCATCTCTCGGCAGATATTTGCCTGCTAAATTTTCACATTGCCAACGCACCTAAGGAAGGCATAGTTATCAGATTTTTTTTTCATTATCAACGTGGTTAAGGCGATTACAAATGCGTTTGTTAATCAGAAAATTTTCTTGAAAAGGAAATAATGTTCCCGCTCATTCTTGTCACTATCAAGCACGGGGAAGCAGGCTTTGCCAATGACGTGTTTCATGATATACCATTATGTTCCTTTGGCCAATTGGCTCACAAAAAATACTTAGAGTTACAAAGCATACATGAGTAGCCACCAAAAGTGTGCAGAAATGTAACCCAGTGAAACCATTTGTTGAGTATTCATAGCCACTAAGGAATTCATGTACCTTGATTTCAAGTTCAAGCATGGAAATCCTCTCTACTATTTGAGAATACTTGAAGGAATACTTCATAGCAGGATCTGGACAGTCCAAATTGAGCAGAAGATGGAAGCGTAGAAGCCCCAAGTACACCCATGCAAGACCGAGATTATGGATATATTCTGCATTGCCTGGAAAACAAACTAGCAACTTACCCAAGGCAAAAAAAAAAAACAAAAATGCCGTTATGGCAAAAAAAATAATACGGGAATGGTTTAACTTATGGCAAAAAACATTCAGACTAAGATCAAGCTCAAAGCATACCATCATTTATACCTTTGCAAGATAAAACAAGACAAATAAGCAATAGCTCATATATATTTCTCGTTATCTCCACTCACATCAGAAGGTACAAATGGATTTTTTGGTTAAAATACCTGAAAATGCATGATCAGGAAAATATACAGTAAATTCTCAAACAAACCTTGCTGATATTCAGAATACAATTCTGTGACCAATGGTTCTATAAGCGAATCCACACACAAGATCAGACTATTGCAGCTCGAGGATAAAAGAAGGGTCTTCAAACCTTTAAAATTTTGTTCCTGAAAAACAAGCACAACACAAGCTGCATTTTTTAGATCAACGCAGAAATAGAATTACATTATCCATTTATGAAAGCATTTGAAAAACCACAGCCCATAGAAGGCAAGAAACAATGGAGCGTATATATCTTTACATAGTTATCTTTGAGATGATTGAGATAGTTCTTGATTTCTTGAAATGCTGCTGCTTCAAAAGATTTTTTATGTGCAAATATGATCTGCATCCATGAAATACATTAATTCCAGGCGTCAGATTGTTGTGTTAGTCAAAAATCACATCAATATGAACAAATACCTGACGAAATAGAGAACGAGCTGCAGCATGGAGAAACTTAAGCATATCTCTATCTGGGAGAGCATCTTGATAAAGATTCCTCGATGTGACCCTAAGCTTGAAACGATAAGCATCATATTCACTTATAGAATGTGTTCCTTGGCTGCAAAATCACAACAAAGCCATTGTGAGATAAGTCTAGCATGCTGCTCAAAAACAGAAAAAAAAGAAAAAAAAGAAAAAAAAGCAGATAAGCCTGTAATCAGAAATATCCTCGAAAGAAAACCGAAATGGTCCTCTAACAACTAAAGGAAGAGGTAGTCCAGATGTAATATGAATAGTCTCAAGAAAATAATCTCCTAAACTACCAGAAAGTAATTGTAGATCCTATCCATAGCAGCACTATATTTACAAGGGTAGCAAGGGAGATTAATAGGTTTGTCCTTGAAAATGGTGATGGCTCTTGATTTGGGAGCGATTCATACATCATAACAAGCTTAAAGATTGAAATAAAACATTGAGGAGACTGCAGTTTCCAAAAAATAGCACATTGAGATTTTACTGATGCTAACTCCCCCTTCAAGAAGATGTAGCTAGTTGCGATCAGAAAAGATGATAAAAACAGGAAGACAAAAAATACGAAGAAAATGAAAACAAAGAGCGGTGGTAGACATGATCTTACAGAATCTGGTCAAGTGCATCAAATCTGATTGGCTGCGTAAGCAGGCAAATCTGATCACGAATTTGTGGCAAAGGTTTCTGCATTTGGTAACGAAGAAATGTTAACAGAGAAATCCAGCAGACATCAACTGGCCACGCAAAATAATTTTATAAGGTACCTTATCCAGTTCAGAACAGCAATACCACAGAGAAGAATGCCAGTTAAACCACATCTGATGAACAAAATTGGCAATTTTTGTGTGGACTAGCAAATAAAAGCCAATCACAGGTTAGCAGATAATCTAAAATTAATGTTAAAAAAACGAAATAAAAACATAAAGTATTACCATCTCCAATTGAAGTCCAAGCATCCAACATCCACAAAATCTTCTGATGTGGGGAGAAATCAATAGGTGATCTAGAAGATAACTTTAATGAGTAGTCTAAGGCATATTGCAGAAACTCCGACATCCTTGACAAAACCTAGAAAGAAAATGGTTATCGTAGTGAGAATGTCTGAAGCCTATCAGACATCAAGAATTGATATGATTAAAGAAAAAACACAGGGTATAAAACTACAGATCAACAATCAGTCATTGTCATCATCGTGAATTATTCTTTCATTAATTCATCATTGAATAGGTATGAAAGATCCAACTCTAAGGTATGATGAAGATTCGCAACAAACGCAGGCCTGACAGTCATTGTCACATTGTCATACTTGGCCAAAAAAGTTTAAGTCGAAGAACATGTGACATCACTGGAGATACAAACTTGATAAAGATTGAATATAGATGGATGTAAAATAGTTAGTCAATATCAGAGAAGAAATCATAAAGTGAATTAAACGCAACTCTGGCTTAGATCACCAACTTTGAAGTATTTGTTCTCTATAGAAGTGGTTTTCAGATCAACATCAATTGATCCATGTCAGAGATGTTCCTTAATGAACTGGTGCAAGAGGTGCACAAATGTGCTTTTGTTGACTCTCCTAATATTGTGACACAACTAGAACAATTGCTTGGTAACTTTCTGTTAGAAGGTATAAGGGTAATTAGGTTAAAGGCTATTTTGGGAAAAATATTGTTAGGGTTTTGTCCGTATTTGAGGGACTTAGTGGGTGAGAGAATGCTAGGGTATTATTTCTCTCTTCCTCCTTTATTTCTCTCTGTTCTGTCAAAGCTAGGGTATTATTCCTCTCTATGTTTATGTTTTCTACATGGTATCCGAGCCTAGGTAAACCCTAGCACTGCCACCAGTGCCATCGCTGCTGCTACCACCACTGCTGCTGCAGTAACCACCAGTCTGCTACAATCGTCTGCCCACTTGGAGGAGTGTCACTCTTACTTGGGGGAGATGATTTCCAATATTGCTGTCCTTGTTGGAGGTGCTCCTATCTGGGGGAGCATTATTTCCAGTATTGCTGTCCTTGTTAGAAGTCGCATTGCTCTGATATGGGGGAGCCTTCTTTCCAGTATTACTACCCTTGTTGGAGGTAGCACTGTTCATATATGGGGGAACCCTTGTTTCCAATATTGCTACTTATGTTCGAGATATGACTCTTATCTGGGGAAGCCATGTTTCCAGTATTGCTACCTTTGTTTGAGGTAGCGGCCCTCCTATCTGGTGGAGTCTACATCTAGTCTACCACTGCCTATGTTCAAGGTGGCGTCGCTCTTATTTGGGGGAGCTTGCATTTAGTCTACTTGAAGAGCTCTTCTATACCGTTGCAAGAAAGCTACCATGGATTGTTGCAAGGGGAGCTAACACGGATCGTCAACAGCATTATCGTCAACAACTTAGTCAAAATGAATTTTGCAAAAGTTCATCTTGAGGGGGAGTGTTACAAGGTATAAGGGTAACTAGGTTAAAGACTATTTTGGGAAAAGTATTCTTAAGGTTTGTCCCTATTTAAGAGACTTAGTGAGTGAGAGAAATACTTGAGGTGTCTGTCTGCTGCTCCTCCCCTGTCTTTTGGGACAGAGAATTCCTCTCTCCTCCTTTGTTTGTCTCTGTTCTATCAAAGCTAGGGTATTATCCCTCTCTATGTTAATGTTTTCTACATTTCCTAACAACAACCAATCACTACTTACAACAAAAATAAAGTTTTCATCAATATTGAACATTCCCAATTGCTTGGTAATCGAAGTCCAGTAATAGTTCTGAAACAAGAACAATAAGTCGGCACCTTTCCATCAATAACAATGACCATTGAGAAGACCCTCACCCTCCCAATCCATTCATTATCTTCATCCTACTACATAGGAACTTTATCAAAGGCACTATGACTTCTCAGAGTTTCATTTAATAAATTATCTGGTGAAATATTGGTGTTATTGATCACCCATTCCTAACTAGTCAGCTGCCACCTTGTTATAATCTAAAATACTGAAGCATCAAATTGGGTTACTGTAAACTTTATCATTGGGAATAGGAATTAAATCGATGTCATAATATCAGAAAAAGGCAAAGAAATCTATATGGCAGGAAAGTAAATATACAAACAGTTCTAAGAACTAGAATATTTACCTCAAAGAGGTTCTTAGAATTAAGCGTACAGCTTTCAGTTAATTCCTGAAGCAATTCAATATCTAATAGCAAGCTACTTCTATCAAACAAAGGACGAGACTGCAACCAACAGTCAATCACTGCCTTTCCACGCAATATCTCAGAATTGAACATGCAACAGTTGGTACACAACGTCTTGGCCACGTGACAAGTAGGATTTTCTTTGTTAACCATAAAAATCGCCGTAAGGTTATTCCTCTCATGTTCAGCTCTTCTCAAAAGACCCTGCATTTTGCATTTAACAGAGTTAGACGACGTCTTGTAGCACATACCTAAAACAATTATGAAGCTTCGTCACGCCTACCTGATAAATTTCATCCAGATGATTTGTGGTATCGTCATTTTCACGACCAACCTTTATAAGATATGTTGACATGCAAATACCTAAAACAATATTAAAAGTAACCAGTAACAAGACTTAAACCAGTATTGAGATCAAAAGAATATTCACGAGAAAAAAGTTGAGTATATAGAACAAATAGCGATCAGATATTCACGAGACGAAGAGAGAAACATTGAATAAGTTTGACAACGAGGTATACAGGCAGAAAACATGAATAAAGGAGATAAAAAATACTTCTAAATATATAGGAGCAAAAGTTATTTTCAAAACACCATCCAATAAAAAAATTCAAAGAGAGTATTAAAAAGCCAAAAAAACTATAGGAAACTATCAGATATTGGCGAATACCGCATATGATCAAGAAAATAGTACCTATAATCACATGAAAACCATGAAAGCCAGTTGCTAAGAAAAAGGTAGAACCATAAATACTATCCGAAATAGTGGAGGGTGCTTGGCAAATCAGCTTCTCTTTATAACTAAATTTCCCTCCTAAACGAGAGCACTTACAATACTCATTCGATAAATACAACATGGGTTCAAGCTCACCTAAAATTTATTGAAGGAAGAATTCCAAGTTTCTAACTACGCAGAAACAGTTCAGCCTCCGTGTATAACTATTACATATAAAGAATCGCAGGGGAAACCTTAAAACAGAGGTGCAAATGAGAAAAAATGGTATTTACTTTTGTAATCGATGTAACATATGAGAAGACCAGAAATAGTGCAATGTAAGACCAAATATGGTAGTATTGAGGCGCTGTGTGATGTTGTTAAAGACTGTAAAAGATCAAAGATAAGAATAAGATATCAACCCCTAAATAATGGTGCCAGAGTTAATGGAAAGATCGTAGGATTGTTCCCTTCAGAAACTTATGACGCTTAAAATAAGGAAAAAATGTAAAAAACCATTCTAGCAACAAAAGAAAAACGTAACTGCAAATATTCTGCTAAAATGAACAAGGGCCAACGAACGGCATTCCGCTATGAAGATACATGAAAAAGTAAATGAAGAGTACCTTGAACGGCCAGGTACCGGAGTTCAGTGTTTGCTGACAAACCAGCATCTGTCATTGAACGATCTAAACAAGATAGGAGTAACCCTGTATTAAATACGAGATAACAGCAGATATCTTCCAAAGGGAAGTAACATTTACCTCTACGGAGCAGTTCCCAGAACGTTTTCTTAGGCCAGATATCCGCGCATAAAGAAAATATCTGATGTTTTTTGTCAAATACATCTGCAGAGGGTGATGCTAACGGATGGCCACCGTGCTTCCATAGCAAGGTCTTTGCTGAGGAAAGATTCCACGGTGACCTTCTCAGAAGATCCGAGCTTTGCTCCTGCAAAGAAAAAGAGCTTCTTAATATTGCCCATGAAAGGGCTACAGACAAGACAAGATGACTTGGCATACCAGTAAGTTATGAACGGCGGCTGGGAAAAATCTCTTCAATTTGAGTACTTCCTTCCTCAGAAAATGCCAAGCAATTGCAGACTGTTGAGAAAGAGGCAACATGATACACTTCCAAAAGGATCTATGCTGCTCAAGCAGGCCAGAGTATGATTCATATAGGTCATCAAACGAACATGATTCGGTAATGACATTAAGCACCTCCTCTTCCAAATGTCTTAAAGATTTTAAAATAGGAAGAAATATTTGATTTAACTCTTGCGCCTTGAAAACATAATTCCTTTCAGCATTCCATTGTTCAAGACTAAGGCGCAGCACACCTATGCATCTAATAGCATTACAGAGATTGGTCTGCCAGACATTAGGTGCTCCTATTAAACCAGCTAACTCAGCTACTTTCTTTGAAACTAGTGGAAGGTATTGCTGATCAACATTTATTTCATGATAAATGGTAACCTCTTTCCAACAATTGACAATGCAACTCCAAATAGGATGAGACTGCTCCTGCTCAAGTATCATAGAGAAAGACCTAAAGAAATCACAGTAAGGATGCAGATGTTTACTGTACCACTGAAACCACTGAATATATAATTGGAGATCTTTTCCAGTGGCTTGTTCAATTACCCAATTAGAGGAAATAAAAAGTATCTTTTTGCCCAATACCAAATCAAAAGTCGATGATATGAAGTTCTCAGCCTGTTGCAGATCAATTCCACATGGAAAGAGAAGCTGATGCAGTGCACGGAAGGGAAATATAAGTGGTTTGACTTCCTCGTAACCACTCAGCAATGAAGTTTTCGTGCTGCTGAGACTCATTTCATAAGAAGCACATTGAGCCCCAAAAAACGCCAAATACATACAGTTTTGTTTAATAGTAGCCTCCTGCGAAAACCAGATAAAGTTTGATAGTTTCTGAGGTAATGGCCACCCTCCAGGCAAACATAATGAACTCCCCATTAGCGGGCAATCTTTGTAAAGAGACAATAAGCTGTGCTTTACGTGCATTATGATGTCTTCTCCTTCAGCCTCTCCAAGAGATGTGAGGTATGTATGCTCCCAACTTAGTTGAAGACTCCACATAGACTGATTCCCACTCATGAGTAATTGCTGAAATAACTGAACCCAGCGTCTAAGCTCCAGAAGGGTAATGTGTACACCAAGACGTAATCCAACGGTCTTAGCATACATATGTGCTTCTGACATCGCCTCAATTAATGAGTAAAATGGAATACCCGATTGGATTAAAAACTGCTTCAGATCACCAATGGCATCTTGGCAACCAGAGTTGGTTTCAGAATCATCTATCAAATTTTGTTCCGGCATAAATATTTCTACTCCTCTGTTTCTCATTGCTCGTGATATTTCACCACATGTTGGGTCAAAAGATATAAACATTCGGAACTTCGGGTGAGCATGAAGCACTACAGGACTCCCATCTAAGAGGCCACGCTCGTTGACAGTGATAAAACCATGAGGCTCTACTAAAGAGTTTATTCTGTCTAGAACCTGGTACAGATGGAAGGTATAAGAATCCAAACTAAAAGAGGTAAAAAAGCTGAGTCCTATTAAGAACCCAGAGATATGCTGTCAATCCAAGTGACATAAAAGAAGATGCATGAAAAATGTAGAAATGAATGAATATCATGTATGCTATAAGAGGATAAAAAAATACTTACCGTGGGATTACAGAGATTTGCATTATCCAGGACGACCCATTCCCCACATTCTATAGCCTTGATTAGACGTCCGTTCACCCATTCAAAATTTCCTGGTCCCAGCTTTCTGACTTTCTTTTGTAAATCCAAAACAGTCCTCAGAGATCTAGTCAGGACCTCATTCGACCATGATACAGGTAAAGAATACTTTTCCGAATCAAGTTTCAGCTGTTCAATAATCTCAACTAGGATATTCAGGAACTTGCAGTCTCCACGATTCCAGGCCATGACAAATTCGGAACTTGATCCAGACGTTTTGTCATTCATGGATGCTAACAGATCCCACCATTTAGCAATTAAATCTTTCCTTTCTGTCAATAACTTCTCCCAGGAGGATTGCACACGTAGCCCACAATACTCACCCATGCAACACTCGATTTGGCTGACAATGGCTGTACAACTTTGAAATGCATTATACTGCTCAAAACAGCCTAGTAACTCAGAAACATCAGTTCCAGAAGAAAGATTCAGTTCATGCAGTGCATTTCCAGTAAGCTGAGCTAATAACTGCACAAGTGAAGTTTTCCCAGATGAAGATGGCCCAACTAAAATACACAACCACTGATGCTGCACACACTGAAGAGAAGCTTCTAGGCATTGTCGAATGCTTGGCAATATATTCAGATCTACCAGTGAAGTTTTTGTTGGTTGAAAATGATTCCTTGGAATCGAAACACTTCCCACAATCACATAGTTTGCATTGATCTGCACCCTTGGAATCTGATTTATGAGAGGCTTCCTTCCAAATATTTCCTTATAAAGTTTTAAAACCTCCTCACGATCACCTGAAGTACGCATCCTCTGGATGTAAACAGTGTTGAGAAAGCTGACTTCTTTTGTTGCCACAGGTGCATCTTTAGAAAAGAAACTCACTATCAGAGAAAACTAACCGCATAAATCGGGAAAGGAAACTGCACGATTGTTACCAGCGTTACTTACTTTATTTAGAAGCTATTTTTAGTCATGACAACCAACAAATTGAAGCAAGTATATAAGAAAATTAAGAACTTTCACCTTCTATGATCTGGCAAGCCCGTATAACATCCCGCAGATTAAATTCCCACGGAGAGCCTTCCTGACCATATTTGTGTAGCAGCATTGTGTCCTCATAGAGATGGCTATTGAAGTTGATAAGTTTTGAAAGTAATGATGTAGGAACTGATGGATGGAGTGAATTACAAATGAAGTAGTAATCTTCCGCACTTAGCTCATCCGCATACACCTATAAAAATAATTCAAGGTAAATTCAAATACGATAATAAGAACGTATGTCGAGTACTAGACATTTTCTGGTATTATACATTCCGGAAAAAAGAACACGATAATCAATCTGACGGCCTCATTTTCACCAGTGATTTTAATACCTTCGTGAAACGGTTAAGAAAAGACTTTGGGAGGCCTTTCCTTCCACCCCCTTGGCTGGTAGGATTTTGACAAGCAAACACTCGAAATGAAGAAGGGCACTGAAAAGAGCATGCCAACTCTGGAATATAGACCTCAGCACGATGATCCAAAATAGCATTTAGACCCTGAAAGCTTGCTTGTTAAAGAGTCAAGTACGAAAAAAAGACCAAAATAAACGACTAAATAACACAGAGACAGCGAGCATCCTACCTCCAGCACAGACTGTGGTGCAAGATTAAGTTCATCTAAAAGCACCCAACTACCATTCTTGAGAGCCTGAAAAATCAAAAATAAAATAAAATTGTGACTAGTTCCGGGAAACAGTCCGCACACTTATACTCCAACAGTTAAAATGTTAGGGTTAGAACCTGGAGCAGGATTCCATCAGACCATGCAAACTGCATCCCATTGTCACCAGGAACAGGCAGATCCGATCCCAGCAGATCCATCATGTCTGTCTGTAGTTACAAGATTAAAAGGGGTTATAACAATGCAGCAAGATATCCGTGGTTGATTAGTACCGTTTGATACCTCACCTGCTCAGAAAGGTTTATTCTTACTACATCATGTCCAGAGAATTCTGCAAGTGCAACAACTAAACTAGTCTTTCCTACTCCAGGACTGCCTTCCAATAGCACTACAAAAATAACACCACCAAGTTTTTCTTCACATCCAATAGCCAACTGGTAGATGGGAGTTAAAATAGATAAAAAAGAATATCAGACCAGGCCTACGAAGCTGCATTGCTCGCAATAGTCGCAAGGAATTTCTGCAGGTTGTTGGCGCCAAGAATTCAAACCCTCTTTTTTTGCAATCTCTTTTACCTAGGCAATAAACAAAAATTTCAGGACAACGTGTAAAATGAACACCATAAAAAAAATGAGATCAAGTCACTCAAGTTAAAAATACAAGCATACAAAAGAAACTTCTTCATAACATCAATGGAGTCTAGATCATATATCTTATAACATAGTCCGTCAAAATGTAAAGACTTGGGATGAAGAGGAGTTTGATTTGCATAATAAACACGGGGAAAATTTACTTAAGTTTTGAATTATTTTCGCAACAAACTGCTTAAATTTTTACAGGATACAAAGGATTCGTATCCCACAACTTGAATGTAGTCCCCAAATAAAATTCCTAGAAGCTTTAGAGCCTTTTAGGACATCAGTAAGTAAACATCGTGTGATGAGGACAAAACAATACAAAACATGTACAGTCAAGAAATGGATATGACAATCCATCGTCACAAGTTGTGTTCGTTGTCTATAGAATCGAAAAGTTCGAAACAAAACCAAAATGAGATACCACAACTAATTTGTACGAAATTTCGTCAAAAGATATTGGTTGTAGACTTTCATTGCCTTTGCATGCAAGTCATTACATATACGTTACCAGCACAACACTAGAAATCACCATACGAAAGTTTGCTTTCAAATTTCCGGATACGAATTCAAGACAAGACTCATCAAATAAAGATTATCATTCTGACTTAAACACCGTCTACAAATAGACCACAATTTCTAGCATCATTTCTGAAAGCTACAAACGGAAAGAATAACCAAACAGAAAGGCAACATGGTCTATAAAAACAAAAATAACTAATTTCTGGTTGGTATAGCAGATGAGAACAACATGGGCAAGTATATAGTGCTATTGAGCGAGGTAAAAATCGAGATAACTGCAAAAAATATGTTTCACGCAAAGAAGCATTATAAAAAGGCTACGAAGGATATCCAGTAAACCTTTAAACAAAAGTCAAGATCTAGATAAGAAGAAATTCATCGAGAAATGTGCTCCACATTTTAATGGACAAAAGCAACAGTTATACATCAATTTCAAATGCAGTTAGTCCTAAAAGGGACCACACACCTTTTGTAATATAGAATGGATGAATGCCAAACAGATGTTCTGCTTGTACACAATTGTAACCCTCGTTAGCAGCATCATTATCACTACCTTTCCATCCATAACTTTCCATGTTGGACAACTGTGAGTCCACAAAGCCAATATCCGCCACTTGCTGTCAGTAGGAAGTAAAAAATGAGACAAAAGATACATTAAATATGTGCCATTCAAAATAGCAAAGCAAACTTGAAAGGCCTCATGGGAGCTTGAGGCTGTGACTCTCGTCTAAGTCACTAAAAGCTGTTATCACATAACGAAAGTTTCATAGACATAAGGACGGACGAGAATAAATGGTTTTTTCAATTCATGATCTCCATGCTGTTCAATAATAGTCTATTTGGCTAAAACGCAGTAGCAACTGAGACCACACCAGTCCATTTTGTGTCCTGGAAGGCATCCCATCACTACTTTTTCAGAAAGAGCCAAAACGTTGACGGGAGGAACTCATAACCAAATAAAGCAGTCGAAAAGGACAACGGCTAGAAAAGCAAAACCCATGTATAAGGTTCACAGAAATAGAAGGCAAGGATGAGAGGTCTCATTCTCTCTGTAAATGCCTCAATAACATTTTCAGTAAATCCCGCTGAAGACTCATTGATGTGTAAGGTAGTCTTAATGTAGATTCGCGTTCTTCTATCATTTTACATGTCATTTTTGTTTTTTCTACAACATAAATTAGGAGGTGGTAATGTATAAGTGACAGTAACAATTGAAGATTCAATAGGCTTTCCGTTTGCACAGGATTAAAACAAAAATCTAGTAAATCAGAACTCACTTGGTATAGAAAAATTAAGTATCTTCTTATCAAGCAACCTAACCAAGCATATGGCATAACATCTGTCATCAAAATACAATAAAAAGTGTAGAAACCCTCGACGTCACTAAAATCACACAATACTGAAACTTTGGCTTCAAGTTCAAGCTGAAACTGATACATATAGTTGCGAGGTCATATATCCTAATAGATTAACTAAGTTCAACTCTAAGATGAGAAAGTAGAGAGTAAGGCAGCGTTTGGTTAGATATGCATAGTGGAGATGCATAGACGTCACTAAATCTTTTGTATTCCCTGAAAATTCACAATATCTCAAGTATTTATGTCAGCCTCTCAGGGACTCGGTGCAATATAAGATATCCACGGTATATTTTGTCCTATCATAAAAAACTATAATTTCCCCAAGGTGGAGTTCGATGCTCTAGAAGTTTTTTGCTTCCTTGACCTTTTAGTCTTCTGGATTGCAACACATCGAAGTCACTAAATCTAAACTCCCCAAAAATTTAAGCAATACATGTGGAACTGTTTCAGGTCAACTATCAACTATCTTGAAGCTTCTACACAAGCATTCAGAAGAAGAGAAAAACGACTTCATCCTAAAGAAAACATATTCAAACTAGGCATAAAAAATAATCAGAAATAAATTTACCTTTGCTTCTTTTACCAGGTAATCCAAGCAACTCTCCCTTAATCGAGATGCATCACATTTGGAGATGTTCGTACCTGCAAATAAATCCATCAGAAAATGTATAACTCCAAGCATCAGTAAAAAGATAATGAACATTTAAAAAGGATACTAGCCACTGCAAGTGGTATTCATCATCATATAGCCAGTGAATAAAGATAGTTTCAATATCGGGCTTCATCACCCATTAGAACGTATGGTTGAGGAAATCATCTTCCAAAACAAGATTTTAGCATCTAGAAAAGAAAGATGATGGCCCATTCATTATCACCAGACGAATCAGGGTATCAAGATTAAATAGAAAAGGTACACATATTGTGTACGGAATCAAATTGCTCAAAAACTAATTAATTAAAATGTCATTCATTAAATAGTCAACTTTAATATGAAGAAAAAATTTGTCGCATATTGGATAAGAAACCCGTTTTTGAGAATGTACTTCCACTCCTCATCGTCATCAGAGTCAAGCCCACTCAATATGCTCATGATTTGCCATCTCCAATTCTCTCCGTGCAAGAGAGATCTAATCCTTGATACCTTTTACGCATCTCATTACAAATTAAGGGGAATAAACGAAGTCTGTATGATACTCCATCAAAAAACCATAAGTTCTATTAAACAAGAACCAACCAGTGATGATGCTTCATATGAAGATACGAAGCACAGATTCTCCTCTACAGAGAATGCGCTAGATTGGAGCACAATATTATGTATATCTCAGTGGTCTAAAAATGTGTGATCTTGTTGGCGTCAAAATGCTGACACCAAAGGGCAGAAACAACTATCATTAAGAACTCCTACGAGATGCCACTGAAAAGACAAATCTGAACAGTTCACATTCAATGAATCATCAATTTCCAACTTGAAAACCTCTTTTGAATTTTTAGATCCATATTTCCACGTATAACCACTTCCTACCATAAATACCACAAAAGAACGCAGAAGATCAGCAAATAACAACCTACGTATGGTTTTCCCTCCAGAGGTAATTAGAAGTCCACACATGCTGGAACGATTCCACTTGAAACTCTTTGGCTTTCAAGTTTAAATCACTTATAACATCATCTTTGTTCAAAGCCACTTACATCATTCTAAATCATGATCCTAACGTTCAATTCTTGCATCTATTTGAGTGTTTGAATACCAATATCTGACTGCTCTCCCATTTACATTGATGGTATTTCATCAAGTTGACCACAACTAAAGTAGTCATAGAGATTTGCTACCCCTTTTTTGTCATTGCTGATCTATTTCTCCCTCCTTGTCTGCCTTCAACAGGTAGCAAGCAGCAGCCACACGAGACTGGCATCAGGACTGCTTTACGATCATCGCACTCACACATTTGGAATGACGGCCGCATGAGTGCCTGTCTTTGTCAAGGTTAAGATATAGCAAGAAGTGGCAAGCAGTCATTCTCCCTTGTTAAAAAAAATAGACCGAATGGGATGAATTATTCCATTTTAAAAAATGAATGAATAGCATAAAACCTTAAAACTGGAGAAAGAGAGGGATAAAAGGGCTTACTCCAAAACTTTAAATAAAAAACATATAAAAGCTAATGAGAAAATTCGAAGTTCCTAAACCATTCCACAAAACAAATAGAGAGGAAGCATTCTTGCACGTTCATGATTCACAGCTCAAAGAGATGATGGAATAGAGTGTGGCAATCCAAAACGACTTGGTCAATGAAAACGTATGTCAGGTACCCAACATATGCAAATTTACATAGAACTAATGTATCGTACGACATACTTTGTTGACAGTTAGCTTCCACCTCTTATTCTTTTTCATGTTATGTTTAGAGCTAGATTGCAAGCAATATAGATTGACGCTGCTTTTCCTCGGTTTTTAAGAGCATTTTTCTGATATTGTTTCATACAAAATAATCTGCGGAGATCATGAAACATAGTGAAGAATAAGGATTGACTACAGACTATGGCATAACATAAGCATTTATAATAGATGCAAAAGCACAAACTGGTTATTCTATGAGAAACAGGATAATTCTAGAGACAGTTAACGAAATACCTAGGCCTACACCATCAAGTACAATGAGGAAAGCCCCATGAAGAAAGGCTTGAACAGAGCCAAGATTCTCCTCAGTCTCATTTATAAACGTAACCCAAGAAATGAGGTCCCTCACTGTAAGTATCCGCCCGGTCTCGAGCTGGTTGAACCACTAGAAAAAAGAAAAAAGAAGGAATTAACTACAGTGGCAAAAATCAAAGTTCGTCACAATGCATCAGTTGAACTTGATTTCAGATTAACAACCATCATTTCAAGATTTAGCTAACCGGATACAGACATCCATATTTCAAATGATCTAAAAGAACATAATATCCCAAGACTAGTCACCATAGCCCTGAAACAAAAGATTCCAAAATAACTCTTCACAATCCACGTCAGCTTCTGGATTGAGTGACTTCTTATAGATCCATATGCAGACCGAGATCAGCTCAATCTAGAAGAAAAAAGCCACTTACGGGCCAACATGGTGCCTAAGTGGAACTGAACCCATGTTATACAAAATCAGCTTTTTCTCAATGGCCAACAGCATGCTACTTACAAAGAGACACTGAATTCGCACCAAACTACTCTGAAATAGAATATTTCAAGAAAACAAAATGACAAAAGCTTAGTGTTGGCACTCACATCCCAAAATTTTATCATGGGCTCAGAAAAGCATGTGAGCTCTGATTTGATAAACCTGCATCAGAATACAAAAATTTTGAACGGAAACCCTAGTCCCAAAAAGGAAAACTCAAATGATCATGCGAAAAGACAGTTCAATAAGGGTATTGTAGCCACCCTTACAAGTGCAGAGTGGTCAAATACCTCTCACAAGCAATGAATCTCAGCTCCTCTATCTCACTCACGGATGAAACCCATATTTCTGTGAAACGATTTCTTAGAGCTGGAGATAGCTCCTTCTTTCCATAATCTCCGCCAGGATTCATCGTAGCAAAAATGAAAAAGTCTGGATGCGCAGTAACCTGTTCAGGAAAAGTGAGAACAACATCCAAAGGGTAGTGGAATAGTTTTTTCAGAATTATGATAATCGTAGAAACAACTAAAATGGTGGACAATAGCTAACCTTCTCAAGACTAGATCCACCTTTCTCAGCTAATGACTGCAATTTTTTTTAAACCAGGGAGAAATATCAGTATTGTCGCTGAACATTAAGGCAAAAAACTACATAAAGAAACAAAGAAATCGAAACTAATTAATAATAAAAAAGGAGAACTATTTTCTTTGCCAAGTGACATTCAGTCAACTCATATGTCACAATACATAATAACTTTCCGATGTAAAGTAAATGATGCAACAGGGGATATTCCAAGAAATAAAAATGTATATAGAAGTATATTAAAAAAAAAAATAACACAACTGCGATTAAGAAACATGCCATTTCAAGTAATAAGATATGACAAAAATATAAAAAATCAGAAGCCTACATAAATAATGCAAACTACTTCGAACTGCATCCCAAATGGACAACTTTGGTAACCAGAATTCCTGTCTAGAAGATAGCAGGCATAAGCTTTATTTTATCCTTAATCCTAGTGCAAAAAGGCTAAGCATGGTGCCCCTAAAAAAATGGAGGATTATAATCCACAATAACACAAATACAACAGTGATAAGATTCTATCAAATCAAGACATAATTAAAAATTTCAAAGAACATAAAGGAAAACCAACCAATGTCCTTTCTGGTTCCAAAACACTATTTAGACGTTCCAGGACACTATCATCTGCCAAGGAAATCTCATCCACAAGGAAAAGATCGCCGTTCTTCATAGCTTGTACCAATGGTCCATCTTGCCATAGAAATATAGCCTGCCAATTCAGCTCAAGCTGCACTAGGGCATCAATAACTAACTGAAAATCATCAACATCTTTTTGTGAAATATCACAATGTGGCATCGAATCTTTTAAATTTTCTAGACATCCTTTTAGGCAGCTTATTGTTAAAGGAGCCTGCCCTATGTCAAAGGATATTTCCTGCAGTAAAATGTAAACAAATTAAATAATAGTGTTGTCAAAGATTTAATTTGACAACAGTTTAATTTGATAACAGGTGGAGACTTAGAAACATACAACTTCTTGACAATAGTGACAGAAGAACTTTAGGTCTTTTGCTTTCTCAATTTGAGAATGATACTCTGTAGTCAATCTTGATCTATCACGCACCGGATGAAATCCCTGAAACATACTTTTTGCGGTCAAGAGTGAATATGCCAAAATAACAAACGTGGAACTGAAAAAACAAGGTAGCACCAGCTCACTCCAATAAAATCTGATGCCTCAGTGTACTGATGGCAATTCAAAATGTGTAACCTCGATCTGATAACAGCACTCAACAACTGACACACTGTTGTCTTCCCACCTCCAGTTTCACCAACAAGAAGTACAGGCTCGCGCAACTTGTAGCATCGCTCAACAAGGAAATACAACCTCCACATACTCTGAGTCATTATGACCCTGGACAGAGAAGATAGAACCAGGACCCGTTATGTATAGAATATATATCAAGCCATAAACAAATACCCTTTAAAGGAGTTAAAAAGCGCACTTTCCAGTCTTCTGCAGTCCTGCACGCTTTTGAGTCTCACAGATAGAATCAGACGTACCTGGTTCCTGCTTTATCAAGAATGAAATGAAGTTTAGACAAAGAAAGAGGCTTTCAAATGATTCATTAGAATGAGATCGTCTAAAACGTACTGAATGACAAACAAAATGCAGAATACCAAATAGAAGCTTGGAAGAGATTCTGACAAGAAAAACGAAGTGTAATACTATATCAACTTCCGGTACGAATAGAAAACTTTCCGGCGTGTATGATTCACAAGTACGAATAAGAAGGCACTCATATTATGTGTGTATGATTGACAAGCTATTCGTTATTTCATTTTCAGGTTACTCAGTAGCATTTAATCTTGAAATAAAAGATACAAGGACGTTGAAGAAAAGGTAATCACCTTAATGTATAAATCCTGCTTTGATAGTTTCACACGAAGGCGTCTCTCCAAAATATCTTGAACCACATCCTTTTCGCTTTCTTCCCGCAACCGTTCAGCAAGAAGATGATAGCCATCCAAGGCCAGATCCATATAAGACTTTCCAAACATTTGAAAGCGATTAGCCCAACGAAATAAATCCCTTGGAGTAATGAAACCGTGCTTCCCAGAAAATACTTTACTATTTTGTCGATGCAACTGCAGGTCCTTCATTACTTCCACCATCTTCTTAGCATAGGACAGAGGGATTTTACATCTCTTCTCCAATATCTCTGCAAGCTCATTTTCTGGAATTTCGTCAACATGGATCTCCAAAAATCGATTGCGAAATGCTCGAGATAGCACTTTACGCCCAGCATACAAAGTTGGAGGGTTCTGAGTAGCAAAGAGCATAAAATCAGGGTGTGCTACAACTGTTTCTTGAAGTTCAGGAACAAAGAGTTCTCTGTTATCATCTAATAAGCGGTTCAACGCTTCCAGAACATCTGATGGAGCAAGATTAAGCTCATCCAAGACAACCCAGTATCCCTTCCGAACAGCTTCAACCAACACGCCTTCTTGAAACTCGAGCCTCCCAAAAGAGTTGGTTATATATGAACCAAAGTACTCCTGGAGATCAGTGTGTTCATGATTATTAATGCGTACAAATTTGTTTCCAGTTATTGAAGCAAGAAACCGGACAAGACTAGTCTTTCCACTGGACGTAGGACCCTGTAAAAGAACAGGATATCTTTTTGCATAAACAGCTCGTGCAAGATTCCTCAAGTGATCCTTTACACTGGATGTAAGAACATAATCCACCCCACAAGCGCTCAGATTAAAGGTTTCCAGATAAGCCTCAAATGGAACATCATGGGGCATTGATCCTGCTAGCAAGGAAGAGATAATCATCTCGCTCATAATCTTACCACTGGGCCCATCCAATGAAGTGACAAAGAACATAGAAAAACCATCATAAAGTGCTCTCTGCAATCCGAATTTTCTCTCTGATGCTTTGCCATACTCGAGTGCACGAGCAAGAGATCTCAAGCTAAACTGGGGCTTCTGATTAGCACCGTCCTGTAGGCTCTCCTCAGATTTCTTCGCCATCTTATAGAATTGGACAATTCTGTCCAATATTCCTCTGCTTGTGACAGCTTCGTCTAAATATTGATTAACAAAGACTCTGAGATCTGAATCATCTAGAACATCATCAACAAAGTACTCAGTGAACCTGCTACGGAAAGAATGAGGTAAATCCCTTTTCCCAGCATCATTAGCAGGATTCATGCAGCAAAAGATGCGAAAGGAAGGATGGCAAACAACATAATCAACATCTCCCTTCTCCACGAGACAAAGTGTACCGTTTTCGCCATCTAGTACACCAATAACTCGTTGCAAAGTCTCTTGAGGAGCGAGATTCACTTCATCAAGTAAGATCCAGTGTCCCATTTTAACAGATGTAATAAAAGCTCCTTCAACAAACGAAAAGGACATGTGAGAAGTGCTAATCTGTTTATAAGCAGATTCAAGTTTTGAGGAGAAGCACTCCCAAGTCTTTGGAAGCTCTTCAAGTCTCTTTCTTTTTGACCCACAATAATTTTCTTTACGTTTGGAAAAAATATCTAAAGTAGACTTGACGCATTTTACAAATGCACTTAGCAGCTTCTTCCAATCCTCCCTGTCCCTATAAGATTTGCACCGTCTAAGAAGTTCTTCATTCCCCTGCTCATGTCCAGAAAAAAAAAAAAGTTAGAAAAGTTAAGACGAGCAAATACAAGACAAACAAAGTGACCTAGGCACTAAAGATAATGGCATACCTGCACAGAAAAGGTCCTACGGAATAATTCTAGGAACTCATGATAGAGAGGAATACAAATCGAGCGTGTATTAGAAGGCTTAAAGCCTCCTAACAAATCCGAAGGATCACTTTGCTGACTTAAGTTCTGCATAAAAATCCCGTCAGACGAGGCACATGTAATTTATATACACAGAAGAAAAATTAATCGAAAATAGAAATAGAACAGCATTATACCAGTACTGTGAGTGGTTGCCCAAGTCTCATGGCTAGATTCTGCACGAGTGTAGTTTTCCCTGTTCCAGTCTCACCAACTAACAGAACAGGCTCATTATGCCTGACAGAGCAAGCTATCTTCTCAAGGATGTGTAGTGAACTACGGAGATTAGCAAAGGGTCGCGAGGGTTGATAACTCTACATACGGCATGGGAAAATCATTTCAATTTTAACATCTCCAACTCAATAAGAGAATATAAATTCACATGTACATACCCCAGGCTTAGCGTGCTGCAATGTGACACGTCCAACTTGCAGATACGAATTCATGTCCTGTACATATCCAAATGTCATAAATGATAATTAAAACCGAAAATCAAATAAATAAATGAACACAAGGGAACAAAAACCTGAATAACAGGCTTATTTGACAGGCATAGAGTTTCTATTTCATGTTGAGATATTCCCCAAATATTTGCTATGTCTCTCATTATGGCCAACCGTTCTCCAGCAGTGGGAAGCGAGGAAGCAAAAATATCAACAGCCTGAAGAAAAACAATGAAAGCTATGACATACGAAATGAAGATAGCAGAACAGAAAAAATAATAGCCAGAAAAAAAAACTGGACCTCTTGGTAAATCTTTTTGCAGTAAGACATTGACAGAGGACAAGAGAAATTAATGCCCAAGTCAATTATTCTCTTGCACCACTTCAGAAGATGCCTATTAACAAAGGAAAAGGAGAGTAAGCTCGGAAGGCTGAGAAAAACAATATAGGTAGTAAAATTGAGCATATTATCACCTTGTAGAGAATTTGCCTGTCACTCCAGTGGATAAAACTCCAAGCTGTGGTGCTCTGTAGTGCACAGAAGTAAGATAATTTACACTCTCTAGTGTACCTACAAGATATGACAAGTCCATAAATGATGTTTCATCGAAATACATTTGGTCCACAACATCATCTACCATAGCATACCTGTAAGTTTTATGGATATAGAATCCAGACTTGGATACCATGCATGCATTATCCTCGCCAAATCTTCATTGCTTGGTGCCCCAAGCATAACTTTTCTCCATAATCTACTAAAAGACCCTCCACCTGGTATACAATAAAAAAAAAGTCCACGTCAACAAAAAAAAATCTGGACATCAATATTTGTATAACGCTGCAATGGTAATTTCCATAACAAGTCAAAGGTATGAGCATATTAAAATGGAGACTGTGCAAAGACACATTTACAGCAATGGGATTAACAAGATACTGTGCAAGAATTAGCTGAAAGCATTTTCCACAAAATGGATGGACCAACCAATAAATTAGGATAAAACTGTCAACTGAACAAGAGCAAAAGTGTCTCCCATCTTCAAAAAATAACATACGAGCTCTAGATGATTAGCAACATGCGCATGCCGAAACTTGAGTGACCTATTTAGCCGATTAGGAATTACGCCAGGTAGCACTGCCAGTAATAATTAATGGCATTATCGAAAGAATAATATTGGTATCTTAAAAATTATTTGAACCCTAAGATCTAAATCTCATCTCAGATACAAGTAAAAGCAAAAACTTGACAGTGGAATAGAATCAATTAATATGCTATATGAAACATTCAATTAAATAACAACAAGACTCGTAAAAAAAAATCTTAAGGTACCATCAAAACATAAATCTCAGAATGAACCTGCAGTCAACGAGTTTCAAGAAAGAGAGTAAGAGGAGAACCTTCAGCATTTAAACTAGGCTTTGAACCGGAAATAGTGGCAAATAACCGAAAGCTTTCAGCCACATTGACAGCCTGCAAAAGTTTGATATCAAGTAAAAAATATGCAATTTATTATATATAAAGAAGTCGCAGATATATCGTTTTCTCATAAAAAACACTCCACATGATAGAGAGAGAGAGAGAGAGAGAGAGAGAGAGAGAGAGGGAAAGGGGGGAGAGAGACATCAAAATAAGAAATGCATGGGCACAACAACACAATGCCTTGAGAGCATAATATGTTACAAGATGTTGCAAGTAGCATTATATCTACAAGCATCATAGTATATAATAAAACAGCCACGTGGAGGATTGAACAAATAGAGACAGTCATACTCGCATGCATGCACATCTACGCACCCCCACACACAGATGAAGGTAAATACCTCCCCATGTACTGTCACAAATGACCGTGCACCTTCCAACAGAGGCAATAAAATGGATTGCACCTCAGCTGGCGATTTATCTATGTCTTCAAACAATACCCAGAATCCATTCAGGACAGCCTGTCAGATAAGATAAAATTATTAATAATGGAAGGAGACCGATCAAAGTTACTAAAATATCCTCTAAAATCATAAAGCATACCTGGGTCAGGGAGCCAGGTTGCCACCGGAATTCACCAGGTTGTTCTGAACAGACATAACTCCCAACCAGCATTTTACAATCCATTTGATCATCCATGTGTATGAACAAAACTGAAACGAAACATTACAAGATCAATACACAATGAGTGAATGCATTTATTACTGATAAGCAGAGGAAGGAGATTAAAATATGCATGGTGTTCATGGCCTTCTTAGTAATTAAGGTAAACATCAGCAAGGGCATGATCAGCTTCATAACATTTGGACTGACTGCTAACCGGAATTCAACACAACAGTTCTTTCACCAAAATATGGATAGTATTATGGAGACAATAACCTAGTCCACAATGTGAAATTTTTTGATATAATCTTATTTGTCCAGCCACGAGATCTACATCAATTAGTTGGTGGGCAACAAACTGAATTAGAATTCAAATATTTTTTAAATCAGAGATCACATTCGTATTCCTTAAACCGTTCACAAACAATTACAAATTTCGTGCTTCCCAAAATTCCAAACTAAACAAAAAACAAAAAACGTGTGGTCAGAAAATGATGGTGAACCACGACCTGACCAACCCCCTCCCAAACTGACCACTCTTTAGAAATCTGATACAGATAATTCAACAAACAGCTCTGAAGATTGGAGCGGTTCAGCATCAACACTCCAACAATCAGGTGATTCGCCATCAATAAATCTGATATAATCTTAATAGTTTGGCAGTTAGTCATGGAAAAAAAATGCAAGGAACAATTTTGCAATGGTTAAGCCTGATATGAGAATCCCGGCACCTGGGTGAAAGGATTATATAAATAAATAGGGTTTTTCTTTTGATAGGATTCAAACAACAACGAAAGAAATGCGTAATGATCTCCATTTCTGCAATAGATTTCTACCCTGATTAGTAGCAAACGAGATGGATATTTCAGTCGCTCTGTGGGAAATAGGAACTATTCTTCTTTGGTTCACACTGAGGGCAATCAGTTGAAAGGATTTTTCTCTCAGAATCCTCAATAAGCAGATGATACAACAGGGCAAAGAAGACTCATTTTAAATCATCTGTGATGTATCGAAACCAAGTTGTTGAGATGTAAAATATACAGTACATTGGAGTTTCATACTTAATATCAAGAAAAATGAACATTAGAATCTAAAGTTTATAACAAGATCATCCTTTATCAGATGGAAGGACAGGAGGGAGATTGAACACCTCCAATCAAGAATCTTGCATGAAAGATGAAAGAGCTGAAGGCCAAGCTGGATATAGAAGAGAACAGGTGAGTCAACCCCAAAACAGTGTTGTCTATTGGAATACTGTCATCGATGAAAAATGGCCAACAAGAGGCTTCCCACACAATAGAATTCAACACTTACCATCAAATCTTAGCAACAATTCTTGTATTATCTCCAATATAGTGTCATTGCAAAAACGTAGAGAGCCATAATAGGGAATTTTGGCAGGTTGTGGAAGTTGTAATGGAGAACAAGTTATGGAAGTCTTAGTGGTAATTTCAGATTCGCACACCATCTCACACAGTCATGTAATGTTGTACAAAATTTCACCATTATTACAAATACTTCCAGACAGTACTAAACAACTGACGGCTTTTATTTTCATTTCTAGATATGCGATAAATTGACTATCGGAACTGTTGATTCATTGGATTCAGCATGTACACAAATAAGTTCATGCTAGTATAGTGTTCCAAAAGTATCGACATTTTTAATGAGAAAATCGATTTCCTTCATGCGCATCTTAACCTGGAGGCAATAATGCTAATTATTATATATTTGGAATTCATAGTTCTGTAACAGTGTACCTTGGTTTTGATTTATTTCTGCCAGCTTTCTGATCAATCCTGTCTTTCCAGATCCTGCAGGACCATGAAGAAGAACCGGACAATTTTGACCAAGAGCCATTAAAACCATTTCAACACCTTTCTTCACTGCAGAGGTTAGCACAAATGGCCTCTCCAATCTCCCACCACTGGATAACATAAAATCAAAGTCGATATAAGTGACTGTTTATCTAAACAATGGAAGTTACATGGAATCATGAATATAGACAACGTAAGGGAGTGTACTGCGAGGCTCTCTTCTTTGACTGACACCCAGTCAGCATAAAACCATGATAGCTTGGAGGGGGGCTAATGAAGGCTCCACCACCAACAATAGACTCGAGAGACAGATTGGAACCAAGAATTCCATCACAAAACCTTTCGGTTCTTGCTTCATCTGTTTGGAAGTAAAAGCTGGCCTTCTCCAAAGACGTGTCCAGGCAAAATTCATCCCAGCTGCACAAGATAAAATGAAATTTCATTAAAAAATTCAAAACTTGCATGAATTGATAGATGAAATGCAAATTTTGAGTAAGCTGATGGCAAAACCCACCGGATAGTGCATAGAAACGCGTCAGCAGCTGATATACCGAAATTCGTCGTTGCCCTATCACTCATTTGAAGTGTAATAGATACTATAATTATTGCACACCATCGTAAGTCTACTATATTGCTCATCAACGGCGATGGGGCACCTATATGAGCATTTGCAGAAATCTGCACTAGATCCCAGAAACAATACCAATTCCAAATCTTGGAAATTATGTCAGGATTCAGCAGAAGTAACCGTAAGGAGATACGAACTGAATCAAGTAACTGGTGGCAATCCTGAAATCAAGAAGATCATTTGCAAAACCACATGAAAAGTTCGTTAGCCTCAGACACAGACAATTCGAAATGAAATCATTAGCTCAGCTGTTCAAATTAGTAACGAAAGGACGCAAAAGGCACAAAGTAGAAGCCAGCATAGGCCAAAACATTTGAAAAGCTAGATTCAATAGCATGGAAAATGACCATGTACTTAAAAATCACAATGATGAAAAAAATCGAGAAAGAGACCGACTCTGTAACTGAACGGTGAATATGAAACCTCCAAGAGATAAATTTGTTCAGAATATGCCAGATAACACCAACTGTCTGGAGCTAATTTGTTTCACTTGTGAAAACTTCAATAGTAATGTAGCATTTTTATGGGAAGATCCACTAATGCAAATATCAAAAAAGTGTAGGATGAGAAGGAGTTACAGAATTATCTTGGTAAACTCCAAGGTCACCCAAGCCTATTGTAGTCGATGAAGGAATCAGACAACATCTAGTTCTCATGGTTTGGGGTGTTCCATCTCCCATGAGAGTAAATATCTTAACGAGACTTTCACATAACAGTCTGACATATAGCCAAAACTTGAAGAGGCTGGGATACCAGAGTTCGTCTAATATAAACCAGACATCCTAGTTTGATAACCTCGGATGGCTGAAAAAGTCACGCAGGGCCCAGTTAGGTATAAACTTGGATAAAGTTGCTTACTTTGTTCGACCAAAAAAGTAGAATGATGGGGCCCAGCAGTTACGTCGCTTTACTGAAAACTAATTTAATCAAGGTTAACCTTGGACACAGAAAGAGTCTTATCACACTAAATGTCAGATACACTAGAATATAAAGATGAGACTAGGTTAACCTAGTTAAACTAACTGGTTATCAAAGCGGCCCTATGGTTATTAAGGCAACCAAAGAAACTAAGGAATTAGTCAACTGCTTCACAAGTTAAGGCGACCTAGTGACAAATTTCTAGGAGCTAATATAAATAACAGAATAAGTACAGATATTTTACAAACAATAAGATATGTAAACACATAAAACATGCAGAACCAATCAGGTAAATATTATTCTATTTTTATGTAAATAAATTTAAAATTTATTATTCGGTAATGAAATAGATAAATCAGATAAATAATAACGGAAAAATATTACGATAGTAAAAATTATCCACACAGACGGCGTATAAGTATGAATATTTATGTGTGTATCATTTTAAATATTACAGTCAAAAAAGTCGTCAACAGGACAACCTGAAATGCTAAAGGTTGCTTGAAAATGAACGACCAAGTCTGAGGAGCTCATTACACTCCACAAACATCACACTTGGCGAAAACGACATCAGAATGACGCTCCATTAACATATCCAAATCATGTTGTACCAATGTTGAACGATTAAGAGGTTATTACATATCATATTCAATACTTTAAATGTGTCGGTTTAATATAGGCTTAAGCAATAAAATAAATAAGTTATTTGATATTAACTTATTTTAAATACCCATGCACATTTTTTTGTGTTTTGGTGCCATGTGTACCTATATACTTCATATGAAGTTCTAACTAGATTCATTGAGCAGTAAAACTGTAAACCGATGTTGTATCAGAATGAACTCTCCCACAAATCATGCAGATGAAAACAACGTTAATAAAACCAATGTTGGTAAAACGTTCGCCTCAAATGTTTCTAAGGAGCAAAACAAGACCTAGGATAGCAAGATTGTTTAATTTTTACTGATTTGCAACATCACACAGAGTTTGATGACCAATCATTCTGTTCCCTATGTTTTTTGTGTCAACCAATCATCCCAGAGTTTGACTACCTCTCTTCCTTACTTATCCTGAGGTATTAATATGGAAGAGTGAAATATGAACTAGTCCATCATCACTTTCCTTCTTATGTAGGAATTTAATACGAAAAGCGGGCTTCATTACGAAGGAAAAGGGAAAGAATCTTGCTTGATGGACGAGGTCTTGAAATGGTCATTGCTAAGGGGGTCTAGGACCCAGGGAGGTTCAAGCATACGTCTAGGATATTGAACCAAATACAGAACATCAAGGGCCAACCAATGAGTGGTTTAAATCATATTGTGTGCTCAACATTAACACAGGTTTAATAGAACATAAACTTGTGTTTTGGATTTCATTAGCTGTCAAGCAGTGACCACAACCAGTATATGACCATGTTCCACACAGGTAACATCAAGAAGAACAATATATTACAATGGTACGAGAAAGAATAATAAATTAAAGATAAATACCTTTTCCATTAGCAGTAAAACAGAAGCAGCTGTTCGAAGTCTCTCGAAAGGAGGGTGCGAAAATCCAAAATATTTTAAAACAGATCTGCACAGAGCAACAGGAGTGTTTTACGTGATTCAGCTGTTTATCATGGCTTAAACAGATTGGATCATAACATAGTTGGAAAATAGTATCTTCTGTCTGATAATAGCACTCAGATGTCAGTAGCAACAAGACATTAACATGAGATGAATGGCGCACGTACATAGTTTAATGATTAGGCGATGCCATATTACAGTTAGAAAAGAGTATTTTTTGTGATACATCAAAACATCAAAATGAGATGAGCAACCATGATGAAAGCAAGAAAACGAAAAAAAAGTTAACCGCAAAATCTTATAACAAAAGTAAAAAGAATGACAGACAGTTAATCCATGAAATGATTTTATATTTTTAATAATGCCAGTTAATCAACAGATAACTACAAGCTTCCAGTTATACGTGGAATACGCGAAACCCCAACTTCCAATGCCAGGAAGATCCGAATTAAAACCAAAGACACGAAACAGGCACTCAACCTGCCGCATACGCGCAGCCAGAACCAAATGACTAAATTCATTCTCACCGTAATAATGCAAGCAAAAAGGAATAACTTTAACCCGCTGCCTTTCGATGAGAAACAGCATGACCCGGGAGCAACATAGCACACATAAGATCGTTCAAAAAAAAAAAAAAAAGAAGGGAGTCTTAAGAGCTTTATCATCATATAAAGGAGTAGACAAATACGATAAGCAATTGACGAAGATGGACCGAGGAGGAGAAGGGTGACCCACGTCAACAGAAGAGGCTGTAAATCCAACACCCGACAAAAGGCAAGGCACGCAAGTTCATGCACCCTGATGCCGCGACGCCTTGTCACATAAAAACCGATAATTTCAACATCCCCCTCTCCAACCTCCTCCACGTCTCCGCCGCCACAATCCCAGTTAGACACTAGTCTCCTCCAGTGAGATTGAAGCTGGTCCACCGCCCTGTCCAATATTTTTCTAGACAACGGGCGGAAGCAGCCGACGACCGGTATTGTATAGCTCGGATGAAGCAAAGGCTCCGCCAGTGCGGATGCCACCCGGTCCGCCACGTCGCAATCCCCATTGAGTTCTAAATCGTCCACCTCCGTGGCGAGGGTGGCGATTACCTGGTGGGAGGCAAGCCTGGGGCAGCGGGCGAGGAGCCGCCGGACAGCATCACCGCACCTGAAAGTCCCGTCCAATGAGAACGGCGGCCTGGTCATCTCTCTGCCCTTACTTTCGACGGACATTCGCGGCGGCGAGCGAGGACGACCCAGTTTTTGCCCGGGGGGAGGGGAGGGGGGGTTCGGTAGAGGAGGGCGGAGGAGGCCAGGGTTTTAGGGTTTAAAGGAAGGAAGCCGCGACTTAACCGTTTGGTGGCGGGGGGGGGGCGTTTTGAAGAAACCGCCGTTGCCGGTGTGGACTCCACACTTTTGTGGGCCGGCCCATTCAAGCCAAGATGGCCCTCGAAACAAAACGGACTGAGGTGAGCTTCTGGACCTACCCTCAAGCGTCACCTCACCCGGTAGAGGAGAGAGCGCCTAAAATAAGTAAAACAAAGTTTTATTTTTAAATATATTTTTTATTCACTGATTTATTCACCGTGTGTCTCAAATTTGGTGTTCCTGCAATATTTATTTTAATTAATAAATGTTTATGGTGATTATTTAGCAAGTTTGCCTAGCAGAACTAGCCTTCATTCCATAAATTTTAATTTATTCATCAGAAAATACATTCTATTTCTAAAATTTCCACTCGTTGATTTTTCGTCACCCTAAAATCCTTCGACAACAAAAAAGCTCCTCAAAATTATGCGATATTCCTTCTACGTTCCTTAATATTGCGAAAATGCCATTCTCTGTCATCCAGTCCAATAGACGCCATTTTACGCAAAGGGCCTCTTGTTGTAAATATTTTTATTATTATTGTCATTAATTAGATGGGTAAAATGTGGGCATCATTCCTCAAATGGTTCTTATGCTTCCAAGGATTCAGTGCGCAAGGTACTCAGGTACTCAATCGATCCTTGTTTAAACCCCCCCCCCCGAGTACGAGCAAGACCTGTTATTTATTGAAATTATCTAATAGGGATCGGAACCTTACTCTTTTAATCCCCCCGACTGAGCAAATACTAGACGAGTGGAATATCTTCGAAAATGGCATGCTAACTAAGTTCGCTACTAATATTAATTATAAAATTATGCGATGATAGTTTGCCCTTTGTTAGCGTAGAATAAAGGATAATTACGGTAAAAATATATCACTTGCAGGGATTGAAGCGGATGCATTAAAAACTTGGCTGGCTTTATGGAACAAAAACTCGGACCCTGCCATCTACCGCAGTATTCCCAGCCACGACCAGGGTCTTCTCCTTATCTCTCCTCTGTGCACCCTGTCCACCCCCCAAGAGTTGCAGAGCGAGACACAGCGCGCAGAGATATCCATAGAGGATTTGGAGGGTGGTGCGGGAGGGGGGGGGGGGGGGGGGTTCTTACATGGGGCTCGTCCACCATGTGTTGCCGCTGCATCTGGGAGGAGGAGGTCGCTGGATCATCCCCCCCGCTCCCATCTACGCCAAGCTCCAAGCGGCGCCTCCGCCGGACGGCGGCGGCGGCCGAAGCACCAGGTTCCTCCTCCTCTTTCGAACCCGCTCATCAGCCTTCTCTTCAGACGGCCGGGTCAGGGGGGAAAGCAATCGGCCTGGAATCGGCCGAGGAGACAGCCTTCTACCAGACGCCCCCCCCAGCCTCCCAGGAATCTCCGAAGGCACGCCGGAGACGACGGAGGTGACTGGAAGTGACGAAGATGGTGGTGGAGGAGGCGGAGAGGGAGGGGGGCTAGAGGAAGAAGACGGCGTCGGAAGGGAACCCGGTTCTGGCGGTGTGGCCGGCGCCGGAGAGGAGTCCTTGCCATTCAGGAATTTCAACATCGTCGCCGCCTGCGCCATCGGTCTCCTCACCGGAGTCAGTGTCGTCGTCTTCAACAACGCTGTGAGTTCCTCCACCAGGCTCTGTTCTAGTATGCTTCTTATCAGCCGAAGACCGGTTTACCAACAACTCAGCTTCCTCCAAATTTTTGGTGGCTTCTGAAGTCATGATTCGGGGCCAAATGGGGGAATCCTCCAAGGTCTCTGACCAACAGAGATCACATACTGAATACTGATCAAATATACGGGGACCATTGTATATATCAAGATTAGATGCGTAAAATCTCCATCCGAGCTACCAGCTGGAAGCTCATCAGAACCAATTCCACAAAAACTCCTGGTTTAGTTCCCTTCCGTTTGTGATCGGTTTTGAGTCTTCAGAATCATCTGCTTTCATGGTTTCCAATCTTTAGGCCAGTGATCAGTTCCATAACCAAGAATTCTGTTGCCGGGTGAGATGATTATGGAACTTATCTCCACTCAAAGGATTCAAAGCCCTTCTGCACTCTTGTCCTCATAGCTAAAGGTTATAGAATTCCAAAGCTGCAGCAGAGTATAAGACGTGTTTTTCCTCTCAAATGGGTGATACTGGTCCAGTGGAGAATGATTGGTGCTTCTATCCTTGCTTTCTCTCCGATTATTGTTTAATAGTATTCGCGATCTGAATCACATCTTGATATATCATTCAACTTCAGTAACTTGCTGTTCCCTTACAGAGGCGGTAATATTCTAATCGCCCTTACTCATGTAGATTGGAAAATGTCTAGGTCCATGGAATACGAGATATTTTTTGGGACGGCATACCTGCCCAAGGCGCTTCATGGCTGCGAGAGGAGCCCCTCAGAGAGATATGGCAGAGGGTGATACTGGTGCCCGTTTGTGGGGGTGTCCTTGTGAGCTTGCTGAATAACATACGCAGCAACATGCTTGATGAACAATCAGGAGGAGGGAACCTTTCATCAGTGAAGGGGGTAGTAGGGCCTTTCTTGAAAGCAGTCGCTGCTGCTATCACACTTGGGACGGGAAACTCGTTGGGCCCTGAGGGTCCCAGTGTTGAAATAGGTGCGTCGATAGCCAGAGGAGTGGGATCTGTGTTCGGTAACGGCAGTGGAAAGAGTTTGTCTCTTGTGGCTGCTGGGTCAGCGGCTGGAATATCATCAGGTTAGGTTTTCCCAGGTATTGTGCCCCTGCATTTAGTCTTCAATTTCTGATTCCTGAATTCTGGGGTGTTCTATTTTTCCTTCTTCTTCTCAGAACACCCAAAACAGAAAAGCTCAGCCACTTCCTATGTACGTTGTATTATCGAGAAATCTTAGCTAATTTTCCTCATTTTGACCGGTATGCAATCTTCGGTTCTTTCTTGTTTGGTTCCATCTCCTCTCCTCTCCTCTCCTCTCCTCTCCTCTTTGATATCAGTTCATGGAAGTGACTGTGATTGATTGCCTCAGTTATTGGTGCTGCGATGATTCTGGGTTATAATGCCAAGTACTTTCAGATACCACAGCATATTACATGGAAACAATACTTCCTAGAATAATGTTTGGAGTCATATTTTTTCACTCAAAAGCACTTGCTTCTTCATACCGTTTTTTGATAGCAGATGATTACTCTTCATGTCATCTCGTGTTCAGTCAATGTTGGATGCGTTACTTCATTTATCTGCATCACTTCAGAGGGCTGTCTTTTAATCTTCCTCAAATTTAAAATGTAGGAAGGCCTTCTGGGAATTTACTTACTCATTTCCATTAGGAGATTGCTGACGATATTTTATCTCGTCCTCATCATGTGAACACGCCATTTTGCTCACCGTCCTTCCTCAGTGGGCAAAATACTTTTAATTCAGCTGACTGTTTAACACATCGTCTTTGCCTGACATTGACTTGTACATGTTTCAATATAGGGTTTAATGCGGCTGTTGGTGGCTGTTTTTTTGCCGTGGAATCTGTGCTCTGGCCATCTGCAGGAGAGTCATCCTCTTCGGTTACCAACACAACCTCAGTCGTGATACTAAGTGCAGTAATTGCCTCTGTAATCTCAGAAGTCGGTCTTGGCTCTGACCCGGCTTTCACAGTTCCTGAATATGACTTCCGGTCCCCAAGTGGTATTTTACTCCCTCTAAGCAAGATCTAGAACTCTGTTCAGCTCGCAATAGCTTTGAATAATAAAATGTAGATGTTTATTCTCAAGTTCTTCGGGCATCCATAAAAGCATAACTGTTTGTTAACTTTCCTTTTGGTTGCATCATTCAGCTGGTCCATCAAATATTGTTCATGTAAATCCCATGAGTGATAAGTCATTCTTTCGATACTTGCTCAACAAACACTTGAGACACTGCTTCCTGACTGTGACATAAGTTTCAGTTTTTTACATAGTTTGACAAAGTCTGATACCTTCTGCATGATTCTATGTGCGTCCAGAACTTCCATTGTACCTGCTGCTGGGAATCTTGTGTGGCTTGGTATCGGTGGCATTATCCAAGTGCACATCCTATGCACTGGCAGTGGCCGACTACGTCCATAAGACAACAAGAGTGCCAAAAGCCATATTTCCTGCATTTGGGGGCCTTGGTGTTGGTCTTTTAGCTTTGGCGTACCCAGAGGTACTTTACTGGGGTTTTGAGAACGTTGATGTCTTACTTGAATCGCGCCCATTTGTTGTGGGCCTCCCTGCTGAGATCTTGCTCCAGTTAATTGGGGTGAAGATCGTTTCAACTTCGTTGAGTAGAGCTTCTGGTCTGGTGGGAGGCTACTATGCTCCTTCCCTGTTCATTGGGGCAGCGACGGGGATGGCCTATGGTAAGCTCATAGGGTCTGCTCTCACGGGAACAAATCCCCTGTTGCAACTTCACATCTTTGAAGTGGCATCGCCTCAAGCTTATGGCCTGGTAACACATCTCTGGCAATTATCCTCTTTCGGATAGTCTTTGTGTGAAATTTTCGTTGTTTCTTCATGTTTCTTCTCCCTTGTTGTCTGTTATCTGGCTTGAGGGAACATAAGATGCGCAGGCATTTCTTTGAAACCTCATTAGGCCTTGATACCCAATTTGGCAGGATTGCCTAAGAATCTCATTTCCCGCCGCTAATATCTTCCCTCTTTGGGCAGGTGGGGATGGCAGCTACTCTTGCTGGCGTATGCCAGGTTCCTCTTACCGCAGTCCTGCTCCTCTTCGAGCTCACCCATGATTATCGTATTGTTCTTCCACTTCTCGGTGCTGTGGGGTTATCTTCGTTGATTTCGTCAGTCAAGAATAGGAAGATAACCCTTGGAAACAGAAGCGAACCCATGAAGGTCGAACCTGCCGGTAATGGCCAACAACCAAGTGGATCATTCGTTGGAAGACAGTCACCTTCTAGTGATTCTCCCATGTCGGACCTCTGTGAACTTGAGAGCTCGCTCTGCGTGTATGAATCCGAAGCGAAGACTTTGGCAGAGAAGCTCACGGTTTTTGAAGCCATGCGGACGACTTATGTTTCAGTCTTGATGAGTATGCCTTTGTTGGACGCTGTTAACCTCATGTTTATTGGAAAGCAGCCTTGTGCACTAATCGTCGATGAAGAGAACCGCCTGGTGGGCTTGCTGACGCTCGAAGATGTAACCAGAGCAGCTGGATCCCAGGGGAAGCAATCGGTGGTCAGTATTGATTTCATGCACTGTTTTTTTTCTTCGAAATGACAGGATATTGGTTTGCATAAGGATGATGACACACGCTGAGAATGAAACTCTCCCCTTCCAAAAACCAATGTGGTTAAAGGTTTACAAAGTCGGACCAGGAGGCCCAACTGCCCAAGAAAACCCTGGATTACTCTCTGGTTCTCTCACAGCTAACACCGTAATCATATTTGTTTCACCATGCGACGATTTTTTTATAAAAAAATGAATTATCAGATCTTTCAGATGGTTAACTGACCACATGAGTATTTCCCTGGTTGGAAAACTGAAGCTTCAAGAACATGTTGGAAACGGTGAAGTTTCTTGAACCTGGTTGGTTTTTCTGTTTCAAAGGTCTTTCTTCCTCTCATCTTGTAGATCGCTGTACTGCTGCTATACTGAGTCTCAGAATTTTGCAACAAGAGCTTGGTCTCAATGTATTCTTTATTCGGCAGGAGTGGAAATCTGAGCTTATACAGATTCATATGTTTCTAATTGAACGATTAATCTCCTCACTGTCTATTACTTCCTTTTCTGAACTGTCGTTTGATCTCTCTTAACATCTCTACGTCCTCTGGCAGCCGGAGAGCCTCTTGGTGTCCGACTTCTGCTACTCGGAAAGCCGCAGGTGCCTGGTACAGGCGGTGACGCCCAGCATGAATCTCCTCTCTGCTGAAAAAATAATGGACCTTCAGGGGGTGACCCGGCTTCCTGTCGTCTCGGAGCGCATCCTCGGAGAAAGCAGAGGAGGCCGTGCGGTTGGTCTTCTCGACAGGGAATGCATCGAGGTTACCTGCCGGTAATCTGACTTCAGCCGCATGCTGAATCAAATAAAATGCTCCGGATTGTTAATCGTGGCAGTACATCTCCTCTTTCTCATTTTCCAGGGCGCAAGCGGCGAGGGAGCTTCTCGGCGTCGGCGACGGGTCACCTTGAGTCGCAATCCTGACTGTAGCGTAAGCTCGAGCAGCGATCTGCCTTCAAATCGGCGACTGCGCCGACGGCCGAATGCGAATGAGATGCACAGCCTCCGGCTAGCTCTTTCCACTTATTCCGGCGCCAATTCCGGCGGAGGCTTCCGGTGGCATGTGCAGAGGATCGATCCCAGGACGAGCCGCCTTGAGATAAATCCCTGGGAATTCGAGGAGCCTGTCGGCGGCCGACAGAACACGCTTCCCTCTTGAATTCTCCCCGCGTCCATCTCGTCGCCACTGCCGACTCTCTCTACATCATATCTCTGCATCGGAAGAGGTTATTCCCCTCCATCCGTAGCTCCTGGAATAAATAGAGAAGAAATGGATGCCCTCGATTCAACCTCCGCATTCTCCGGCTCTCCGGCTTTTTTCTCTCTCCTGGGGGAGGCATTGTGTTCCTACGTGCTAACCCGTCGTCCAGCTCATCAATGCGCGGACTCGCACGCGTAACCCGGTGACGGCGGCCCCTCCCCGCCCCCCCCGAGAATAGATCGGCCCAGTAACCTAATCGAAGTCGGGCCGACTAATGTGGCGTTGGGCTCTCCCATGGGCCCGACGCATAATGGGGCGTAGGTGAAAGGGGTGGGGGCACACAGAAGTTAATGACTCTCTCTCTATGTGTTAAATATTATGTTATATTTTTGCGCAGATGGGGTCCCACTCCAGGAGACCGTTGGCCCAAAAGTAGCCGTTGTGGGGCCCACCAAAAATTCTATCCCCAACAGAGCCAGAGCGAGCGGGTTTTATGAGTATTCTTTTTTGCTGGTGGAGCCCACGGATCCTCTCCAGTGCCCCTCTCTAAACCGCTCATCGATCTCTGTCCCGGAGCATGGGGACAACTCTTATTCTCTCTGCGGCGCGGTACGTGACCGGTGAAAGGGCGCGGAGGGCTGGCCGTCGTCTTCCTCCCCGCGCTCCCGCTAGTCTCTCTCTCTCTCTCTCTCTGTTCGTTGACGGCGATTTTTCCTGGTGCGGGCAAGACCCCTTGGTGGCGCCGCTACAGAGGGAGGGCCTCTGACTACCAAGAAAGCAACTGAATAATAAATAAAGAAGTATAAATGTCCCCCAAACAGGTGGGTGTATATTTCTATGTAAGTAGTGATCTCACAAGCCTGGTCGCGACTCGACCTACAGAATTAGAAGAAGAGGAAGGATAGAACTGGATAACTGGACACCTATTTGCCTGGCTAGCTCTCCGGCGGGCGGCGGAGGATCCCCGCCTTATTCCTAAGAAAATCCATGCAGAGATGACTGATGACTCATCCACGGCAGCGCCGCCCCGGAACCAAAGAATCGAAGCGCCATCGCCCTCTCCCTTCTCCGACCACGGGTAAAAATAAGCCGGCGAGCTCCGCGGCGGCGGAAAGAATGGTGGTGGTGGTGGTGGCGGTGGCAGTGGTGGTGTATCAACAGGGATGGATGGGTAGAGCTAGTTGCAGTCGAGGCCGCACTCCTCCAGCAGGGGGCCGTCGGACCTGGGCAGGAAGGGGTCGATCCTGACCCAGAGCAGGGAGAAGATGGAGGCCAGGAGGATCGACCACACGATGATGATCGTCGGCGTGCGGTTCTGCCGCCCGAGGAGGCCCTTGAGGAAGGGGTAGAGGTGGACGATCACCCAGAAGGCGAAGAAGAGTCGGCCGAAGAGCGGCCCCCACGACTCGTACCCGTTGTTGATCGCGTTGGAGACGCCGGCGACCACGCCGATGATGTTGATCAGCAGCAGCGTCGTCGGCGGGATAAGTAGCGTCGTCCACTTGAACGCGTACAGCTCCGCGAACTGTTCGTCGTCGCCGGCCTTGGACGTGACCGTGAAGTTGGTGTCGATGCCGGCGAGCACCTTCAGTAGGCCCTGGAACACCGCGAACAGGTGCGCCGAGACGCCGCCGATGACCCAGAACTGCTCATTCCTCCACCACTCGTCCAGCCCCACCCCGCTCCACCGCATCTCCAGTATCCCCGTCGCGAAGATGCAGATGAAGAGCGACAGAAACCACAAGCTCGCCACGTTGCTCAGCTGCGCCACCAACAAAGAAAGGTCATCAAAAAACGAAGGCGGCTGCCGGCCGGTATTAGACAACGAGCAATTGCAGCGACGAAAAATCATGGTGATGAAATTACTTCTGGAGTGATGAACTTCCCGGTGAGTAGGCAGATTGCCGGCAGGGTGCAGTAGGCCAGCAGCGGGAACGACGTGAAGGGGTAGACGGTGGCGTTGATGTAGGATAGCCGCTCCAGCCACTTGAGGCCGCCGCCGTAGCCGTACCAGAGGGGGCAGTGCTTGCTCAGGAAGATCTCCACCGACCCGAGAGCCCACCGGAGCACCTGGTGCAGCCGGTCGGAGAGGTTCAGCGGCGCCGACCCTTTGAACGCCGGCCTCGACGGCACGCAGTATATCGACCGCCACCCGTGGCAGTGCATCTTGAACCCCGTCAAGATGTCCTCTGTCACAGAGCCGTAGATCCATCCTACCTGCAATCACCAGAGGAATGAATCGTCGTCATCATCCAACCGTGGCAGGACATTACGACGATCTTCAGCGAGGAGCCGCCGGAAGCTGGGCGAGTCTTACTCACCTCCTTCCCCCAGTCCGTCTTGTCCTCGTAGCCGCAGCTGATGACGTGAATGGCCTCCTTCAGGAGGGATGCCGGAGTGGCATTCTTGATCGTCCCGCCGTCCTCCAGGAGGGTTGACTTTACGAAGACGGGGGACTGCCCGAACTTTTTCTCCAATTTGTGGTCGGACACCATGAAGGCTGCTGCCTTCTCGGCCTCCACAACTGCGGGTGTTGACTCGACGGTTTTACAGCTCAAGTAGTAACAAAAGAAACACAAGACTGAAGTCAACCCGCAACGGGCAGCGGTCCGTACCTCTGCCTTCCTCGATGCCCTCCAGTGCGAAAACGGGCGCCTCGTTCCTCTTGGTCTTCTTCTTCTTCTTCTTCTCTTGCTTGCCCTTGGAGGACTTCTTCCTTTTCCCCATGCAGCAGCTGAAGCAGCAGCAGCACCACCTCGGCCAGCAGTTGCAGGTCCTGCTCGGCGGCTTCTTGGTCTTCGGCGCGTCGAACCCATAAAGCGCCTGCCTCCTGAACACGCACCCTGTGCCGACGTAGATGGGTCCTTGGATCCCGTCCAGCCCCTTCATATTAATCTGTCACAAACGAGAAACAGATCAGTTCTAACCAACACCCATCCATCAGGCTGCGGCCCGCAGTAAACGGGCCCGAGGAGGGGGGGTGGGAGGGGATGTCTGGAATCCTCACATCGAAGAACACGATGTTCCGGTTGGCATATCGGTCGTGTCTGTCAATGCCGTCAAACCTCTGCGGGAACTGCACGTAGCAGACCTTCTTCTCCAGCAGTGGGTCCATCATGAAGCACATCGCCTCCCGCAGGGCCTTGCTGTTGTTGATGTAATGATCGCAGTCCAGGTTCAATAGGCAGGGCGCATTGGTGAGGACGGCTGAGACCCGGACCTGCTTGCATGAAGAAAGCTCGAGTTGATCATTCAATCAAACCTTTGCTAAGAGGAAGAAGATCTCGGTCGGTTGGTCGACCCAAGAAGAAGATTCATACCAAGGCATTCATGGCGCCGGCCTTCTTGTGGTGGTTGAAGCCCGGCCTCTTCTCCCTAGAGACATAGACTAGGCGAGGCAGTTCATTCCCGTCCGTGTCATGCCCACCGCTCTGGCCCAAGAAAACCTGGAGTTTTATGCAGAAAATGGGTCAAATTGTTATGAACAGCCCAAAAAAGAAAAAGAAAAGAAAACAAAGATTTTATGCAGAAATAAGGCCGGGCAGCAAGTTGTGGTCACCTGAATCATGCCCGGATGGTCCCGGACATTGTTTCCAGGCCAGGGGGTGCCATCCTGCATTGTCCAGCCCTCTTCTGGAACTTTCTGAGCCTTTGCAACCAGTGCATTGATGCGGACCTTGAACTCCTCGTACTCCCTCTGCACCCAACCAAAGCACAAGAAAGATCATAAAATAAAGGAGAGTGAGAAGGAGCCACAAGAAGAAGAAAGAGGCTACTGTACTGCACCTTCATCGCTCTCCGCTCCTTGACAAAGGAAGGCAGGACCTTATCCTTGAGATAATCAATCTTCTGCTGGAAGTACCACTCCGGAGCCCGGGGCTCGATGTTGAACTTCTTGCAGAAGGGGACCCACTTCTTAGCGAACTCGGAGGTCTCGGATAAGGCCTCGAAGGTAAGCATGGCGGCACCATCATCTGAGACATAGCATGAGACCTTGTCCACTGGATAATCAACAGCAAGGATTGACAGCACCGTGTTTGCTGTCACCAGCGGTGGCTCCTTGAGGGGATCCACCGTGCTCACGAAGATGTCCACAGATGACAGTTGAGAGGGCTGGCCCTCCTTCTCATACCTGCGTGGGCAGCAAGAGGGGGGGAATTAGAAGAGATGCTGCCGCCATGAGTCGGGGTTGAGGAGCAGGTTGGTGGGGTACCTCAGAGATAATCTGTCCAGGTAGGTTTCCCTCTCAATTGGGAGCCACTTGGGGAACTGGTCGAGTATCCAGGATATGGCAAACCAGATTTCACATATCACAGAGATGAGCCACAGCACATAGGCATCGTTCACAGGGTGCGTCACCCGGTAGTGGAAGAAGAACCCGACGACCACCAGCCGTATGATGATGACCAACCTGTACGGGTTTATCCGGCTGGAGGGGATGGGCAGCTTCCTGGACAGCGGCTGTCTCCCTTCGTCCATACTGGTCCAGGCAGGAACAGGATCGTCAGTCAGCTGCATCTCCATCCTCAGAAAAGAGATAAACCCACAGCACCACGCTAAAACTGCGTGCATTGAAACAGAAGGATTTTTCCGCAAAGGGTCTTTTCTCTATTCAGGGTCCTATCAGTTGAGTGATGAAATACCCTTCGAGAAGGAGACGAACTTGGAGCAAAAAAGCTAGAATATTTGAAGCAGACCCCAAAGTTTGAGCGCTTCTTTTTGCAAGAATTATTAGGTACGGGTAATAATTATGGGGCCAAGAAACTGATGAATGTCGGAATGAGGATATCAAAGCACCAAATTGAGCAGGAGAGGGCATCAGAATTGAAACTCATATGGATAAATGATTATTAGAGGAGGAGGGATTAAATGCCTTACAGAGGCAGATCAGGATCGCCGTCATTGTCAAAGTCCTTGCCACCGTTTTCGTTCTTCATCAGCAGCAGCTTTTCCTGCCTCTGCCTCCAGCTCTCCATCCTCGCCTTCCAAGCAACACTTCCATACCCATACGCGGCTAGGTCCTTTGAGGGGTCCATCGATCTTGGTTGCACTGCAAGGAGAAGAGCATTACTTCAGCAAAGTTCAGAAACAGAAAGCGCGATCCTGTTCCTTGAAAAATTCACCCACACGCACCTGAAAAGCTTGGATCCGCGAAAGGAAGGGGATGGATCCTCTTCCCTCCGCCGCCCATGAAAGAAGGAACCAGAGCATGCTGCTCAGGGGGAATGTCGTCCACCTGCAACCAAGTACCGCAGCAGGCAAGACCGTGATTAATGGTGATAACTCGCAGCGCAGAGATTAAGCCATCAGCATGGAGGATTGATAAAGGACTGGGCTTATCTCCAGTGAGGACACCATAAATCCAGGAAGCTAGTTAGCAGAGAGATCAGGAAGGTACCATCTCGCCATTGGTGAGCAAGAGGACTTGAGGCGATGTGTGGACGACTTGAGCCGTATCGACATCCCCTGCGCGGCCATAGCTCATGTGACCTTGCAACATTGCCTCCGCAAGGTACTGCATGTCGTGCTTTTCCCTCCCACCGAAATTGAACTCGTTATCGACGTCATCGATGTCATCTTCTTCCTCATCCCCATCGACCCGAGCGCACCCTGTAATAAGGAATGGCGTCCTCAGGAAACAGATGGAGGAGACGAAAGGGGGGGCTTCCTCCTCTTTCTAAACCATATCTTATTCTCTAGGATGAAGAGGGTGAGAGGAGAAAGAGTGGAGGGAGTCACCTTTGAGACGCTTGAACCTGGTCTTGCACTGGGGGCAGACTTGGCTACCCTCGCGGCGCTCGTAATCGTAGCAAGTTCGGCAGACAGGGAAGGCGCACTCGTTGCAGGCGACGAAGAGCTCCCCCTCGGCGGTGAGCCCGACGTCGTCCCCGCATATCTGACAGATTTGCCCGCTCAGATTATTCAGCGGCTTCGGCTGCCACGAGAAGAGAAGAAAGCTCGTCAGATGTTCAGAAAACCCTACAGTTCAGAAAGAAAGGAAGAGGCATGAATCAGCCGGAGAAATCTCGTCGGAAATCAACCCAAGGGGAGAGGGGAGGCGTACGCCAGATTCGCCATCCCGCCGGATGACCACGAGCTCGTTCCTATTGTGGGAACCTGCGACTAGCCCGGCACTGGCCTCCATAGTCAATGCCCTCCGCCTGATCTGCTAGAAGGCGTTATCAGCAATCAAAACCGGCCGATCTGGGAGCGGGGGAAGAAGGGTGGACGGGGGAGGCGAGGGAAGCGCCGCCCGCTCCCTCACTCTGCTTCGCCTCTGCTAAGCCGTTCTCCTTCTTCAGCAGCAGCAGCAGCTGCCGGCACAGTGACGGATCAGGGAAGGAGACGACGAAGTGCCCCCCATCCGAAAGCAAGGGAGGAGTACGAAGGGCTAGAACAAGCGGCACCGCCCCCTCTTCCTCCTCTCTTCCCCTTCTCTCTCCTTGTTCCTCTCTTCCTCTCCTCTTCCTCTCTCTCACACAATATTAAGAGGCCCACCTCCTCCCCTCAGCCCGTGTCTCTCTCTCTTTATTATTCCTTCCTTCCAACCTTTGACACCTCCGAGCGAGGAAAGGGGGAGACGGTGACGGGGGGAAGAAACCAGGGGCAAACAGGTCGGGGAGAGCGCAAGTCTCTGCGTCAATGAGACCAAATCAGCCCGCCTGCGGTAACTCTGAGACGACCCCTCGCGGTGGCAACGGTGACGTGCGGGCTGAAGTTGAAGAAGGAGATCGATCCATGGGGGAAACCCTAACAGCGCCCCATAATCATATCTTAAATCATCGCAGCGATCATAACCAGTCTTGGCTCCGTCTTCCTCCGACCGCCACCCCCCCTCCCCTCTGTGGGACCGCGCGCAGTGTCGGTGGAGATGTCTCCCAGCTGTGGCTGCGCTCTACCGAGCGAGAGAGAGAGAGAGAGAGGGTGGGTGAGGATTGATAACGAGGACTCTCCACGAATAATAGTATTTGTTTTTTAGAGGGGAAAGCTAGCGAGAGAGGAGAGAGAGAGTGGTTTCCTCGGCCCGCATGTGAGCTGCCATGTGAGGCGGCGGGCCAGGTGGACAGTGCCGGTTACCCCACCCTACTCGTCGGCGGGGGATCCTGCGATGATCACGATCATCATGCCCGAATGATCTTGACCCTCCATTCCCCACCTGCGGTAAGAATAATGGGAGTAATCAATTCCTGACCTCCTCTCGCGCTGTACCGCGAAAGAGGGAAAGAGAGAGGGAGGTCGCCACATGGGGAGAGAGGTGGTGGTCTGAGAGAGCCCGCACAGACCGACACCCGATGGCCACTGCACCTCCACATTGATGTGATTTGATTCACCTCTCCCTCTCTCTCTCTCTGTTCGTTTCCATGGCAGATCCATATTTATTAGGCTCATTTGAGAGGGCTCATGGTGGAGGAGTTGGAAGACCAGGGTTCCGCAGCTGAAGATCGCCTACACTTGTGGGGGGGGAGAGATCCTTGCGATCTTCCTGCGGCTCTTCTTTCTCTCTCCTCCCTCTCTCTACGTGTGCTGTTTTTTGGAGAACGACGGGTCCCTGGCCGAGGGGGACACCTCCTGGATTCATGACTTCTAGCGAGATAGAGAAGAGAGAGATTTGCGAGGTCCACGAAAGGTGGGGCCTCTCCTGGACTGTGACGGGTCAATGCCGCCCTACTTTCTCCCTCTATAATAGCCCCCCGCTCGCCCTCACTCCTTGACAAAGAGGCGTAGGTTGGTAGTCAGTCCCTCTCTCTCTCTCCATCTATCTCTATCTAACCCGTTCGTGCGCGGGAGCCGGTATAGGAGGTCGACTTGTAGGACAAACGATGTGAACAGCAGCGGGAATGAAGTCTCTCTCTCTCTCTGCTGACCGAGCGACGGAGAAATCCGCGTGCTCTAGTGAAGACAGGTACGCGTGTCCACCTGCAGGGGGTCACGGGCCACGTAATCCACTCCCACATGCATTCCAGTTGCTCCACGTTACCTTATTATGTGTACATCCGTGCATATTAATTATTACATGTCTCTATTAGTGGGAGATAGATTGAGAGAGAGGATGTCGGAGAGAGAAGTGGGGCTCACATTTCGTGCAACAAATCCACGTTTTGCACGTATAAAAAGTCCGGAACCTGCTCGGCGGCGGGTATTTTGGACGATTTTGACCTAGTCGGACGGGCTCAGATCGGTCGGTCCCCATTTTCATGATGGATTTCCATGGAGTCAGCGAGAGAGAGAGATAAGGTGAAGCTGGTTGACATCCAGATGACCGTAGGAGGAAAAACAGGAGAGATAATAAATGTAGGGGCGGAAAGGGAAGGGCTCCGAGAGGGAGCGGAGGTGGTTCCTGCTCTTCTGCCGGCCCGTGACTGGCCGTCCAATGGGCACGCCGCTCGGGCGTCCTCCTCACTGCTCCTTCCGGCTCCGCCCCGGGCAGTGAGAGCCCTCACAGGGGGAGGGAGGGAGAGAGAGAGAGAGAGAGTGGTGGGTCTGTCCAGCTTTGGCAGGCGGCCCTGCTTTGCGTAAAGACTCCATCTCAAGATCCCGCGACAGCCAAGCCTATCCCTCTCTCTCTCTCTCTCTCTCTCTCTAATATATATTTTCGGATACATGTCGCCCGTGTTGGCGGTGATATCGCCAAGGTAAAGGCCGTTGGTTTGAGGGAGGGGGCGATGGCGCGCCGTGTTCTTACGCGGAATCGGGGATAAAGCCGAGGTTGGCCCATTTCTGGAGCGAGAGAGAGAGTGAGAGAGAGAGGGAGAGAGAGAGGGTGTGTGTGTGAGAGAGAGAGAGATAGAGGAGGGAGAGAGAGAGAGAGAGGGAGAGAGGACAGCGCCAAACATCTCTTCCAACAAAGAGAACCACGCCACAACCCACCCCACCACACCCAGGAAGCGAATCCCCGTCTCTGTCTCTGTGCCGGCGTTCAGTTGCCGGGCTGGATGGCCCCAAAAGCGATCCAGGCCCTACCATTCCTGTGGGCCCCAGCGGCAGCACCCGCTTTCCAGAAGCCCTCAAGCCCATTAAGCCAGAGGCCCAGCGGTGACCCTGGGCCAGCGAGCTCAGAGCCCAGCCCGGCCCGGCAATTGGAGAGTTGGATGTGTTCACGGCCCCTACTAAAAGAAATAAGGAGAGGGCCTACCTCAGTGGGGGTTAGTAACCGACATGACTCACCAGATAAAACTCCGGTTCAAAATCCCAATTTTGCATGTCACTTTAACGGTTAAGTTGCATGTCACATTAATGTTTTAAACCCTAAATTGTGTCACATTAATGCATACATTAATGTCACATTATGTCAATTTTGTTATAAATAAGAAACCGATCTTTGTAATATTTTAAAAATATATTTTGAGGTTAACTTAAATGGAATTGAGATAGACAGTAGCTTCTATACATAAATTGAAGCTAAAATCATTTGGCAACACTTCAATAATCTTTTGACTTTTTCATATATATATATCCTAGCCTTTGTGCATGAATTTTATTCTTTCAACATTTAAGCTCTTGAGGTGTAATCGTCACTCCAAGTTGCATAGCCAATTATATTTAGAGTTAGACAAATGGATCCTTCAATGTTATGTTTCCTTATTAACTTATTTTTTTTACCACATAACATATAATTTGGCACAATAATCTTCCATCATATTCTATAAAATGTTTGCAATGTGCCACTTTTGAGAAGTCAAGAAACTTACTCTCAATTTGGCATGACCTAAACACTAGCATTTAATTGTCTTTTTTTTATTTTTTTCTTTCAAGAGCACATCTTTTAGATAAAAATTGTGGCATAACTATATATTCCTTTGGCATAAATTTATTGTCAAAAGACTAGTGCATTTTGTTTGTCCCAAAGATTGTATGTAGAGGTGGACAAGAGAGGGGGGTTGATTGACTATTAATAAATTTAACATTGTAAATAATTTTTTCATATTTTTTCTTAGGCTTTTTTCTAGTCATTTGACCTTCCTCGCTTATGTCAATGAGATCAACAAAACTACTCACACAACACATCTAATACAATTATGTTCCTCATGCTACACATAATACACTAACTTATTTTTCTCTGGTTATTAACATTGGATTTAAGAGTCTTCACTTATATTGATGTCACTAATTGACTTTCATATGGTCATCATGCAATTGGAAGAAGTATTCCTCAATCAAGTAGGTGTTTTGAGGTAGTTTCTAAAATTTTATGCTCTAGCACTTACTCTAAGAGTCAAGTAGAAAGAAAGAGAGATTTTACATATGAGTTGATCAAGTTGATACAAAATTTGATGAAATGGGCTATTTATGGTGCCCAAGAACTCAACTATTAGAATTCAAACAAGTGAGATATATTTAATCAAATATTTCATTAGTTGAGTTAATTAAAAGTTTCTTGATAGTTTTTTGACCTTTGATTTCCTAAATATTTGACTTATAGTTTGATTATATAATATTGGGAGATATATTTGTTGAAGTTTAGAAATATTTGACAATAAATCTAAATTGTGATTCAAATTTTACTTCAAGGTAGTTTTTCACTCTCTCCTAAGTTTGGTTGGCAGATTCTTGAATCAATTGTCCCTTAGTTGCCAAGTTGACTTACATATTCATTTTTTATGACTTTCTCTCTAAAATGATTTCTTTTTTATCTAATGTAATTTTCTTTAGTTTGACTTATACATAAATGATTTATATTATTGATTCCTACTTAAACATCAAAATTACATGCCAAATATACTAAATCTAAAAAATTAGACCTTCGTCCAATCATTAATATGATAAGAAGATATTTATGATTTTTTTGTATTCTTATTTTTTCACATAAAGAAAAACTTGAAACAACAACACATTTCATGTTAAAGATGATACGAATACTGCTTTAGCTTGAAATTACAAGTTTACTACATTAGTCTTATATTTTGGTAGTCTTGTACTAATAAATGTGGTGTCTCATGCTTAACATGGATGTACCTCTAAAATGCTCAACATGTGTGGTTTAAATCCTCTTGTGTGGTTTAACTTGTTCATGTGAGAATTTCACAAAACACAAAAATTTAAAAGGAGAGGACTATCACTACACATTAAAAAAGTTCAGCATTTAGTAGAATAAATAATGTGTGTACGTAAATACCTTGTAACTAGATGTCCCTTCAATTTATAAGA